TCTGGCCCGCCTAATGCCACTGAGGCCCTCACTTGCCCCGAAAATGCAGAAATAAAAAATTTTTTTTTTCACCCAGAGCCAATGTGCCGTATTTAGGTTTTTTTCGGGGGGAAAGTCGACTTTCGCCAAAATCGAATTTTTCCGCCGGGTGAACGGTGATTCTGTATTTTCTGGCCCGCCTAATGCCACTGCGCCCCTCACTTGCCCCAGAAATGCAGAAATAAAAAAATTTTTTTTTCACCCCGAGCCAATGTGCCGTATTTAGGCTTTTTTCGGGGGGAAAGTCGACTTTCGCCAAAATCGAATTTTTCCGCCGGGTGAACGTCGATTCTGTATTTTCTGGCCCGCCTAATGCCACTGCGCCCCTCACTTGCCCCAGAAATGCAGAAATAAAAAAATTTTTTTTTCACCCCGAGCCAATGTGCCGTATTTGGGTTTTTTTCAGAGAGAAAGTCGACTTTCGCCAAAATCGAATTTTTCCGCCGAGTGAACGTTGNTCCAGAAATGCAGAAATAAAAAAATTTTTTTTTCACCCAGAGCCAATGTGCCGTATTTAGGCTTTTTTCGGGGGGAAAGTCGACTTTCGCCAAAATCGAATTTTTCCACCGGGTGAACGTTGATTCTGTATTTTTTGGCCCGCCTAATGCCACTGCGCCCCTCACTTGCTCCAGAAATGCAGAAATAAAAAAAAAATTTTTTTCACCCAGAGCCAATGTGCCGTATTTAGACTTTTTTCGGGGGGAAAGTCGACTTTCGCCAAAATCGAATTTTTCCGCCGGGTGAACGTCGTTTCTGTATTTTCTGGCCCGCCTAATGCCAGTGAGACCTTCACTTGCCCCAGAAATGCAGAAATAAAAAAATTTTTTTACACGAGGAACTGTACATAGTCCCGTCAGTCTTTTTCATAAGTTGCTCTCGATTCATAAAAGGGATTATCAAGCAATAACAAATTATTTGAACAGATATCCGTAAACATTAATAAGATTTGTTTAAAAGAAGAGCCTTTAAAATTTTGTAATTCAAAACTTGGAGCAAGCCTTGGCGCCAAGCATTGTTCAAGCCTTATGGACTAGGTCTGAAACGAGGTTATCATTTTGGGACTGAAGGAGGACTGATCCAAGGTTTCTATCGTCAATTCCTACCTGGGAAATAAAATCGCATGGGACAGATGCCATGCCAATAGCTCGCACATTGAAATTTATTGATCTAAAATAACGAACGTGTGTTTACACAAAATTAGACGGATTTTATTTTATTCTGCGTCACTCTCATCCCGGACAAACTCCCATTACTCGAATCCCCCATTCAGAGTCAATAGTTAATATACGAATGGACGGGAATAACGCCCCTCCCCCTAAATCCGTCTGTTTGTAGCAACAATATTAGAGGAATTCTACTTTCGTGGAATAATCGAACTAAAAATTGCAGTCTGCATCAATTGTTGCATGAAATTTCATTTTTTTTTGTTAAATCGTTTCCCAACAATTTTTGGAAGCGATTTGGCAATTTTTTGTTTTCGAAAAAAATGCTGTTGTTCTAGTTTACTAATTCATGACAGATTTAATCAAAATTTCCAAAAAGTCTACCGGAAATTTCAGGATAAGATTTATCTTGAATTTTTTAAAGACCGCCCTCAACTCCAATAATTTTCCCTTTTGTTTTTTTTTCTTTAGATCCAAAATTAGAGAGATTTGATTTTATTCTGCATCACTCTCAGCCCGAGCAAACTCTCATAACTCCAGTCCCGCATTCAGAACTCAGAGTCAATAGTTAATATCCGAATGGACGGGAATAACACCCCTCCCCCTAAATCCAACCGTTCATTCTCTTCAATTATTTGTCAACCGTAAATCCCCACTCTTACCTGCACCACCACAACCTGAATAATTGTTTTATTCAGACACCACAGCCAGGAACAATATTGTCCCCAGTGGTTATAGAATTCACGACAAAGTTGAAATACCATCATTCCCTCTAATTAATCATTCGCTATCTTGGAATTGTGAGATTAATTACTGCTGACTAATTGGCTATGGAGGATGGCAGAAGATGACGTGAGGAATGTGCTCACAGTGAAAAGCGTCGCTGGAGCATTTGACTTCATTGCCGGAAGGAAACTGCAATAACGTAGACAATAGACATTCCAACAAATGGGGTATCTATTTGGCTTTGTCTATTGCCCTCCAATCCCACAATTAATTAAACAATATTCCCCAGAACAAATCCTAACGAAACTCGACCCACCGGAGCAATTTGAATAAATCAAGTCACATTTCAAAGTCTAAAAAATTATCTTCAAAATGAAAAAAAAAATGTTGAATTTCACTCTGCCAATATCGAGTTATCGAACATCAGAGAAAGTAAAAAATGATTTTATACTTTTTCAGGCTAAGAACAAATTTCTTTTCATCGAGAACCGAAAAAAGTTCATTTTTTCTTTTCTCCGACAAAAGTTTCAGTATCTTTGATAAAGCTTTGACTCACCGGTCTCCAGGTCCCCTCAATTGCCACGAGATTCACGTACCGTCATAAGCCATCAGTGCTTGTATCCTATGACCGCGCGATTAAAAGTTTTAAAAACTGTTAAATTAAACCGCGTCAATTCGTTCGATTAACCTTCCATCACCACTGTACCGGACGCGTGTTGGAAATTAACTTTTCCGCAGTGAAATGGAGTGAGAGAATCACTTTTCCCCCCTTTTCATCTCAAGAAATGACAAAATGCTCCCACCCATCATTCATTTCTCTCTAAAAACATGCTAAGTACACATTCGTGCATTGAAAACACATTTTCACACTCTCACTCCATCCACCGCACGATGAAAACATCACTGACAACAAAACTCAAAGCACGGACCACTGGATGCACCAAAACAACTGAAAACGAGTGACAATAACCTCAAAAAAAAAACGATGAATTTTCCCCCGGGTAATTCACAACTTTTTTTATCGATAAATGAGAGGATTTAGGGGATGACGAGCGTCCCGGCGAGGAGCGGTGATTTGGCGGGCTCCAAACTCGGCAATAGCCTCGCGCCAACGGAAAAACTACACTGTTGATGCGCGATAGCCGGCGTCTGCGCGTGCACTGTCTCGCGCGCTCCATCCAGTCTCCGGCCTACCCCCCCCCTCCCCCCTCCCGCGGGCATCCCCTCCTCGGCGGCCCATTCAGGCTTATAACAAACACATGCGAAGAATAAACGAGATCCTGGACGGATTGGCAACGTAGGCCCCTGTGTTTGTTTTCTCTCGTGGTCCTTGCATGCCATTACGTATCGACAGGTTTGTTTACGTCTGTACGACACTATTCCCTAGGGAAAGAAACCACAACAAAACAGCAGTCTCGAAGGACTCGAACGAATATCATTATTCGGTGGGATTATCATTATTAAAAGTGAAATATTATTTTTAAGTATGAAAAACGAATTAACTGCTGTTCTCGAAATCACAAAAAAGGGGAGAATGTGGCAATTGCTGTCAATAAGTGAATAAATAAACGGATGGGCGAACGAATGAGTAAATAAGTTGGAGGGTTTTGTCTGAAGAATTCAACTAATTTTCTGATCAATTTAAATTAATTATTTATTTGAATTAAATACCATTCTTTTTTAAGTGAAAAAATCATGAGGGAAATTTCTTTGAAATTTGTTTTATTAATAATTAATTATAAAAATGTGACAATTGCAGTCAATAAATGAATAAATAAACGAATGGATGAATTAATAAATATAAAAGTTGATGGGGTTTATCTACAGATTGGAGATGATGTATTTCATGCCCAGAATTTAAATCGTCGTGATTATTATTATTAAATACCTGAAATATTCATTTTAATTATGAAAAACCAATGAATAATTTTTTTCGAACTCACAAAAAATATAAATAATGTCACAATAGCAGTGAATAAATAAATATTTACATAAAAAACGGACTAATGAATAAATAATGATGAGTAGAATTTTTTCATTGCAGTAATAGACTAGAAAGCATCACAAAAATTTTTGTTCTCGCAGTACATCTGACGAGGTTTCGATACATAGGGGAACATTCACTGTTCCCCGCCCCCGAACACAGTCCGAGCATCTGCAGGCGACCTGCCCCAGTGCTTTGATACCCTCAAGGGTGCAGAAAACTCATAGAGACCACCCGAGGTGGAAACAGTTTGTACCCTTCAACTATGGAATACATAAAAAATCTGGTAAAAGACGGAATTACTTTTTCATGGAATTTTTTTTTCTTCATTGTTACAATTAAGACACCCACAATTACTGGGGACTGATTAAAACGCCTGGCTTGGCCTTTAAATTACAATGTTTTCATTTTCTTGGGGGTCTGCTGGCTGTAAGAAATTCATGAATTTAATTGGAGAATAATGCGACAGAATTTTGTTATTTTTTTTTGCCTGGAAAAGTATGAATTCCACGATGGAATGTGAATTTTAGAATAACACGGAACGAATAAAAAAATTATTTAATTAATTAATTAATTAATGGCATACGCTTTTTAAATTTTTCATTTCAATTTTTTTCCATGAAAAGATGTAAAATTTATGAAGAAAATACGAACCAGACGACAAAACAAACCGAATGAAAAAACATTTGTGTTGATTAACGAATGAATGAATTAATTAAGGGAATATATTTGGGATAATGCAGAAGAAAATCCGGAATATGGCAACAGATGAATTGATTCAGCCCCGATACAACCCCCGAGTTGATGCAAAATCGATTTTACACATGGCATCACTCAGCACCTCCTTTATTCCCCTCCCTCAGCATTGGCCCGATTGCTCAGCCCTATTTCCCTATTGTTTCACTCCTCCTTATTATTCCCATCACAAAACATTCCCCATAACCCGTAACATACTGCACCTACCCTCACTCGAAGCTACTCCCGGCGCATTTCCCTTCCGTCCCTCGCTGGAGGAACTTATACCGTTGCACGGCTGTAGAAACCTATATGCCTAATAATAAGAGGAGCTAGTGCCTTGTGCTGTATGCCATTAACTACCCGCGTAACGAGCACCGATTACTTGAGGCTTTGCAACCCGTACTCTAGAAAACCAGAGCATCGAAGGGGAAAATTCGAAAGTCCTTTGTTGAAAATTAATTTGATTTTCGGGTGAAGTTGGAAAATTCATTCAGTTGTGCGTGCGGACTTCGTAATTCTAATTAATTAATTTTTCAGGGAAGATTTTGCGATTAATCATCGTGAATTAATTATGGTGATTTAATTAAAAATATATTTAATTAAATATTTCTCAATTCCCGTGAAAATTACTTTGTTCATCTCTTTGTCGACAGCTTTCAAGTTCATATTCACATTCTGAAATCCTGCATTTTCACCCCTGTACGGGAAAAAAGCAATGATAAACCATCACAAAAAGAGGAAATTGTACTGTTGAATTAAATATTTCCCTCGTGAGGATCGTTATTCATCAAAAGCCACGGCGAGTCCCTCCGGCAAACTCCTGGACTCTGTGGGATTCAACAAAAGAGCGTGGCCAGCATTCTAATTGCCTGATCATTTTCATAAACGTGCATCTAAGTAACCCTTTCCTTTCCCCGAAATAAAGAATTATATTAACAATTTCAATTGTCAGGAAGTCAATATTAATTACATTCCGGGGATTTCTTTCAAAATTATGATATTTCAATATTTTTTTTATTCCATTTATTTTCGAATTTAAATTAATTCCACATAAATTGTCGACCAAAAGACTATAAAATTTCATAATCTTACAATTTCATTCATTTTTTATTTTTTTTTGTTTCATTTTAAATTCAAACCTTAATTTTTCATAAATAGGCAAATGAAAGAATAAGAAAAATCCAGGGAATATTTTTTACTCCTGTTTTTTAGGGAGTACTAGAAAGCTGCTGTTTAAATGAAAAAGACTCGAGAAAGATTCATAAAAGGAAAAATTGAAGATTGCACGTTATACACAGTGGACCGAGAACGAGAGAGGGCCCAAGGAGAGGGTTCACGACGTCATACAAACTCGTGGAGGGACACGAAAAGGGGTTGCACAGACTGGCAGTGCCTTTGTTCGACTCTAGAGTACGTGGCGTCGTGCGTGAGTTTTTTACCGGAACTCGACGATATGGCTATGGCTGTATGACACGCGTATGTAGTACGCGTCCTCGTTTGTCCCTCCGCCCCTCAGCGGTGGCAAAGTCCTTCTGCGAGCGCTGGGGCGGGATCAAGTGCAGCACGACCACCCGTACCAAACCCTCTACTCAGTGTACGTGTGCCCGCACTGGAGTCGTATTTATTAGGACACGATGGGCTTTCTCTGTTGCTAGGAAGACGCTGACAACTATGAAGGCGAGAAACTTGCCAATTTCTGATTTCGAATTAGAATAACACATTTTTTTGGGTTAATATTCTCATTTTTTTTAATTCACAACAATTTCGTGAGATTTTGCGGAATTTCAAAGACGTTGTGTAGAATGTTTTGAAAGATTTTCGAGAAATTACATAAAATTTCTGGGATTTTGCACGAAATTCAAAGATTTTATGTCCAAAATATTTTAACAAAAAGGAAAAATTTCATTTTCTCCGCATGAAAAACTAAAAATCCCCCCCCTCCCCCTTAGAATTGAGAAAAACTGGCTCAATTACCCTTCAAGACACACAGCATAATCCCATTACCCCAATCTCTCCATCAGAATTTTCCCTATCTCCGGTCAAATGCATTCGTACACTGGAACTGGATAAAAAGCTCACGTCTTGTGGATTTCAACTCCACCTCGTGCAGCTATACAACTGAAAACCCGGGAGTAATGTACGGCCAACCCACTGAGGACATATCTCAAAGACGACATCTGACTGGTCACAGGAAATGGCTCGCGCAATCTTACGACTTGAATGGTGTATCCGTGCCGTCGGTATTCAGGGGATATTAAATGAAAACATTGGGATGTATAAGCTTTGGTGAATGGAAACCACCGGGGCTACCCGCAGATCCATCTAATATTTGCACTGAGATATCGCAAAGGTACCATCTAGCTTGGGGGAAGTTGAAAACCGGTCTTAGAGATTATAATTTTTGTCTTAGACGTCGGTGCTTGCATTTTTTAAGAATTTATTCTTCTAGTTGATTATTTTTTAGTGAAAAAATTCAATTGTGGAGAATGTCATGAATTAGCTCAAGAAATTCATGAATTATCTCAAGAAACCCATAAATTTTCAATTTCAAAATTTCTTTTTTTTTTAATTTTCATCCTTGTGACCCTTGTTCATCTCGCTTGTGGCAAACAAATTATTTATGAAGAATGAAATCAACCCTGCGGACAATAATTGGTTCATTATGGAAAATCGAGTGGTCCATGAATGCCAGAAATACCTGCAATTAAATGCCTATACGAGGAACAATGCATGCATTAATTAACGCCCCGTTAAAAATAATTGCTCGTACACTCAATAAAAAAAACTTTCATTTTGCCTGGGTTAACTCAAAGAAATGCAACTCTATCATTAGGAGACGCCGAAGTAATTCCATCGATTTATTATTTCACATAACCCCGGGATTATGGAATTTTTTAATTAATCGGTAAATGCAGAGTATTCGTTATTGAATGTCTCGAGTGGTTGACGGGTAATATCGTTAGAATTATCCGAGAGTGAAGTATCCACATTCTTCTTTTCCTTGTTTCGGTTTTCCATCGGTTATAGCATTTTTTCCTGGCAATTGAGGGGGCATTTTTGCGCATGGATTTTTCTGAGGGTCATCCATTAGTTGACGATTTTTCATGGGCCCTTCGTAGTCGCCCGGGGATTGCACCACCGGGCAAAATCCACCGTTTCCGAGTGATGCTGAGCCCCGAATAATAGCTCGTCCTATTGCTGTTTCAGCCACTGCTTGCTCCCATCTCATTCTGTCGAAATCATTGCGCAGAAGGGTCACCTGAATGGTTTTTCAGGATAAAATTGTTTAAATAATAATTCTCTCTACTTAAAATTTTTACATAAACTCATGAGTTTCAACGGAAATCTTTTGATTACATGAAATAAATAATTCATTCATCTCAAATAAATTCTTTAGTAAAATCAAATGCACTATCGTTTTGACGTAAAAAACTCAAAATAAAAATATAGTTTAAATCTGGATGAATTTTAATTCAAATAAACTATTTCTCCGAGCATAAAAAGTGAATAGAATGAACGAATAATGATTAAAAAAATTAAAACCCGAATGAATTATGAATAGGAAAAGTTTTGTGATAGATTTTGGATAGATTACCTCATTCTCCAATTTCTCCAGGCGTTCAGCATCTGTCATTTTCCGATCCTTCATCACCCTCTGGTCCCTCCCGCCCTCGCAGGGGTCACGCTCCGGACACTTGGCAGCTGCCATATTCTTTACCAATTAATTTATCTCTTTTATCAAAATAAAATTCAATTTCGAGAGGGCGTCAGAGCCGAACCATCAATTTTCTCAGACAGGGAAAAACAAAAGTCAATCACTGCTCCGCCTTCGTCTCCAATATTTTCGCTTCCTCCTGCGGGGGTGGGCTTGCACCGCGGTGTCGCCGGAATTGGGAATATCGTTTTCCAAGACTTCTGAACAATTTTCATCCTCATTCTCGTTTTCTTGAAACGACGAGGACGGTGTTGCATTATTCATCAATTGGTGGTGAGAATTTAATCTGGCGATACCACGCAACACGGCCTCCTCGAATTTCTTCTTGTACTTGAGTTTTTCCGCCTCCAGGACTCGGTGCTGAATTTCAAGTTTTAGAATTTCTTTTTTTAACTCGATCAAGCGGTCGTCCTTGGATTCTGCGATTTGGCTGATTTTTTTGGGCCTTTTCTTTTCATCATTTTGCATAATCGGACAGGGAATTTAGAGAATTTAGAGTGTGAGAAACAAATAAGGGGCGATATTTGGAAATTCATTGGTCTCTCAAATCCCAACGGGAATTATTTCTTTAAATTAAGTAAAACATACATCAACACCTCATATTTGTACATTTCGTTTGTCGAAAAAACTTAATATTAAAAAAATTGAATGAAAAAAAATTAAAGAAATTCAAGTGGTCACAGGAGATTTTCCTGAACACACTGAATTCCTCGAATCATGACATTCGACGCATGAAATAACAAAACCCCTTCACCGAAATGGATCTTGCCCATTAAACCATGAAGATCCCTCGTTAAAATCATTCCTCCGAAGGACCCCTCCACACAGAGAAACGCATTCTCGTAATCAGGCGAAAAATGATGCTTGGAAAACTGTCATCCCCGAGATCATCTTTCATAAAAAAAATACTTTCACGTGCACTGCGAGCCATCATTTCACCTACATCGCAATGCACACACGTACAGCTGTACTTTACATGGGAATACAAATCGTCTCCCCGAGTACGCCGAGTCTGGGGGTACGGAGATACGTAATGTCGAGGATTTCTATGGACTGACATAAACAAAAAAGATATTAAAGAATAAAAAAGAGAGATAAATGTACCGTAAGAGTCAAGTACACGTTTGTTCTCTTAAAAAGTTCTTCGTGTTTCCTTATAACTTTCATTATTTCCCTGGAAAGAATGAACAGCGAAAAATATACTCAGTGTTATATTCCCTAACTATATTTCGAAAGTCGATTACACCGCCGGATATATCCGATTACTTTATTCCGGAACTTTGTAATTTGGTGGAAGTGCGGATTTCGTAACAGCAACTCGACAAAACTCGCTAATCTCGTTTAAACCGTTCTGTGTTGTATGCCATTCCACTTTTTTCTAACTTCATCACTTCTTATTTTAAATTTTTGTGGTATTCGGGGATTAAAATACTTCGCTCTCTCAATATTCCTCTGCATTAATTTATTTCTCTTCTTGAGTACAATAATTCTTAATTCTCTAAAGCCATTTTATTACCATTTTTACGAGATTTATTCCATTTTAACTACAATTTATGGGATAAATTAGAGAATAAATTTCTCTCGCTATTCAAGCTTGGATAACTGCCCAATCGATCGGAAGAGACACGTGTTTCTGTCACTTCTCATTTACCAAACCCTAGAATCGATGAAGGAACCAGGGTGTAATTATACCTGGAAACTTGAGTGCATGAAGACAGGAGAATAAAACAGATTAAATGAACATTGAGAGGCCATACAGAGGTGGATAACGAAGCTAACGATTACCTGGTAGCGTATGAAATGGATATCATAAATTCGAATTTCACAGGTGTAGAATCTCCTCACCTTCGATGAGAAACAAAAAGGCAAATGGAGGCGGCATAATACGCGCACATACGAGTACAGGGAAATTGCACAATGGAAATTGGACGCAGACGAGTAACTCACGTTATATAACTCGGGTTTTCGTGCTGTAATGTGTAAAAAAATACTCGCATATTCCCATTCATTCCCCTTCGCTCCTATACCCACCGCGTACTAATCACGGTAAAAGCCATCGTGCGACGAAGCTCTATCCCTAGTACAACCACCTTCTTGCCTTACTTAATGGTAATATGAAAGTTTTTCACTTTTTTCCGGATAATCCTCGGCGTTTTTTCCATCGAAATGCCGCTCGACAATGAAATTGCATCATTTAATTAGTTGAATTTAATTTTTTATTGACAACTAGTTTCATTAAGGAGTCCCTCCATGCCTTTCTCATCTACAAACTCGATTGAACTCAATTGAAATTAATAATTTAAACAAAAATGAAGAATACAAAACCGAGGAAAGTCTTATATTTTATTTTTTCGAGAAAGTTTCACGTTTTTTTCGATGGAAAAAAAAAGGAAATAGTGAACACCGAGGAAAAGTTTTCCAGTTATTCGATGATTTTCACTGAAAGCAAGAGAGCCCCTGAGGCAACCTCCTCAACAAGCCGACCCCAACGTTAGGTGCACTTTTGGGATAGAGCGGCCAAACCCCGAGTAGCGACTGTGCTTGACGACTCGAGTGCCTACCGAGACGATGGAAGGAGAAGGAGGGCAATGTCGCCGCTCAGCCACCAGCGTTACCCCTGTGTTCATCATCATCCCTTTCACGGGTCTACAAGCCTCGGCCACCTTAGCCATGAATATTCTAATATGCTTAAACCCACAGTAATTTACACAACATCACAAACCCCAGGGTTATTATCCTTTCAATTTGCTCCTTGGTGGAGAAACAAGTCTGATTCTCTGATAAAATATATTCTCCATTCATTTTCTAAAATCTACCCATTCAAGCAGTAAAAAATTGACATGTTGATTTTCAGATAAAATAGATTTTTATTCGATTCCCATTTGCATTCATAGACAATGGAAACATTTTAAATAAATATTTTTGGTATATACAATCGTGATTACTGACGTCGATAGTCATCAAGGGGCTGGAGTTCCCCAGTTGTTATCGAGTCCAACACCCAGACCTCTCGCAAGCCCTTCGCACCAATGACGATCTTCGCTTTCTGCGGGCTCTCGATGATTCTCCCTCCAGCTGTCTTGATCAACTCTTTGAGAATCTCTCGAGGGGGGGCTGTGGAGCCATCAATATAAATCAGCCCACAGGTCGCGAACAACTCCGGCACATACGACCTCCCAAATATCTCCCTGTCCCTCCTGTTCTCCTGCACAGCCTTGGAAAAATGATCGATCTCATAGTTCTCTGGACTCTGCCACGTTCTCGCCCTGATCGATCTCTTCAGCCACTCGATGCTCACGAGCCAGCAGCCCCTGATTATTCCTCTGAGTAGATTAATCGTACGCACTCCAGTCGTGACAATATGCGTCGTTTGACGTGTCACTGACGACTCCATCCTGGCACCTCCAATTTTCTTCACAGCAGCCTTCACTAAATCCTTGTCACCGTTACACAATCCAGTTGTAACGATGTAGATGCACTTGGTGTGGTGTCTTCCCTTTGTGGCTATTCGTTTGTTGTCTGTGAAGTCGTTCAACGAGTCTCTACTCTGCTCCGAGTTATCAAGGGCTTCACCTTCAACCTCATTCAACAGTCGAAGTACATCTGGATTCACTCTCTTCTTTAAGACTAACTTTTTGCTCATTATTTTTCGCTTCTTCGTCTTATTCTCAACTTTCTTATCCTCAAGTCTCTTCGGGAATTTCAGTCGGCTTTTAATCACCTCGAGTTTCTGGGTTTGTGTTGCTGTTTCGGCCTGGGTTTGGGAATTTTTGGGGAGGAGAATTTTGTGGATTTTTCGCTTTTTCTTTTTTACTGATAGCACTGGAGTTCGGGGCGAGGACTCTGCTCTTTCCATGGGACTCAGGGATATTAAGCCAGAGTCATTCAGCTGGGTAAATAACTTTCTCCTTTTGCATTGTTTTTTCTTGGCTGATGCATTGTCTTCCGTCTCACTCCTCTCGTCGTCCGACGAGTCCTCGTAAATACTTTCTCTCGGTTTGGGATTATCCGATTCAGCTTCACTCTCGTCTGCGGAGTCCTTTATTATCGGGCCTTTGAGGGATTCAGAGGTGTCCAGGATGATTGTGTCTTCCAGTCTGTGGTGAGACGTTGAAGGGACGGGTTCAGGGCTCGTGGTGGGGTTTCTGGAGATTGAATTTTTATTGGAATTATTTTATATGAAATTTCAATGGATTTTATTTTGCTTTCAATTAAAATGAGAAATTCATAGAGACTTTTATCACTGAAATTAGATTAATTGGAGAATTAATTGAGAGGGACTATGAGAATCCTTTGAGTGAATAAATAAATTAATGAATTTTAATGATTGAATCCAATTTAATAAAATTGGACTCCATTTTCACAATTAAAAACAATAATTTCTTGAATTTCCAACATAAATGAGAAATTTTTGGGTGAATTCACCATTAAAATCAAATAAATTAATTTTAACATGATCAATTATCTGAAATTCCTCAACATTTACTTACGATTTCGTTACGATCCGCGAAACCTCGCGTTTTACACCAGAATCCGTTGACTTCTTTTCCAAGACAGTCGTAAATCGTGATTGTGATTTCATCAACGTCGACCGACTAATGGGGGCTGGTGTGGCCTCCACAACACTCCCATTAGTTGACCTCCGAGACACCAGTGAAGTATTGACGTTCAACGACAGACAATCACCCCACGCACCAGTCGAATTACCCTCACTCATTCTCTTCCTCTCATTGAATTCCGATTTTTTTCTCGATTCAATAAACGCCGGGTGGATTATCTTCAGAGAGCGATTTGACTTGTTCAAGGAGAGACTTCTTCTCCCTGGATTGCTCTTCCTCACCCCCAGTACAGATCGACTAGACTGAGATTGGCTCATCGAGGGGTCATCCAGGACTGGATCCACCGAGGTTCTGACCTCCAGAGAGGTCCTGCCACTGCTGAAACTCTCGTTATTCCCCTCCAGGGGTTTCCCCACAGGATTATTGATGCCAGCAGCAGTGGATTGAGGCATGAGAATGGGGTTTCCCACAGCTGGAGTCAATTCCATGGAAATTTCTCTCAAATTTCTGCTGCGATTCACCCTCTCGTACCCATCAATCTTATCAAGAGGTATGTAGCACGATCTCACGTCCCTTATCACTGGTTTTGATGACTTTGGAGTGACACACTCTGAGTTATTGATCCTCCTGACCCCTGGATTGCTCATCAAACTCGCGTTATGACTCGTAAAAGTCGAGCATTTTATCGGATTTCCCATCACAGTGTCCTCTTTACTTGATGAGCGACAAGATGACCGCGTTCTCCTCGGTGAAAACACGATTGAAGTGCAGTTTTTATTGCTGCTGCTCACGATGGGACTGGCACTCGGTTTCTCTCTCCTAGCTGATGGCTTTGGGAAGAAGTCACTCGAGTCACTCTCCTCGAGGACCAGGGGAAGTCTCGCCTTCTTCTCTTGACTGTTGGACTGGTTCTGGTCGTTCTGGTCAGAGGTACCCTCTGCCTCCCCCAGGATCGACGCTGTCTTCTTGCAGAAGTCATTCTGATTGTCGAATATCTCTCGGGTTTTGCTCAGGATTGCCTCCCTCAAGCGTTTCACGTTGTCGTCCAGGATCTCTTGCTTACTGTTGATATTCCTGACTTCTGTGTCACTTGTGTCCGAGGAATTCGAGACGAAGCTCAGGTTCACCTGCAGGGAGCTCCTCCTGGCGTTGATGTAGTCACCTCGACGTCGCTTTTTTGAGAACATTTTTTTTTATTGGGTGGATTTAGTTCCTCGATCACACGATGACAGGCAAACACTAGCGTTTATTTACGAGGGAATAACCTCTTCATGGCGGAGTACACGAGTCTCTGAATGTCACGTCCACTTTATCACTTTGTTTGATAATTTACTGGGGTTTTAGAGACGATGGGGATGGGGCTTTAACGATTATATCTTCGTTTGGTGATTTTGAAAAATCGGAGCACTACGAACAAACACATAACGATTGTTTACAGTTTTTTGAAACTCGAACCTGCACGAACAGACCCTGCAGGCGGATTTGTATGGGCACGACATGGGAACTTTGAAAAGAAAGGAAAGTTTCATTGAATAAATTCGTCAAAAATTTTTTACGTGAAATTCGCTTTTTTTTAATTTTAAAAACCTTCAAAAATAAGTTAAATGAAAGAAAGTAGTTTTCATCCAGTGAATAAAATGTACTTTAATTTTATTGTTAATAAATAAAGAAGTGCTTAGAGGTGGAAAATTAAATTTCAAGACTTTCATTTCAATAAAAAATGTATTTTATTATGTAAACGAGTAGATGCAAATCACAGCCTTCATTACGTGACGAATAACAATTACAGTAATCAATAAACATCGAGAAACTGTCAACAACATTTAATCCCAGTGGCTGAACAATTCAAAACATTCAAAAACTCCACTGACACCCACTAAAAAAGCTGCTGAAAATATTTAAAAAATTGTTACCAAGCTTATGAAACATCCCCTCGATAACATCACCATCGCAAACGCTTCGAAAAATAAAATCAGACTAACGAAGTAATTTTTCGTTTAGCTTTTTTCTTTCGTCAGGTGTTTAAATAACTCCTCCCATCCTCGGTGTCTCGATTCACTGGCATTTGCTCTTCCTCGTCGTACGAGCTGTACCTCTGGAAATCCCTCCTGCCCCCAGTCTTGGGCAGAGATAAATTCACCAAGTCGCAGTAGTTGATGTTCAGATCTTTGAAAGCGTTCATGAGAAAAATTGCTGTGATGACCACGAAAAATCCACAGAGAGACCCCAGGATATTCTCGTACGTCATAAACTCCCACTCCTCGAACAATATTGCAGATGCAATTATGACGAAAGTCGTGAAGAAGACGTAGTACACTGGAGTGACGATAGCTGTGTTGAAGAGGTCGAGGGCTTTGTTCAGATAGTTCATCTGCACCATGATGCAGAGGATTATCGAAAAGAGGGACACCCACGTGAGCCAGGACTCCATTCTGTTATTCTCAGTGTAGATCGTCTCCTTGATGGATAGTCCCAGGATTTTACAACTCATCACTGTGAGGGAGCCCACTATGGAGCAGAGGAACACGTAAATCGTCACGTTTTCCTTTCCATCCCTGGGCCCCACGTGGAATATGATAAATAGGCTGAGGAGAATCACGAAGATGGTGTAGATGCTGAAGCCAGAGTGCTGGAGCCTGTAGACTAAGTCCTCGACTGTGTCGATCTCTTCGGTTTTTGGGGCGTGGAGAACTATTATGGTGGATCCCATGATGGACAAGAAGCAGCCCAGCTTGAAGAGAAAATATTCAGTAATTTTTTTTGAGTGATTTTGTTGATCTTTGTGGGTTCTTTCAATAGATGTGAACATGCAAATTATAAGAAACTTGGGAATTATAGTATACTGTACTATTTTGTGTTAAAGTTTGAGTTGCAAGTATCCAATGACATGATATTAACATTTCTTTGAATGATTATTTGAATAATAATGCAAAAATCAATTGTAGGAATTGTATGAAACATTTTGGATAAAAATCATGGGGTTTTTGGTGATTTTTAAAGCCTGAAGCAGCTTAAATAATCCGAATTTCTCGGTATTTCGTGACCTCACTCCATCCATAAAACAATTTTGAATGAAAATAATTCGTTTTCCATTTGCACACCTTCCCCAATAAATTCAGCTTCTCGTGGAGGTACCTGGGGGAGAGTATAGCTGCAATAACGATGCTGAGGACCCCCAGAGGAGTGACAATCGAGGCTGGAGCGAAGGCATAAGCAACAAAGTTAGCAGCCTCTCCTATTCCCACTGGAAAAATAAAAAAATGGTAATTAATTTCTCCCAATTTTATTTCATCATTCGATGGATTATGGTCACGTACTTGATAATAACCCGGTCCACCACATCCACTCCCGCAGGTATCCGTGACCCCCCGCTCCGGCCCTCAGCCCATACTTCTGGAGATTCACTAGTGCCCTTTTTTTAATTATAAAACTGATACCTGCGAAAAAAAAATAAAATTCATTATTGAATTTAAAAAAACGAACTTTTGACACGTGAAAACTTGAATTTTCTAACCTATGAACAAATTGGAGCTGACAGCCAGGGACAGCCCCAGGTAGAACTCCCAGTTCGCTGCATTATCCCTCTCCATTCTGGAGCACCTCAATACACTTCATTGAAACAATTCCTTAGACGTCTGAACATTTTCATTCAAATTGCACATCGAGAAACGTCAATCCGAGGTAAACAAAGTATTCAGTCCAATAGGAGAGTGGGGCAGATGGACACATTCCGTTTTGGACACGTTCTAGGGAAAATGACTACAGTACGAAAGGCGGTGAAACAGATGGGCATGGATTTGTTGCATTTCATCAACAATTGAATGAGGTTTTAACGTTTAAAAAAATTCTCATGTGTCTCAGGTTTTTCGAAATAAAGTAAAACATAATATAATATAGTTACGTGTGTAATATTTATTCAATTTCTCAATTCTTTTTTATTGTCTAATACTTGACAAACGGCCCAAACAGACCCTTTGGCATTCCCGAGTTCCTATTGGTCCCCCACCCCTTCCAAGGGCTGACCCCGAGTCCCAAACTCTCATACATAATTAAATCAACCAGTTTCTAACTCATATAAAATCAACTGAATAAAATTCTAATTCAATCAAAATCAACTAAATAAATAATTGAATAGCATTCTAATTAAAATCATCTAAAAGTTAATTTTGAAAAATCAAACAAACTGCATAAATAATAAACCCACTTGCAGTTCCAATAAAATAAATTCTAAACTTTAGCTCAGAGTCTAAACTCTAAAAACCCCCTTTAACCTCACGAATTTAAAACTCCCGCCTCCAACAAACAGTCGAATCAACGTCGTCCATCCCCACTCCAGCAGTCCCCCCACCCCAACGCCTCGTTTTCCCTTTATCACCGCAAACTCATTCAATTTTCAGATTGAGAAAATTCGGAGTCACAACCGAATCTCCAGTGAAAAGTGAGAGTCCCTACGTGGCAGTGGTCAACTCCTCCCTCATAACAGTAAATTTTCATTACCCTGTACAAAGACATTGAATGATAAACCAGTGATATTCCGTGACTAGACATGATATCGCTCATTTCACGCCTAAACTCAAACAGATGTAGAGTGACTGTCCAAATTTTCTGACATATCGTGTAGTTCACTCCAACTCTCTCACAATCAACATTTTTATTATATTTTTTAAGTGTTCAACATCGAGAAGGAGAAAACAAGTCAATCAAAAAGCATTGATAGCCCTCTGAGAAAACCTAACTAGCCAGAATGAGTGAATTGAGCCAGGAAGAGGTGAGTCTTGATTTACATCAACATAAAATATTGAATGAATATCAATAGCATCTACCCAATCACCATAACTCAAACCTTCGTCAATAAACCCACATACTCATCACGAGAGTGCTTTCACAATCAACGAACCGTGAAATACTTCGTATCAGTCGACTTTTATTATTATATTATATAACTGATGATTATTTTTTATTTATCCACCGATATCACTTATTTATTTGTCTCTGTCTCGTGGGCTCTCCCCTCGTGGCCAAAACTCATTGGTCAAGTATTTTTATTGTCTCGTGAATGTCTCAAGGAACTGAGACGTAACTGCAATATTTTCTTTGTCTCCCTCCCACCCCTCCACCCCCGCAGGAGAATTTCGCTGTTCCTTTGAACCGAGTTAAATTTAGAAATCGCCAGAATGCTCTTTGTTTACTCATGGCTTTTAAACACCCGGAAAAACCAATTACAGTTGTTCAATCATCGCGTGGTTGAGACAAAGCGTTTCCCTGAGTTATTTATGAATAATTAATTATGATAATTAGATGCGGAAGCGTCGACTGGCGCGTTTAGCTGGTTTAGAAACCAGTGCCACAGCGAACACAAATGGAGGCAATTGTCTCAGTTCTCCAAGCACCCCAGGGCCATCGAAAACCCCTGGCCTAGCCAGTGTATCTCCAGTTCAGCAGTCTGAGTCACACAATCTCAATAATGATATGCCCATGGAGACTGAGGAGAGCAGTGAAAAGCAGTTGAATAATTCAGGGATTGATGTGGACTCTGGGATTGAGAATATGGAGGTTGAAGAGTCCGACAGGAAAGACACTGCGTCTAGATCAAGGGTAAGACATCAATAAATCCATTTCCTTCATAAATCCTCATTATCATTTTATTCCAGACCACAAGCTCCAGCATCGAGGTATCCCCAGACCAGATCCACACAGTGATATCCCGAGTCCTCTGTGTCTCTTGGAGAGACTCCACAGGCCCCAGGATATTCCTCCCTCAGTTCTCCTCGACGCTCTCATCAGATGACCAGAAACCTCTGGACCCCACTGAGATAATAAGCCAGAGTCTGATGGAGGTCCTCCAGATGTTCACGAGAGACGAGGATCCACTGAAAGGTGTCTCCATGGAGACTGCCTCAGACCGAGAGGACAGCCCCAACAGCCAAGCAAGCCCACTGACGAGCCCAGTGGACCCCCTGCCATCGTACTCACTAGCCAGTCTGCCCCTGCCCCCAGGAGAGAAGGGAGAGAAACTGGAGAAGTCCCCTCAACTCAAGAGCCTCCTCTACCTCCTGGACTGCTACACTCGAGTGTCAGTTGAGGAGAGAAACCAGCCAAAACGCTCGTCAGTCCCCCCAATATCAGAACTCCTGGCCTGCCTCAGAGCCCAGTGTGTTCAGTACTCCAGTCTTGTTCTCCAGGGCGTCCTCGATGCCCCAGGGCTCCAGGCATTCTCTGGCTCCAGCCCCCTCCTCATCCCAGTGCTCTCCCAGACTTTACCTCGAGGCTTCCTCCACGAACTCGTTGCCAGAACCCATTCCAACCCCCAGACATTCAACAAAATCTTCACACCCCTCCTCCAAGGGCTCTATCTGTCCATGCAACAAGGCAGTCTTGTGGGTAATACCCATCGTCGACCTGTCCAGGCACTGGAGGAACTCATCGACATCAGATGTGGCACCAATGGCAACATCAGACCGATCTGTCGACTCATAACTCATCAAATTCAGTTTCTCCCGGACTTCATGACAACTGCTATGGGGAGGGAGTTGGCTCGCACCTCATTCCTCGGACCCTTCCTCTCAGTCTCAGTGTTTGCTGAGGATCAGCCCAAGGTTGCTGAGAAGTTCTTCAGTGGAAATCCCTCTAATGACAAATCAATAAACTTGACACTCCAGCAGGAACTGGAGAGCGTTCGGACTTCGTTTCACAAGATGTTGCATGCCATACTGGCGACTTCAACCTGTCGTGAGGCAACCCTGGCTTATCTAGCTGCTTTACTTCGTCACAATGAGAAGAGGGCGCAGATACAAACTGAAGAGTTCAAACTCGCTGGGGATGGCTTCATGCTGAATCTTCTGTCAGTCCTGCAGATGTTGTCTGTTAAAATTAAACTCGACACTGTGGATCCTCTCTATCCCTTTCACCCATCGAGCTTCGTGGAGATAAAGAACGACACGAGACTGAAATTATCGTCTCAAGAGGTGACAGACTGGCTAACAGAGCTGGAAAGAACGCACAAGTGGACGGAAGCCAAATTCCCAACTCAATGCTGGTTTTTAACTCTTCATTGTCACCACGTGGCTCTGCTCCCTGCTCTCCAGAAGTACCAGAGAAAACTGAGGGCCCTGAGGGACCTCCAGAAGATGTTGGACGAGCTCCAGGCAACTGAGTCCCAGTGGAAGGACACCCCCTTTGCAGCTCATAACAAAGAACTGATAAAACGCTGGAAGCAGCAGCTAAAACGCCTAGGGAAGTCCAAATCGTGTGCTGATGCGGGATTGATTGACCCAGTGCTCATCAGGCGTTGTCTCCACTTTTATACTTCTGTGGCTGAAGTCCTCCTGGGACTGTTGACCGACACGAAGCCAGGGGGCCCCCTCCCAGCCCTCCCCCTCCCCAGAGACGTCCCCAACAGATTCACCGCCCTCCCAGAGTGGTACGTCGAGGACATCGCAGAGTTCTTGCTTTTCGCCCTGCAATTCAGCCCTGGAATTGTCGCCAGCAATATGGACAATTCCCTCATCACTTGGCTGTTAGTCGTCATCTGCACTCCCCACTGCATACGAAATCCTTACCTCATCGCTAAAATCATCGAGGTCCTCTTTGTAATCAATCCAAGTGTTCAAGGCAGCACTGAAACCCTCCACGATCAAGTCATGTCCCATCCAATCTCCAAGACTTTCCTGGCGTCCTACCTCATGAAGTTCTACACAGACGTCGAGACCACCGGCTCGAGCTCGGAATTCTACGATAAATTCTCGATTCGTTATCACATCAGTCTCATTCTCAAGTCCATGTGGGACTCGCCAGTCCATCGTGCTTCTATCGTCAATGAAAGTAACAATGGCAAGCAATTTGTCAAGTTCGTCAATATGCTCATGAATGACACGACCTTCTTGTTGGATGAGAGTTTAGAGTCCTTGAAGAGGATTCACGAGGTCCAGGAGTTGATGTCGGACACAGCAGCGTGGTCTGCATTGTCTCAGGAGCAGCAGCAGTCCAGGTCGAGGCAGCTCACTGCTGATGAACGCCAGGCCAGGTCTTTTCTCACTCTGGCTAAGGAGACTGTCGCAATGTTCCATTATCTTACTGTTGATATAAAGGAGCCATTCCTACGGCCTGAACTCGTGGGACGACTCAGTGCCATGTTGAATTTTAATTTGAAGCAGTTGTGCGGACCGAAATGCAAAAATTTGAAAGTTAGAAAGCCTCAGAAGTACGGCTGGGAGCCCAGGACTCTTCTGGGACAGCTGGTGGACATTTACCTGCATCTTGACTGTGATAATTTTGCTGCTGCCCTGGCTAGCGATGAGAGGTCTTTCGGTAAGGAGCTGTTCAATGATGCTGCTAACAGACTGGGGAGGTCTGCTATTAAAACTACCACTGAGATTGAACGGTTCATGGCACTCGCTGAACGCGCTGCTGTTATTGCACATGATAATCGAGCGAGGGATGAGGACTATGGGGATGCACCTGACGAATTCAAGGATCCACTCATGGATACGCTTATGGATGAACCCGTTAAACTTCCGTCCGGGATTATTATGGATAAGGCTGTTATCATCAGACACTTACTCAACAGCTCCACTGATCCCTTCAGTCGACAGCCTCTTAGTGAGGATATGCTTACACCTGGTAAAGACACACAACTATTCCGTAAAATGTAATATGAAAAACTTTTTTTCCAAATCTTAAAGATTTTTTTTAAGACTCAGGGAAATTTCTGAATTCCTAAAGCACATTTGCAACATTTTAAGCTCAAAGGTTTGCAAAATTTTAATGAACTTTCATAGTATTCTTAGAATTTGCGATAATTTGTGATAATATTCTTATCAGTATCAGTTCCCTCCTCCAATAATAAAAAAAATTAAATGTTTCTCCCAGCACTGGACTTGAAGGAGAGAATAGCCGCATGGAAGCAGGAGAAAAAGAAGTCTGCTAACTATTAAGTGATACTAACTCTCGTTCTTAGAACGTTAACTTGATATAAAATGGCATCGTTCTGTCACTGCACATCAGTCAACGATTAAAATTTCTGAAAGCAAAGGAAATTGAGATGACTATCAGTGCAATGATCTCCCAGGTGTGCAACTGTTGCGCTCAACAAATGAAAATTTCCAGTTCTTTTTGTACAATAATGATAAATGGACACAGACTGCAGCCAAGTAACTGCCAATCAAGAATTTTCAAAAGAAAAAAAACTGTATGGAGAATCAAATGTAAATACGCGCGTAATCTGCTGCCTACTACCAATTACTCATCGATGTCAATAAATTTTATTTCCATTTTTTAATTGTCGAGGGGAAGCGAAAATCATTGTGACTTTTTTTTGATTATTAGCATTTTTAATGTGAATGATGTATAAATTTCCATTGTAAATGTTATTGGCATTCGTATGAATGGGGTAACGGGTTAAATGGAGGAGGAGCGATTGAGGAAAATTGTCGGAAAGTCGATGAGAAAAAAAATTTATAAGAGTTTATCTGCGCAGTAGTTGAAAAACAACTGGCATTTTTTGACATGTGATCTTCGATGGGACAGCGTGACGTTGCCATAGTCCTCTGTAATGGTCCCCCTTAAAACAAGAAATAATTAGTAATCATTATACTTTAGCATTCCTGATTGAATCTAACACAATCGGCAATTTTTCGTTCTTCTTTAAAACTCAAACAAAATTTTCTTTTTTGTAGAAAAAAAAAACTGATTCCATATACGTTTATACGGTGAACTGTGCCCTCAGTGTAAATAATGTGAAAAGGAAATCGAATTCCGTTAATAGCTATCATCATTTTCCTCTAACAATTTATCATCATGTAATCTCAATATTCGTTGTGAAACAGACTCCACTGGCTGCATTCAGGGGTATTAGTGCAACATCTAGGACTCATTTTTACGAAACTTATCTGTACATACATTCGATCATCATTTGAAAGTGGCTTATGTGCATTCTTCGATTATCAAAATTCATTTCAACTGTCATTTGTTGCGAGTGTCACGAGGTGGATAACAAAGTCGTAATGAATCAAGTATCATCTTATCATACGTTTCAATGAATAATTAATCTTATATAATATGTAAAAGTAATGTAAACAATAAAAAAATCATTTGAGAGCTTTGTTTTTTTTCCTTTTAATTAGGAATGGAAATTGGGAGAGATTTTCTCGAATTAAAAAAAATGGGAAGAAGTCGAATGAGTGGAATTTATCATTTTGTTTTTATTTTTGCTTTAATTGTCACGAAATATTGACAATTAACGGCATTTCCCTTCATCCTCTACTGATAAATATCTTCAAATGTTTTTCTAGTTGAAAAATGAAGGAAAAATTAGTAAAAAAAATCCTTTCTGCAAAATCAGTGCCCCTGACCGGATTTGAACTTTCTCGCGTTCACGTGCTCAACACGCCACACAAATTCATAAATGAAATGCGAGCGTGTTCTATCCGTGAATGAAGAATGGCCCTCTCTAGGCAGTCGTGGACATTCGGGATTCAATGAAAATAAACATGTGAAATAGTGCCCACAACAATTGAAAAATCAGCCTGAATAAATAATTAATTAGCACTCCATTTTATTTGCGAGGAGTCAGTCCTTATTCGTCTACATGTTGGCATCGGCCAGTGGGTCAGCCGTTCGGACAATTAAACATTGTCAACAGTGAGATAACCCTCGCATTGTCACAAGTCATTAATTCAGTATAAATAATGTTGAGACAAGCACTGAAGAAGACATTTGGCTACGATGACTTCAAGAGTGATATTCAGGCACGAGCTGTTGCAGCTATCCACAATGGTAAAGTAATTCGTTCAATAGAGGAGGGGGTGGGGCAAAATGGGCACTTCTTACGTTGAAATAATTCTATTGCACCAAACACTCATGTTTGGAATTATTGGGACTTTAAAGGAAAAATTATGTCTTCATTTTGCCCCAGTGTGAGTGTGAAATGTTAAATGAATCGTTAAATTCCAGGGAAACAGGACGTTTACGTGTGCATGCCCACGGCTGGTGGGAAGTCATTGTGTTTTCAATTGCCAGCTGCTCTTAAAGAGAACTCAGTGGCTCTCGTTATCTCTCCACTTCTGGCTCTTGTCAAAGTTCGTAAAACGACATTATGTAATTTTATTTTTACTCAGGGAGTCTCGAGGTTGTATTATATTCACGCGATGATTTTTCACAGAATCAAGTTGATTTTCTTAACGACAAGGGCATAAAAGCCCGTGCACTGAATTCGAAAACCCTCGCAAAGGAGAAAAATGCCATTCTCAGGGATTTGGGATTCACGAAGCCATCGACTAAGTTGCTTTATGTCACACCTGAGATGTGCACCCAGCAGTATTTTCAGGTAGAAGAGTCCTTCAGATGTGTTGGGGGACATTGAGAATTAATTTCGTAATGAGGTCCATCGATTTTCAGGATATATTGAGGAAAATGCACAAGACGAAATCAATTTCTTATGTTGTTGTGGACGAGGCGCATTGCTTGAGTCAGTGGGGGCACGATTTCAGGCCCAGTTATCGAAAGCTGGGGAGTTTGAGGGAGATACTGCCAGGAGTGCCTGTTGTTGCATTGACTGCAACTGCAGCGAAGGAGGTAGAGCATTTCAAAACATCATTGTTTCTTAAAAAATTTTCGAAATGTCTCAATGAGATGAAGACTATCGCATTGTGAAGATTATGAGGATAATCTCCATGATAATGGGTTTATTATGTTATTTGAATGAATTAAAAAATCAAAAATAAAAAACATCACATTAAATTACATCAGTAATTTAATTATGATAATTATACATCATCTTCGAATGTCTTCATGGAGATGTCTTGATTTCAGGTAGTGGAAGACATTTTCAAAACCCTGAAGATGAACCCAATAACCTTCTCCTCTCCAGTATTCCGAGAGAATCTCTACTACGACGTGTGGTTCATCGACATCCTCCCAGACCCCCTGGACCACCTCAAGAAATTCATAATCCAGTCCCTCGGGCCCAACGAGAAAAAGAAAAACTGTGGGATAATCTACTGCAGGAAGAAGGAAGCCACCGAGTACCTGGCGACCAAACTCACCGAGGCTGGCATAGCCACCCTAGCTTATCACGGCAGTAAGTCACTGATCCCAGTTGAAAAAATAAACTCTCATAATTCGATTCACCAACTCCCCTTCGTCCTCTCCTAGGTCTCAACAGCAAATGTCGATCTGAAGCTCAAGATAGGTGGACATCGGGCGATGTGCCAGTGATTGCAGCAACCTGCAGCTTCGGAATGGGGGTGGACAAGGGATCGGTTAGGTTCGCATAATGAGAAATTCTGTGCCACTACCACTGCCCCAAATCCCAGTCATTGGATTTAATCTCACAGGGGCAAAGGGGTGAGGTAAAACGATCTTTCCCAGAAGTCTCATATCTCCTGACCAATCGATGCAATTTCGACGAGTCACGTCTCATTTTCAAGCTTGAAAAGAAACCTCAAAAACGAAAAAAAAATCGTGAAATTCCACTCTGCCGATCTCGAGATATTGACGCCGAAAGGAAGTCGTTTCACTCCTCCCCCTGAAAGTCCTAAATAAATGATCTTGATCGTTTTATTTTCGATTCTCAGATTCGTGGCCCATTGGACGGTCCCTCCGAGTGTAGCTGCGTACTACCAAGAGTCTGGTAGAGCCGGCAGAGACGGAAAGCCCGCATCATGCAGAATTTATTTCAGCAGCGAGGAGTACAGAGCCATTGATTTTCTGACAAAAACAGTTGAGCCAGGGCAACCAGTAGAGATTGTTAAACAGAAGAACAAGAATTTTGAGAAAATGGTGTCGTATTGTCTCGAGCCCAAGTGTCGGCACAGTATATTCTCGAAATACTTTGGCGATAGTCCACCTGTTTGCAAAGACCGTTGCGATGCTTGTAAAGATGAGCAGACGATAAAAGATCGAATATCTAGGTTTGAGACGAGCCAGTCTCTCAAGTCTCAGAAGCATCGATCTGTTCTGGATGGAATCGTCATGCCCAAATACGATTACCAGCCCGAAGAGGAGGAGGGAAGAGGCATGTCCAGGGAACAGCTGATTGCTATGGAGAAAAAGGAGGCTAAAGACCTCATCGACAAGCAATTCGCCTTGAGAAGACGAAACTCCTGCTCTGAAGACCAGATTCGAGAGCAGAATTTGCTGGCTGCTAAGGACGCCAAGGTCCACTCAGCTGAGAGCACTGACAGAAAAGTCAAAGGACTGACTGTGCAGATCAGGGAGCACTGCCTTGGACAACTCGCTGAAGCCCTTTTGACTAATTACAAACTCTTCAGGGACTTCTTGTCCCAGACAGTCCCAGAATCCCACGTGCAGGACATTGCACGAGAGTTGGAGTACATGACCCTCTGCAGAACGAAATTGGCGAACAAGTACAAGCTGGATATCTCGCAGGTTCTCTCCAACGTGAAGAGGGCCACGAGCAATAATTTGATGTACGATTATTTTCGAGAGCTGCAGGAGTCGGGGGGACAGAGAGACGATGGAGTTGATGGATTGCAAACTGATGAATCTAGCCTCAAGGTTGATGATGTGGCCAGGCAGCAGGTTCACTCTGGCTTTAAGACAGCCTCAGAGTTGCTTTCAAGCACAAGTGATACAGAGACTATTCACAGGAGAATTTCTCATTTTGGGATGAGTGAGACTAGCCAAAATGTCAACGACATCTCCAGTCACAAGAAGAATGTTAATTGTGGATTCAAAACAGCCTCAGAATTGCTCTCAATTGCGAGTGATACTGGGGCTACTCATAAGAGGAGAATTTCTCATTCTGGCGTAAACGAGTCTAGCCAAAATGTGAATGACATTTCCAGTCACAAGAGGAATGTTAATTGTGGGTTTAACACAGCTTCTGGCTTCAAAAAAGCCTCTGAACTCATCCCCAAACTCGATAATGCGACTAAAAATAGTAATAAGTCTTCTGAGAATGAGAGGAAAATGAGTTCAGGCTTCACCAAAGCTGCAGAACTCATTAGTAAACCCGAGGAGACAAGAAAGACTGAGACGAAAGCTCCCAAAGTCACTGAGAGAAATTCAAAGTCGCCAGCAGAAAAAGGCAACAATTCTATTCTGAAATATCTGGTGAAGGACAAGTCAACTCATGAATCCAACCCACTCAGATCCACTGGTACAACCTCAGAACAATCGCTCTCAGTAGATCACAATACATACTCCACTGACATGTCAAACAAAATGGAGAAACGAGCATTTGGCAAGACCTCCCACAGCCCCAACGATAATCAATCACGTAAAAAGTTTAAACCGAATTCAACGTCAGATGATAACGTCAAGGGAAAAAATAGAATTTCCGCTGCTGATGAAGTGGATGGGAAGAGAAAATTGGAGAAGGCTGTGAAATTTGGCACTGCTGGGGTATTGAAGAGTTATCTTATGAAATATTATCCCTCGAAACCCATGCCGGATAAGGAGAGCTTCACTAGAATTTGCAAAAGTATTCATCAGTTGATTATGGACAAGAGGATCGTAGGTGAGACTTCGGCAGAGTAAAAATACGATATTTCAATGCAATTGAGCTTTTTGTCAATTGATTTCGTCTTTCGATGGCTTTCAGATGAAGGGGAGATCAAGAAATTCGCGAAGAGTTACCTGCAAAACATGTGAAGTCCACTGACTAATGACGTTATTTTTGTATTGATTGCCGGTGTATTTATTTATGAGGGGGCGAGGTGAATAAAGCGTGATAGAGTTCTGTAACGTGTGGAAAAATTGATCAGTTAATTAAAAAATTCTCAAGTATTTCCGAATGTTCTAGACATTTCCACAATTCAATCTCAGGCAAATAGATTTCTTCTCTGCGGAACATTCTGTCATTTTCTAGATAAAGGCTGGGGGAATGGGATAAATATTTTGATTTTTGAATAATGGATACACTAGATCACTCGATACACTTCACACTCAACAGATATTATTTTCGTGTATCCACTAATCCCAAAAACCCTCAGATAAATAAAACCGAACAGTCATAAAGCCCCAAAACCACCTAAATATCTCGTAAATTTCGAAATCCCATGTTTACACTCCCAATAACAAACACAAACGGAAATGTCCATTGCAACTGTCGTACGTAAAAATACATCGCTGACACCAATTGTAAAAGAGGATTAGAAAGAAAGAGGAGAGCGGGGTAGACACTTGTCTGAAATGACGACCGTGATCGTGTAAATTTCGACCTCCGTTTGAAATTAGAAACAAACAGCGGACACTCTGTCGAGGTCGTGCCCGGAAATAATTGGCAAAATATTGGCGAGACTTTTGTTGGGTGTATTAGAGACCAGTTACTCAGAAATTGGAAATGGACTTGCTGCGATAAGATGCAATGACTGTGTCGCAGACACGCTGATACACCTCAGTGTCTCTTCCGGCTGTGATGAATATATGTGCAATGCCCACTGAACACCGGTCTCTAGAGATGTTCCAATCTAAACTTAGATCACTCCCGAATCTCCCCACGTACGGTACACATCGAGATTATTTCTCAGCGGTCCTGCTCATTAAATCTTCGAGTCCCCCTTTGCTCTTTCGCTCTGACATCCATTCTGTAAATCGTCTTGTTTATCCGCGTCCCAAGTTCACAGGTTTTTTTTTCGATACAGAAGTTGTTTTGTCCGGTGGGATACAGTTTCTCAACAAGTGGCTCGGTGAATAGTTCAACGAAATGGCATATAGTTGGGACAATCGTGTTAGTTTCATTGTCAAATTCCTATATGGTCAGTACTCGCTGCATTCCATTTATATACTCTGCATTATTTCTATGCAACTGAACGAAATAGTTTAGAATGATCATGGACGAAAAAATTTCATACAAACATTTGGGGAATCGAGTAGAAAATTCTATTGGGATTACCATTAATTTTTGGCAGACTGGTTGGAAGTATTTCGTAGCTTATCTGCGCATTTTTTTTCAATATTAATTTTCAGTGGCAAATGCTCGATTCAATTTTTTCGTGCATGATTAATACCATTCGTTCCATAATTCAATTTTTCTATACAAATTATTTTATTGAGATTGCAGCTGTAGTAATTCCTCGGTTTCTTTTCCTTATTTGAATTTATAATGAAGAAATGCAAAGAATGGAGAGAAAAAATATTAAAAATTGATTCCAGGGAATTTTTTCAGAAAATCCCTCAACAGAATAAGTTGCATAAAAGATTAAAAGGCATCCCTGAAAGAGTTGCATTAATATTAATTTTATCATGTATTATTGCATATATTAGATATAGATAATAATGGAGTTCTCGATCAGCACGATTTCGAATGCATGGCCCTGAAGATGACGCTGATCGAGGGAAAGGGAGACTTCAATTATAATCGGTATCAGGAGAATCTTCACATCATGCTCTCGCTTTGGGAGGAAATCGCAGAGCTCGCGGACTTCAACAAGGTACGCAGTGATGTGTGCATCGATCACTAGGTTTTGTTATTGTTAAGTATTTTTATTGAAGGACGGAGTTGTCACTGTGGAGGAGTTTAAAGAGGCTGTACAGAAGAGCTGCGTTGGACGCTCTTACCGTGATTTTCCACAGGCTATGAAAATGTTTATTGATAGTCATTTCAAATTGGTGGATATTAACGGTAAGTTTTTGCTAATTTCCAAAATTTCAAGCAACTATTGCCCCAAATTTTTAATTCGTTTAAACTTCAATCGAAAAAATATTGAATTTTTCCAATGGATTTCCGAACTGAAATTTTTTAAAGACCAAATACCTCGATTATATCTTGAAACTTAAGCATAAATCAACAATTCGCGAACATTTTCATCTCAAGTTTCAGTAAATTCCTGACGCTAGTAATTTCAAATGTATCGTATTGAAGTTCTCCCCAAAAATTCCCTCGAAAAATTGCAGACGATGGTGTAATAGCAGCCGACGAATTTCGATACAATTGCGTGAGTCGAATGCCAGTGGACAGTGTCGACGTCCTCGACGAGGCGTATCAAAATCTGCTGACGGATGACGACAGGAAACGCGGAGGACTGACGTTATCGCGTTACCAAGAGCTCTACGCACAGTTCCTAGGGAATCCCGACGAAAATTGCCCTGCAGTGCACCTGTTTGGCCCTTTACGAGAGTCCTGTTAATCCTCAATCTCAAAAATACCCTCACAATCAAAAAATCCATATCCACATGTACAAAAGACAGACCACTAATTAATTCGATAGAGAGATAATTAGAGCGTAAATTAATTAGATCAATAGGGGTTTTAATAACTCGTAGTGAGTCTCAGGATCCAGTAAGCATTATCAATATTTTCATTTGCAAATTAATACCACAATTTGTTATTTTCACAGTGAATAAATAAATGAATATTCATGTCACCGCAATTTGATATGCCTTTTTATTTATTTCTCACATCACTATATACAAGATTACAATTCTTGGCGTATAGTTTCGCAGACTCTGTTCCACCATTCATCAAATTTCATAAATTTTCAACCAAAGATTATAAATGAAATCACACTGTGGCAATTACATTATTTAAACGACCAAAATCAACAATAACCGGACGATATCGTTATCAGAGTGACGATAATACGATAATTAAATTACAATTCTATGCCACAAATACCCCTAGTAGGATTTTTCACTAATTCACATCCAAATCCCGTACTTTTGTTCGTTTTATTAACAATAAACTGCATTCATTAGATTTATCTTCTTATCGGCTGAGGTGATTTTTTTGTATAAAAAGTATGCTCTTCATAGTACAAAATTCTTTCCAGTTTTTTTATCGGTGAATTTTATATAATGAAAATGATTATATCAGTAACACAGCATGTATCTCGATCACGATAATGGGGGTAATTTTATTTTCAAGTGACTTTAGTAATGATGTGAATAATGAATTAGACTGTAACTCACTGGAACGAGGGGATGAATTGACATCACCAGCCAATTTCCCTCGTTGTAAATTATTATTCGAATTTTTGCATGATTTTTTTTTAAATCTCTCCACAGAAATATAAAAATATTAAATACGTGTCAAGTATTTTTCATCAAATTTTCATGCCCAAGAGTAGGAAAATTTCATGCAAAATTCCTTTTACGAGATTCGAAATTTCGACGTTAGACTCTTCATACCTCAAATGCAAGCGGAAAAATATATATTTTCACCGAGCCAAATAAAAAGCGACGCAACAATAATTGAAATACAATCAAGTTTTCTTTTTTTTTCCTCAATCCGCAATACTTAGTAATACTGAGCAACATGTCTTTTCAGAGAACAAATTTTCCAATAATTTTAGGCTAACAAAACACGTGTATTTTAAAATAGCATCGTTAAAGGCAGCCCTGAACGCTTGACACACACACGAATGAATAACAAAGATGTGAAATTATTGTAAACTAGTTACACGAAATTATTGCCCCGTCATACGTCGCGAAATAATATCAGAGATGATTCATAATTTATTTTATCGTAATGTACGATCGAGTGAGATGAGATAATGTTACGAAATGATTTTTCTAATTTACTCTGGATAAATTCGTATTGAATTTGATGTGTATGCCATTATCGTGAACACAGTTTGATAAACCGTTATTTTTGACAATAAATTACAAGGACGAAAATATAGTTATTTTACCCCTACCTCCCCCAGCACTTCAATTTACCTCCTAATGTGAAAACGTCAATTTCTACTTAGGATCATCGCTGTTTACACTGGCGTAGGAAGTTGTTGGGTTCGAAATATTCTGGACAAGAGGTGTCGTGGAGTCAACGAGTACACGGCCTGCGACCTCGTTGGTAAATCCACCGGATTGGAGTTCACCTCTTGTGTTTCGTCGGCGGGACATCACGCCTATATCCACAACAAAAAAAAAACACCACATATAAACCCAATAATTCATCTCCCTTAGATTACGCACGTGTGTTAGTATTTCCACAGATTGCTAAACGCTCAGGAGTGATTAGAGACAGAATAAATACTGCTTATGCTGATATTAAACGCCAGTGTTCAAATAATAATTGAGGATACTCATAATAAACTGAAAACGATAGGCTGCCTACCTATCTATCACAATCGAGAGCTCGGAATGTACTTGTGATGGGTGTAGTGGGTGTATTTGTATTGCTTACTCGATGATTTAATGAGGTTTCTTGCACGTTCTCCAGATTTCCACGCATGGCTCTCCTGTGATTGGCCAACTTCTCTCGATTCATAGGTGAGCCTGGAACCGATTGTTTTTTTGTTCAACGATTTTTATCGATTCATTTTTCATTCTTTATTATCAACACCCAAGTGGATTATTTTCAGAACATCTAGATTGTTGTTCCAACTTATACACTAAAATATTTACCAATTTCCATTTGATTTTACATCTCGCAATTTTTTTCTCCTTTTAGAAAAAAAGAAAAAAATGAAAATTTTGAGATGACAAATAAATAACTTTTCATTGTACTAATTTGCAATTTTCCTCCGGTTGGATTTATCCGTCGTCATTATTTTTAAAAACTCTTTGAAAATGTTCGGTTATTTTCTATTTTTTCTTTTATCGCACAATCATAATTTATGGAGGCTCCAGCGCAATGTAAAACTGAATAGCAATTGGAGAATATCCAATTCAAAATAACGAAAAAAAATCAAGATCACGTTCGAAAATTAATACACCCGGGCCTTAAAACAAAATTATTCAGTATGTACTTAAAAATGGCTCGTGGCTCGATTTGTTTTCTCAAACAGCCATTACACCCGTGCTAAAAAACATCTCGTGTCACATGTGTCAAATGCACATAAAATAGTTTTAACTCCTCGTGAATTTATTTTTATCGTGCAATGCGTTTAAACAATCAGTGGATCATTGAAAATAAATAATCGACTCTTACCTATGTAACTCAGGAGAACTGGAAGGAATATCAAGCCGTGGGCTGCACCAAACAGCACGATTGCCAGATACATTCTGAAGTAGAATACCTGGAATATGGATCAACGGTGTATATTTAGTTTTGAGTCATTTGTACGGATTTCGATGGAATAGAATGGAAAAACGGATTAACAGATTTTTCGCGACGAGACTTGTCAATGCTGTTTACATTCAGTAGGTCTCTATTTTTGGCTTCGAAGGACGGTACTTTCTTATTTCATCGTCGATGATTGTATTTACAACTCACTTTGAATATTTGGCTCTTTGCGAAGCCTAGTACGATGATCCCACCGAATTTGGTGAGTGTTATTCCACTGAACACTGAACTTCCCATATTCGTTACAGCATCAGCTACTCTCTCTATTCTCGTTGCTCGAACTGACATTGAGAATGAGTGAACGAGGTGACTGCAGAACTCTACAGAAATGCCAACGGCCTAAAAGAATTCAATTGATTAGAATTCTTCGAGTTCGAATAATAATTCGATTATGAAATACCCAGTGGATAGCCATGCGTGTAAGCGCTCAGACTGGAAACCTAAGGGTCGTGCAATTCCATGAATTTCTAATCGAAATTACGAATCCAATAACATAATTCCAACATACACAAATAACAAGAAATGAAAAAGGCAAAAATGCAATAAACTTCTCGTAATAAGATACTACTCACCATAACAAGATTGACCAACGACACAGCATTAAGCGTAATATGCCACCAGTACATCAACCCGCCGATATTGACCATGATCATGGTAATAGTGATGACAACCACGAACGACGAGAAGATGTCCAGTCCCATGAGGAAGAATGTCACCAAGAAGATCGCCAGCAACGAAATGCCGAGGCTCTTCAGCGTGTCCGGCCACATTGTCAAATACTGCTCATAGAAGACATAGAAAACGCTGTAAGGAAAGACCTCGGTCCTCTCACTGCGATTGGCAGCCTCCATATGACTGTTAATCATATTCGTTATGTTGGCTGAGATCTTCCTGGCAGCCCTCATGGACTCGTAGTAATCGGCCGACGTCTTCAGGATGGAATGATAAGTCATGAAGTACGAGGCGCCAACGTGCGACAAATTGTTGACAGGATTCAATTTATAATTGACTCCTTGTCCATACGCAGCATGTCCAGCCTTCACACACTGGTCATTAGGATTGTCATTCAAAAAGTAAGAAATGTATTTCTCGAAATATGTTCTATCGGGTCTTCCGAACTTGTTGGTACTCTGGGGACAATTCGAACACATGAATTTCTCGTGTGGACAGAACGAATTATTTCCCGGGAAGTACTTGCAGCAGTTGTCAGCCTGACTCCAGTCAATGTAATCGTCAAGCCAGGAGGACGCAGGCTTGGCCACATAAGTGATATTGGGCTGCTGAGCTGCGATGAACACCTGAGTAGACAGTGAATCAGAGTTGCACCACTGCCCACCGCAGATTAAATTCTGTGTCTCTGTATCCGAATAATTCAGCCCCTCTTTCACGACAAAGTACATGGGAGGCCCTATCGACAGGTATTGATTCAGAGACTTGAAATATTTTAGAACGAAACTGTCCTCCGGCATCGAGAGCTCCTGATCAAGACCAATCTCTATGTGAGGCACCACTGCTATACTGGTGCACAGCCACCCGAAGAAGATCACCATGATCCCAGCACGCACCCACTTCTGCAGTAAAAATGGAACATAAGCTAGTTTGAAGATTTTGTATAAAATTCCATCGACGACTTCCTCCCCACTGTCCTTCTTCGATCCTCTGAGCCAGCAGCAGACGTCCAGTCTATTTCCAGAATGTCGGAGGGTGTCTAGGGTCAATAAACTCACGAAACAAGTGATCTGCAGTAGGAAATCGATGAGGAGAGCCATTCCCGCGTAGAGGGCGAACGCCTTGACAGCAGGCATGTCTGAGAGGCCTCCCAGGAAGAAGCAGCAGCTCTCGGAGACGCTTGTCAGGAGCATGCTTGGACCCACTTGCCCCAAGGTACGTCCTATGTGCTCCGGGATTGATTCATTAGGTCTCCTGCCCTCTCTCTGATGGGTTTGCACCAAAATAAAAACGTTATCGACGCCAACAGCGAGCACCAAGAACGGTATCACCTCAATGATAATCAATGTCGCTGGGAGTCCAATGAACCCAAACAACCCCACAGAACATATGACCGAAGTTAGAACGATTAAAACCCCCCCAAGACCCAGAGTGATCTTGGAATCAATCAGCAATCGACTGCAGGACTTCATCTGCCCCAGAGAAACCGTGATATACGCGAACATGATGATGTAGGACACGAGAATGGTTGATATGTCTGACTGTGACTCTCGGTACAGCTCGTCCTCGATGGACCTTTCAGACGTGAATGCAACGTCCATGTAGCTTGGCTTCTTGTTAGCCACCCAATCCTTCATGTATTCAACGTAAGCCTTCTCCCACTCCATCGCTGGCTGGAGCTTCGACTTGTTGTGGTAGTTGTTGACCAGGAACGTCAGCACAATGGCTGTTGCTTTCTCGTAGTGAGGGTCCTTGAGGGATTGTCCTGGTGCCAAGAAGCCCCCCACTGCTATTGCTGGCTCCACTGGGCCTCCGTAGGGCGCCAGGCAGTCGGGATTGTAGGGATTGCTCGTGCAGGTCTTGAAGTGGTCCAGGTAATTCATCATGTAGCCGTGTTCTTCATCTGTTTCGTTAAACCGCTTCATGCTATTCGACCAGTATCCCCAGACGCTCTGGATCGTGCATTTGCCGACTGTTGGGGGCCCTGTGAAGGCGTTCGTCAAGGGGGCGAAACAAATATCAGCTAGGGTGTAGTTGTTCTCAGTCTCGATGGCTTTGATCCCTTCCTGAAGCTCTAGGATTGTCGTTAGGAACTCCCGGTGGAACACTGGCCCGAAGGTGATTAAGCCGTCTGATGTGTTGTGGATGATGTTGGGCAGGCCCACTGCGGATATTATTATCTGCTCATTCCTGTAGAAGGGCTCGAAGTGACTATCGAAGTACTGTCGCTCCACGCGGGACCTAGAGGTCGCTGATGCCCAGAGCTCCACTGGGTCTGTTGTCACGTGGGTGTATCTGATGCCACAGCCCAGGACGACGACTATGCAGGCACTCAGGAGGAGAACCTCGACCGGACGTTTGGCGCAGAAGACACCCCAGGCGCAGAAAAACTCCTGCAGGAATTTATCGGTATTTGCCCCCAATTTCTCGATCACTGTGGACTCCTCTTCTTGGAGGCCGCTCGGCAGGTCGTCCGCCGATGTCACACCTGGAGAGGTTTTCATTGTCAGTTGGGTTTATCAAGAGGTGGGGACACATATGCGAAGCGAATAACGATCACGTGGGCTGGAAAGCATTAGGTAGTCAAGGGATATTGCAGTGGAATTTTTTGTTGCAATCACTTGACTACGTAATTATAGAAGTTTATGGATAAAAACGAGGGGGTAATTACAATAAAAAAAATAAGCAGGCAAAACATAGCGAATACTTTGAAAAATGTCATGGAATTAATGGCCTTTTGAGAAACATCTGAGACTTCTAAAGTGATTACCCCTTCGTATAAAAGTAAACAAAATAAACGTCGATGCTGAAAAAAAAATTGTGTAAACATAAGACACGATTCAACAAACAATTAACAAACAAAAAAACGTGATGAATAACGAACAATGTCGTGTCACGCGACGCAACGTAAAAATAATAAGCAGTTAGTGACAATTATAGAAGCAGAAATAATATTGAATGGATAAATAGAGCAGAATGAGAGAGAATGAACCATCGAGGAAACATACTGGATCTTTTGGACTGTAGTGGACTGTCCTCCTGATCAGCAGCCAGAGCAATACGTGCACCATCTCCAGGGTGATGTAAACCAGCGGTGAGACGTCTACCCACCTGTCTCCCTACCTCCTCGCCTCTTGCAACTACACACGCACCATAAAACATATTTTTTCCATCTCCTCTCTTATTTTCTTTTCTTTTTCGTGAATGAACGTGTGGATTAGATCTTCTATGCGATTGGGAATGCGTAAATAATAATGTATATGTCGTATTTGTGCCACAACTGTCGGCTGTTGGGCTCTGGTATTAATAACAGTGGAGGTCTGCTCCAAGAATTGAAATTAGCGATTTGTAAGTACGCAAATAACGCAGGATAATCAGAATTCAGTTGTAAAATTAGACCATAAACCGCATAATGTTCCAGGCTTCGAATGGAAAAATACGGAAATTTGTAAATGTGAATGTACCCCAGCCATTATGATAGGATCTCGGCTGAATACATGAATAAATTTGAATTCTCACACTGTGAGAAGGCTCTTGTATCACTCCGGAAATTCAAGTGAGAATATTGTATCAATCTCTCGCTTACCTATTGTCTTTCGATTGCTGAAGCAGACTATCGACAGCAGGAATAGGCTGGTTCCTAGGATGAAGATGATGATCATTGTCACTGCGTAGCCGTCGTAACCGATCAGGCTGAAAGGCTGGGGGGGCAGGGGAGCTGGTGGTGGCACTGGACAACTTGCTTCACAGTCTACGCAACTGCAAGCTGCTGTTGTGGACTGATACAAAAATTATTATTCGTGAGGCATTGAGTGAGAACAGAAACTTTCGTTTTTTCCATAATTTTATGAAGAAATTCTGGTTCTTTTTCATTGTTGTTAAATACCCAAAATATTTCAAGGGATGGTGGATAAAATGAAAGCAATATTTATTTCATTAGCAAAATGCTGAGTGGATAAATGTTATCTTCATTTCCTCCAACATCTGGAAATACAGAATGTTTCATTCTTCAATGAAGAATATTTTAATAGTTCGGTTTATTTCGTTTTTCGGTGTGGTAGCTTTATGCGTTTTTTAGATGGAGACCCAAGAATTTCTGGTAATTTTTCAAGTACAATCCTTCGCCCAATGCAATGATACAAAAAATAACTCATAAAAACTCATCTCATTTCATTAATCATTGGGATAGCATCCGTTTTAGGAGTAAATAAAAAATCAATTCAATTTGAGGGGAAATGTTGATAATTACATTGAATGGTTTACTGCAAGGTGTAACAACCGGATCCATCGGTGTGAAATTTCCAACTTTTTCATCGGTACCAATATAAGTAATCTGAAAAGGTACATAAATATTGTCCTCTGCGTCTCCCATGAAATGGAACCACCTCTTAGCAGTGCAGTGACTCGATCCCCATTCTCCACACATGAGGTCAAAGGCCAATTGACCAGTGCTGGGAACTGACACTCTGCTGCAAGATTTAAAAGTCCCCTCGAGATACCTATTTGTTATGTACATGTCGATCCCATCGATGTACGTATCATTGGGCCCAAATTTAGTTATATTCATGAATTTACTCTGACTCGGGCTGCACGTAAATTCACAGAAATGTTTAACCAAATTTCCTAGACAACTGGGACAACGGGCCAGTAAATTTGCAGCCAGGAGAATGTTATTGTCGAGGATCTTGAGTTGCTCGGTGTTGCAGCAGGTTTTTAACTCCTGGCCGGGGGCCTGCATCATGTGGGGACAGAGTTTCGCTAGGAAACCCTGTCCTTCTGTGTCCAGGGGCTTGGCTGGGCCACTGTACGGACAGTACTTGACATGAGAAAAATCGTCTTTGAAACAAGAGCCATACCAGATGCAGTGACCATCCTCGCCATTGACAACCTGGTAGAAAAAACATTAAAATTTAATCTAGGGAATTGTTGAGAGTTTAAGGGTCAAACAATAAATACTGAATTGAATCTTTCGCTGGTATCAGCTTCACGAAAAATATTATTAGATCTTATTCTCTTTTTTTCGCTTGAAATTTACGACCATCTATGCCATCAATAGTGGACGAGTGAAACAGGCAGATAAAAATATGAAGATGTATGATTATTCCATGACGAGTCATCAAATGAGTAGTAGATAAGAGTATTCCACACTAACGATAAACTCCCTTATTCCCCGACTTTTCCTAGTCAGCAGACTAAACAATAATTAGTCAATCATCTTTCTCTTTGTCCCTCCAGCATCGATTAAAGATGTTCAGTCACTCGGAAGTGTTAAACGTAGAGGATCAAGGACGAATAATTCCGGACATCTGTACGACCCCGTCACGTATTTCGACTTCATAAACGGTTAACATTGGCCGATTCTAAAGTGCTCAAGGCATGCGAAGCCGTCAAGGAAGACCGACACACGTAGAAGGACGGATTAGTAAATTAAACACGCGTCTTTTCAGACATTCCTTAGACCTATTCCGTGGCGTTTGACTCGGGTAAATATTATTAATTGAGATGTGGGCATACATCAAAGGGCGGATATAAACCCTCTCGACTGTTTTTCTATCCGCAATCCCCGAAAAGTGCGAAATGACGACTGCAACTTACCGTGACTGATACAATGGTGAATAGAAGCAGCAAAAATGACGCTTTTATCGATGACATTCCAGAGCACACAGTCATAGTATCTACGACTGTTGACTCTGCGATAAAAACTACTTTTGTTGGTTGAACCTATGAGTAACTATCACAATTCACTGGGCAATGGGTGGATAACACGATTGTTTATCGTTCTTTGCATTAATTTCATCTATTGGGTGGATTTGGGGGACGATCGGTTGTATTTCAACTGCGAACTGTGGGAAACGAAAACTGATGGCTCCGCTCAGGGAACCTGGATTCGCCCCTACTCCACCCTTGGAATATTGCGGTTTTTGGACGCATGCGTCGAGAAATCACCAGCCAACGGAGATTGACGAAGGTGAACGAACGGTGAAGAGTGTGAAATATCAAACCGCTCGTTTCTACTCGACTTTAACCCGATGATTCATTTTTGTAGCATTTCGGCTTAATTGCGGCTCATTGAGGGACTATTAGAGGTAATGTCGAGTAATCTTATTATTCACATTAGGGACAATGAGTATTGCTTGAGGGGACCGATTGAATTCTTATTTTATTGGCTTTTACGAGTGTTTATTCACTTTTAGAAAATCGATTTTTCGGCCGGTTAAACGACAATTTGGGTATCTCGGTGATTGAGAGAAATTTGTGCCACTTTTACAGAATGAGATCATGAATTTCTTTAATACCTAATTTCCAAGTAATCTGAAATTTTTTTCAGTTCAATATCACGTTTTCGATTCTCGAGGTTTCTCGATAATTTGCAAAGTCTTTTCATGAATAATCTTGAAGAGTAATTTTTTACAAAGCATTCAAATGAAGAAATGCCTCAATTCTAATTCTATGGGAAAGGGGAAAATAAATGATTGAACAAATCGTTAGACTCAGACTTTTTTACTAGCATAATGTTCAATCGGTTGTACAAATTGAAGTTTATGTCGATAAACATCGTGCAAGAGAGCCTTCATGATGATATGTGTTATGAGCGCTGTGAGACCCCAAATTTTGCGTCCGGCAACGGAATAGGTTGGCAGTGTGTAATTATTACGAAACTGAGTGTATCCCCAGTGGTTAGGATCACATAACGATTGTAAACTGACGACAAATGCCTCCTCGACTTCATGTGGATTGAATTGCAATTGTTGTGGGTCCACGTGACCGATGTATCCGAATACAGGCATCACATGAATGTGCTTTCGTCCGACGATATTCGCACTCGACCAGACGTCAACCGTCTCCTTTGGAATGTTCAGCTCCTCCCATGTTTCTCTCAGGGCCGTTTCTTCGAAGCTATTATCGCTATTATCCCGCATTCCACCTGGGAAGGACACTTGTCCCTTGTTCTGCCTCAGTTTCGTTGATCTCAGGGTGTAGAGGAGGCCCATCTCACCTTTGTGGATGCACAGAGGCACGAGAACTGCTGCTGTTCTTGGGTTCTCTGAGGCCAGGCTCGTTGATACCTGACATTTCTGCAATCTCTTTATGCATTCGTCGCGACTCGAGGGGCTCAGGATCACGTCTGGGTGGAGACGATCGCCGATTTTTGGAGTGCCCTCTTGATTGCTCAGATTGCGTTCGATCTGCGCGATCTGTAATTGTTAGTGCAGCTGAAGAGAGTTATCGTAATGATAAAATAATTCAGTAAAGGAGTCTAACTTTCTGAGAATAGATTTGGAGATTTTCATTCATCAAATCTGTCAATTAAATTGCATGAAAAAAGTATGGGACAACAATTAAAACGTTAAATTTCTCATTCTTTTCGCATTTTAAAATTATTTTCTGGCGGTTCAAAATGAAGAATTAAATTTAATTAGAAATCCCGGAATTTAAAATGTCGAATGATTTCAAAATGCTGCGTTTTACCCCTTCCCTGCAAAAACTCTCAACAAAATCGATAAAAAACTTTGAAATGAGCCCGCCCCGAGTACGCAGATCACCCAGCAATCTAATTTATCGATACAATAGCCTCAATCCTTCACTAAAAAATGCATTCAATAAAAATTACTCACAACAGTGCATCGCTGACGCAAGAAATATCTGAACGCATTGTATTTACTAATTGCCATGGACTCCCTTGATTTGACAGTCAAATAAAATAAATATTTACAAATTTAAAAAATCCAGCTCACGTGAAAGTCTGATGACACAATTTGTCAAAAATTTTGTGAGCCAAATACGCGGTTCAGGGCATTGGCAATGCGATACAGGGAGAAATAAGCTCTGTGGAGAATTTAGGTGAGCATCAGCGAACCTGGTGGGACATTCAGGCCTCATAACTCCGTCTTTAGCCTTTTGTAATTATTTGTTGATGTATTGACAGTTTACACGTCACTTATTTCTCCAAATTTGTTTGTTATTCCGATGAATGGGAGAGGCATGAGGACGTGTCATGGTGTCGACGGCGGCTAAGGATCTTTTGGCAACGTCTGCTTCTATTTGCACAGCATTACAGTTTCTAGCTGGCACGTAAGTGCAAACAAAACTACCTAATTTCGCTAATTATCCCCACAGGATATTTTTTCCTCATTTTTATTCGCAGACTCGTGTGCAGAAAATTCATCAAGAATGGAACCACCGGAGACGCCTCTGCCCTGGCATTTATTACATGTCTGATGTCGTGAGTTGACTCTTGATTGATCATTCAGACATCAACAGGTATTAGGAGTGAGTGGGGCAAAATGGAGACATGGAAATTTTTTTAATGTTAATGATTCATTAAACTGCCAATAAATTTTCGAAAGAACGACGGAATAAAAAACTAGAAAATGTGACTGCGGTACGTTTGGAGTGCACAAGGCATTCCCCTTCATTTGCATTTATCCAAATATATAATCAAAACAAAATATTAATTCTCTTGGATATATTCAAGATGCTCATAACATCCCAATTATTTATCACGTGAAGACAAAAGATCATCACACATTTATTTATCCTCCTAATTTACACTGTAAACCAGATGAACACATTATTTTCAACATCTCTCTACCTGAAAAAGGTGTTGAATGACTCCAAACAATTCATCTCAAGTATAGTCCAACTAAATCTTCTTTTCCCTCAAAAACCTAATTTCAGGCCCCAGGTTTCCAGGTTTCCCTTGTCGAAATGTTCGTTTCCAATGACAACAATTGAAACACAAATTTTCAAAGGGAAAAGAAATTTCAGTCTGACTATATTCATTTGTTAGATTTAATCTCCTTTACGAAACAATCACCAGTTTTCTTCTATTTTTATGGCACTGACTGAAATGTCTTGAGGCCGTTAATCACCGGTTTTTATTGACCACTCAAATATCGGCCGGCTAAACGGCAGGTCTTCCATGGTTTACCTGGCGGGGGGCACTCGGGTAAATAGTAAGAAGGCCCATTGTATCGTAGATAAGGAGGGAAAGGTGGGGAGTAATGAGGAGAGAAGAGTAGAAAAGGGATGACGTAACGGTAGTAGGAATGAAATATACGAATAAAAAGAATATTACGTCTGTCATGAATTGGTAAACCAGGATAAGTGATTTCCGCTTAGGGTCAATTATTGATGAATATCTTGGAAATGGATATAGTTAGAGAAATTTTTGTGAAGAGCTTTTTTAGAGCTGACATTTGGCTCTATAAAAACGATTTTCATGAAAATTTCGGTATCTTTCTTCGTTTTCAAGATATTCATCGATGATTGCGACTAAGCAAAATGCAGTTATCCTAGTTTACCAATTCACTACAGACGTCATTACTGATGATTTCCTTGCTAAAAAAAATTTAACAAAAAAATCCCTTCATTTCTCATTGATTTATGAACATCGGACAAAATAATAAATGTCCGATTTTGCCTCACCCCCTTCGACCGATGCGCAGATTAATTTAACGATGAGTGTTTCCAGATGTAGCTTTTGGCTGAGATATGGACAGATGATCGACGACTTCTTCGTCGTTTGCGTCAATTTATTTGGGACCCTCCTGCAATTTTTATACATCGCCATTTTTGCATTGTACAGTGTAAAGAAGACTCTAATTCTTAAGCAATTTGTGGGGGCTATTCTGTTTATCTCTGGAGTTTATATCTACAGTATTGTTCACACAGACAGGACAGAGGCCACCAAGCATGTGGGATTACTCAGCTGCAGTCTGACTATTTTATTCTTCGCCTCGCCCTTAACCATGCTGGTAATTCTTCGTTTTTATTGTCGGAAGGATACTTTAGGATAAAATCCCCTCGAAGCCACGAGATAAAAATTACTATGAATATACGAAAACCACTCTGGGCATAATTCAAACACTATTTAATTAGAATTTCACAGAACAAAATAGAATATAATGAAAAATGAAATAATCCTCGAAATCAAGATCTTCCTTAATTCTCAGTTTTTTTTTGTTATAATGATAATTTGAACCGACGATTTAAATAGTGAACCATTTTTTAAGCTCTAAAATGAGACTAGCTTGATTTATCCCGATTGCATTATTTAGTCGGGACATATTGAGAATTTAAGACATTTGCGGGGTTTTTTATTCTCAAATAATATAATTGTTGTCATTAATTTGATTTCAGGTTCATGTGATCAGGGAAAAAAATGCAGACAGTCTGCCCTTTCCCGTGATAGTAGCTTCCCTTGTGGTCTCGTGCCAGTGGTTCATTTATGGAACACTACTGCAGGATCCCTTTATGGAAATACCGAACTTCATGGGGTGCATTCTCTCTGCATTTCAACTATCACTTTTTGTCATCTATCCGGGGAAGAAACAAAATGCTGCACATTTTATATAAAAAGAGAATCTGAAGTATTTTATTATTGACTTTATCTACTTAACGATCATTGGAGAATAAATGGAATATTGTCTTGTATGAAATGGATTTTTTTGCATCTTCACGTGACATTAGCGGAATTCATAAATTTAAATTGTTTGTTATTTTTCATTTATTTATGAGACCTACTATATTACTTATTAATTTGTCTTTACTAAACGAGATGAAAAAAACTTTCATATTCATCTTAAAAAATCTAGTTCCTTTTTCGTGCTTTCGACTGAATTCCTTGAAATTTCAGGATCCTATTACGAATTTCAAGGATTCCACAGCTTCAAAAAAATCATAAATTCAAATGCATGACTTCATGCGAATAAAATTCCACTCAGTCGGTACGACAGACCATTACGGGCCATTCCGATTATCGCGCAATGTTTATTTCGAAAAATCCCTTTTTGCCAGTTACAACACCTCGAAATCGCGAAAGTAACGATAAAAATCAGTGGCACATCGACTCGGGCACAAGTTAATCCGGAATATCATCAACGATCCCCTGAACTCACGAATTACTAAATTACCGTGTTCTAACCCAACAAAGAGGAATTCCATTATACCTTTATACCTGATGATTGCATCAACAATTCCGAGAGTTGATACGCATTTACGAAAATGCTGGAGGGACTCGTGGCCTGGGTGCTGAACAATTACCTGGGGAAATACGTCGAGAATTTGAACACAGATCAGCTGAGCATAGCTCTCCTCTCAGGTGAGGTTACCAAATTCCTCTGGTCATCATTTAAAAACTTCACTGAATTTTTCTTTGCAAATTCCTCCCACACTAATTCCTCTGGATGACATCATTTATGATATTTTAATACTCAAATGTCTTCCATCACAGTCGTCATCCATTACCAGCAGAACCATTCTATTCACTTAATTATTCATTCCCTCGAAGTTAAAAATTATTCGGTCCCTTGATGTTTTTCTCTCGGTTCCACTGAGTAGAAAATAAATAAATAATTCCCCAAGTGAAGAAGTCTCATACGTTACCCCTCCTCATGTCGATTAATTTTCAAAATTAACAGGTGAAGTAGAGCTTGAGAATCTCCCCCTGAAGAGAGAGGCCCTCCGACACATAGGCCTCCCAATCGAGATAAAAGTAGGATTTATCGGTAAAGTTCGCCTGCAAATTCCAGTCAGACAGATCAGATCCGCCTCATGGGTGATAGCAATCGAGCAGCTGTACCTGGTGGCTGGACCCATCAACCTAGAGGGTTACGACAGTGAAGTAGAGGAGCAGATTTTGCAGGAGTACAAGCACAGTAAACTAGACTCCCTGGAAGCTCGATGGCGTGCCTCAACGGAACGAGACCCTGGGTACTACGCCTCGAGCTACAGCTCCTGGTTGAACTATGGCACCTCCCTGGTGACGAACATAATCGAGAACCTCCAGTTGAACATAAAAGACGTCCACCTCCGCTTCGAGGACGACGTGACGCCAGGATTATCACAGAAGTCTGGGGTGGCCCTGGGGGTTACCATCAAGGCCCTCTCGGCCCAGAGTTGTGACGCCAGTTGGATACCTGGCTCCACCTCCTGGAACTTCAACGACGCCTCCTTCAAGCTGATGGAGCTCGATGGCCTCTCCATCTACTGGAACCACTTGGACTCCTCTCAGTTGTTTGGAAAGCTGAACCTTGGGGATTTAGCTGTCGCTATGAACGAGTCCAAGAGCACCATGTGGAAGTACATACTCTCCCCAGTGAGTGCTTGTGCCAGGATCAAGAGGGACAGGTCTGAGAAGCCCCTCAGGTCCATCACCAGACCTAGGATTGTCGTGGACCTTCAGCTGGATCAGGTGCCACTGTTGATCACTGACGAACAGTACGAGCAGATTGTCAAGTGCATCAAGGAACTGGAGGACATAGAGCGAAGGAGAAGACAGCGAAGGTGTCGACCTCACTTGCCTATCTCAGAGGCGCCAAAGGAGTGGTGGAAGTACGCTGTTCGATGCCATCTTGGGAGAGAAGCCTTGAAGCCAAAACCCACGTGGAGAGATATTTATAATCGAGGAGTGGACAATGTATTTTACGTGGAGACTTATCAGAAGATCTTGGCAACGCCAACAGCTATTCTCTCGCCTGATGCCAAATCGAGGAAGGAGAGGATTGAGTATGAACTCAGTTATGACGAACTGAGGGTGCTGAGGGAGCTGGCAATGGCGAAGGTGAGGCCACCAGCACCAGCAAAGGCACCAGAGGCCGATGCCAATTCCCCAGCAGCTCGGGGGATGCTCGTGCAGTGGTTTCCACAGTGGTGGGGGTGGTACTCGAAGGCACCACAGAGTAACAGCACCCCCAGTCAACCTGGGTCCTCAGCCTTCGATGGAGAACTTCTGGACGTTCTTGCTGATACCATTGATGATAACACTCTTCTCAGGAGGGACACTGTGTTCGGACAGTTTAACTTCACACTCTCCAAGGGGGCCATCTCCCTCTGCACCAAGGATAAAGATAATACTGGGGACAAAGTCGTCATGGAACTCCAGTTCGAGAGAGTTGTCCTGAGTTATGAGTCCCGCCCCAGGTCTGGCTCGCACAAGTTCTCCATCAGCCTTGGGGCCCTCTATCTGCACGATTTCCTGACGGTCAACTCAATATTTCCTATTTTGATTCAGCCACAGACACTTCCGGTTTGCAACTCCCGATTGAGGTCCTCCTCGGAGAAACTCGTGGCTCATCAGAACTCTCAACAGCCCCTCTTCGAGTTGATTTACGAGAAGAAACCGTTTCATGTTACCACTGATCATTCTTTGAGCTTGAGTACCAGGTCTCTGGATGTTGTTTATAATTCTGTCGCCATCAGGTGGCTCGTGGACTTTGTGAGCCGGCCTCACAAGAATTCTAGTAATCCTAGGCTTCAGGCCATGAAGAGGAGGACTCGAAGGCAGTTGATGAAGAATTGGGAGCAGATTCTTGAGGGGGATTTTGTTTACAGGTCCTCTTGGGACCTGCAGTTCAATATTTCAGCCCCTCAGATTCTTCTAGTCGAGAATTTTCAAGAAACAACTGCAGCTGTGGTTGTTGTTGACTTTGGAAGACTCCATTTGACGAACAGTATCGATAATAAGAAGGTAGTGTTGAGACCAGGATCACCCACTAGTGAGGATGACATAAACGATCTCAGTCAAGCCAAAGATATCAAGGATTTGGAAAGAGACGAGGACGACGAGGACGAGAGGTTCCAGACCCCATGCTCTACACCTCCAGGAAGCCAGGAAAACGGTTCCATCCAGGAGTTCCAGGGGATCTCAGAGTCTGCTATTCATCACAAGTTGTACGACCAGTACAGCATCTACTTGTCAGATCTCCAGGTGCTCGTCGGGAAGGTCAAGGACAATTGGAAGCACGCGAGGACCAGGGGAATGTCGACTCTCCACGTTCTAGAGAGGTTTAACATCTCCCTTCAGATCGAGAGAAGGGTCGTCTCCACTGTTGACCCCCAGTTTCCGTCCCTAACGATCTCCGGGAATCTACCTAGACTAGTTGTCCACGTGAACGAGCAGAAGGTCGAGGCGATCAGGTCCATGTCCAATCAACTGATCACGAGTCTGTCTGGGGGATCAGAGGGGCATTCCTCGCAGTTGAGTGACCCTGGGGAGCCCGAGAGTCCGAAGAAAGAGGAGCCCTTGGACAAAACAATGAACCACGCCATGATGATACAATTCATGATCGACCAGATGACATTTGAGCTGCAGTCCAGGGGGAGGAGTGTGGCTGAACTCCAGGTGTCTGGCGTGAGAGCGGCCATGACCAAGAGACCAGCTGACCTCAGTGTCTCGTTGTCGGTCCACGGGCTTCTCCTGGTGGACGCAATGCAGGAGTTTGGCCCGGATTTTGAGCTCCTGGTGGCCAGCCACAAGCACGTGGGGATGGACAGTGTTTCGGGGAGTTTGAAGGACTCTGAACCAACCTCTCCAGTTTCTCCAGTGTCTCCAGGCTCTCCTGACCCCACAGCCCCCAGGAGACTCACCTCACCTGTGGCGTTAACCCGAGCTCTATCCAATCTCGCTCACGACACGAAGAATCTGTTCTCCCCCAGGAATAACTCACTCATGGGGCTGGAGCAATTAGATAACGAGGCCTTGATCGTCGTAGAGCTGACGCTGATTGAGGATCCTCTGGAGAAACTGAGGGTTGCTAGCATTCAGTTCAATAATCTCGATATCATTGCCAATCAGGAGACGATTGTGGAGTTGATTGGCTTCGTCAGAAGGCTGCTGCCTTCGTCTAAAGTATCGAAGAATAAAAAGATCAATAGGCAGGATTCGATACTCAGTCTGACCGTGGAGGGAAAGCCCGAGAGGACGGAAATCACGTTTGATTTTCACAGGCTGAATGTTCTGCTTTTAAGAGCAGTCATGCAGGATAGTCATCTGATTGGACAAAAAATAGCCACTGCCACGATGTCCGATGCCAGGATCCAGGCGACATTAGCCACGAATACCTCGATTTCAGGGTCTCTGGGGGGTCTCCAGGTCCTCGATCAAACGCTAATTGGCAAGACTCACCAGAGAATCATCAGTGTGGGGAGGGATCCCCTGTGCAACCCATCGCACGACCCCCTCGAGCACGTGTCAGGGCTGTCAAACCAACCGGAGGCCTTCAGCTTTTCAGCAAGTCGAAATTCAACTGCTGAAGGCAGTGGCCAACTGGACAGTGTCGACATCGCTGTGAGAGTTGGAAGTGTTTGGTACACACATGCCCCTCACCTCATCTCCGAACTGAGATCCTGTGCTGACGAGTTTAAACAGTACTTGAGTAATCTTGCTAGGCACATTGGGGCAGCTGCCACTGATATGGCAATGGGGCTTGTCCACGAGGACTGGAGTGGCCCCCAGAGGAAGAGGCTCCCCAGCTTCTCCCAGGACATCGAAGCCACCTCTGGAATCCTCACATTGAGGCTGGATGTCGTCCTAGACAGCCCTGTGCTCGTGATCCCCAGGTCTTCTCACAGTCCTCAGGTGTTCGTGGCTCACCTGGGGACGATGTCTCTTCAGCACGAGCCTTCTGACGACTCCAAGCTCACTGTCAGCCTCGACGTCAGAGACATCAACTTGTACTCCCTCGACGTCAGCTCAAAGCTCTCTCACATCACTGGGACTAATTTACCTCTGAGGGCAGACGATGTGTACAGCTGCAAGGAGTCGGGAAGACCCATCCTACACGACACGTCGTTGAAGATACTCGTTGAGAAGGGCTTCATAGCCTCCCTTCACAGTTCAGGATTTCTTCTGGACCAGGATTTCCAGACGAGCTCTCAGCAGCCGATAGTGCAGGTTCACGGAGGCGTCATCACCCCCTTGAAAGTATCGTTATCCAGGAGTCAGTACGAGCAGCTCCTGGACACTGTTCACGTGATATTCTCGGCCCCCCAGAGCACCTCTGCGAACATCCCTCCAGCGGAGAGCACATCAACCTCCAAAAGCTACTCTCAAAAATCATTTCAAGTCGCCATGAAAGTTCTCTTCGAACTCCCAACCCTCAGCATTCAACTCAAGCAGGATCACTCGGAGCAGCCCCTGGTGGAGCTCTCGATGCAGGAGTTTGTGACCAAGTACGAGAAGCTGTCGATGAACGACTCAACGACTCAAGTCTCTCTGAGGTCGCTCCTCATGGAGGACCTCCTCTGCCCCATTGGCTCGAGACACAGATCGATGATGCAGTCCTCTGCCCCCACTCGTGCGAAGGTACCTCTGGGGGTCTCGCGATCCTGTCCGGATCTGGCTTTCAACAAAAAATGGAGGAGTGAGCACGGCAGGGGCAGCCTCCCAGACAGGCTAGAGACAGACACTTTGTATGGGACTATTCCTGCGCACTGGAGGAAGGCCTCCTCCCTCGTGGGCACCCCCAACACTCCTCCCCCGTCCCCTGGAGCAATCACTTGTGAAGAGAATCTCGTCTTAATCAGCATCACAATGACTGAAATCCTCCCCAAGACCGACTCTCTCCGTCCAATTCTCCAGAAGTCTGTTTGCATCGATTTCAACTGTCTAGATCTGGTCGTCAGCGTTGAATCCTGGATGATAGTTCTAGACTTCTTTGGAATTGGCACGAGCCAAGTGAATTCCAGGATTTCCACCAGAACTAGGGACCTGGCAACATCGACTACTTCCATCGCCACTGCGTCCACTTCAACTGCAGCCAATGGCCCAGCGAACGAATATACTGATCCCTCAGGGGTCACAAAGGAGCTTCATTCAGACACAGAAATCGAGATTCGCTCGTTGACGCTCGTTCTCACCAGAACCGACAAAGAAATCGCAAAGGCGAACATCTCGAACGCAAGCATGACGATCGTCAAAGCCTCGGGGAAGTCCAAAGTCTCTGGATCGCTGGGTTCAATGTCCCTGTTGGACCTGACCCCTCACGGCAGGTTCTACAGGGAGAGATTTCTCTCCTCAGGGAGGAAAGCCCTCAACTTTCAGTACTCAAGCTACGAGGACTCCAGGCGGCTCTCTTACGACGCCAAACTGAAACTCCAGATGTCCTCAGTGCACTACGTTCACACCCAACGATTCGTCGCTGAACTCCAGGCGTTCTTCAGGCACTTCTCCCAGCTGAGGGCGGTAATGCAGAACCTCAGGTCTGGGGAAGTTCCTGTCTTATCAATGGAACAGACTAGGGGCACGAGATTGTCCCTGGAGCTCCATGCAGGGGCCCCCGTTATCCTCCTCCCAGTGAGCTCTCAATCGGACAAACTGGCTGTCCTCGATCTTGGGGAATTGACTGCTCACAACTCCTTCCACCACTCGAAGGACTCCCCTCAGTGCCTCCTGGACGTAATGCACCTGGAGCTGGTGAACATGGACGTGTTCGCGGCCCAGAGGATCAGACAGTGTCTAGACAGGAGTGATTACGACAACAGCGGGGATGACAGTGACACCCTGATGATCGGGGGGTTCTACCTGAAGAAACTGGGCCCCTCTTTGCTGACAGAGAAGTGCCACCTGAGCTTGAGAATCGAGAGGAATCTTGACACCTACATCAACAGAGACATCCCAGACCTGAGTGTCCACGGGACTTTATCAACAATGAATTGTGCACTGGATCCAGCCCAGTACATGCTCATCAGGGGTCTCCTGGCTCACAATATCGGAGAGAATCTGGACGACATTCTTCTGTTCTTGGAGGATCTGCAGGACTCCACTGAGTACTTCATGACCGAGGAGGCGGTTGGAGGGAAAGTCTGGACGAAATCCTGCGTTATTCTTGATATCGTTAATGTTGCTGTGAAGCTTCACCCCAACCACGGGATCGCAGCCCTCGCCTGCGTCAATTTCATCAAGTCAAGATTAACTCTGGACTCTCTGAGCGATGGATCGCAGGACATTGACCTGGTGTCCCAGGAGATTCTGGTCATAGACACGAGGTTTCAGGACGAGCCCGTGAACAAACGATCCAACGTCTTCACGAGTATTCTCCAGCCCCTGAAGAACTTCGGGGGGATTGAGGACAGGGTCCAAGCCGAGATCCACCACAGGAGGAGGAAGAACAACGCAGCGACGACGATTCTTCTGCACAGCATGAGACTGACAGCCATTTTAGACTGGTGGGAGGCAGTGAGGGACTTTCTAATCCTGAATTCCCCAGAGCCAGAGCCCATCGGCATCTCCAGACCCCCTCTCGTCTCCCAGGAGATTGACCCCTCGACGACGACTTCCTCTCCATTCGAATTGAAACTCAATCTAACGGACTCTGAACTCGTCATCGTGGAGGACACGTCCCTCTGGGACACCAACGCAGTCATTCTGAAGTGCACAGCAGTCCTGGCTTACAGGTCTCACCCTCAGGACGGGGAGAAACCGTTGTCCTGTAACTTATCCCACTGCGAGCTGTACTCCTGCATCCTGGGGATGGAGGAGGAGACGGCGCTGTCGATCATCGACCCAGTGGGTGCCAGTGTCGAATTGACGAAGGAAAAAGCCTTGGAAATCCAACTGCAGCCCTTAAACGTTAAATTAAGCTATCACGACGTGACGATGTTTGGAAGAATGGTGAATTCCCTGCCTAAACAGACGCTCTGGGCCAAGCAGAGGTCCCTGTCAGGGCCCCCAGCCAACGCCAAGAGCCACATAATGAAGCTGTCGGCCCTGGGATTCGCTGAAACCGATTGTGAAGCTGCTTTGGACGTCTGCAATGGCCAACTGGATGACGCCGCCCTGTGGTTGACGCAACACGCAGTCCCCAATGCTGAGGACAACCGCCCTAGGAGTGGATTCCAAGCCATCGAGATTGAGACAGCCTGTCTGAGGATTTGCGTCATTGACGACTGCAGAGATGCGGATGTCCCTCTGGCCGAACTCGTGCTCATGGACTTCTGTCTGCGGCAGGTGCTCGAGGGCCCTGGCTCCATGCGAGCCACTTTTGGAGTTGACTACTACAATAGAGTCCTGAGTGGGTGGGAACCCTTCATCGAACCCTGGAAGACGTCTGCTAGGTGGGAGCACAGTGTCGGGAATGCTCTGAACACCAAGAGACTTCAAGTGGAGGTGCAGTCAGAGGACTCGGTGAACGTCAACATCACCTCGACTCTGGTGGAGCTCGTGAGCCTCGTCAAGGACAACTGGACGCAGGATTATTACCTGAGCAATAAGCATGACCCTGGAGCCTCGAAATCCTCGTCCTCGTCTCTGAATAGCCTCCAGGGGTACTACAGGCGACGATCGCCATTCGTTCCCTTCGCCCTGAAGAACGAGACTGGAACCAACTTGTGGTTCAAGACGTTCATTGCAGTGGCTGATGACGTGTGTCAGATCAGCGAATACTTCAACGACGATAACAATCTCATCAGGGACAAGACCTGGCGCGAAGTGCCCTCAGGGGAGACGATCCCCTTTACCTTCGAGGAGAGAGGAAAACTTCGGCACCAGACGACTCATCAAGTCAGAAGACATCAGATCGCTGTTCTCGTCGAGGGGTGGAGGCCAGTGGATCCAGTCACTGTCGACAGAATCGGGGTTTACTTTCGTCATGCCAGCGCTGATTTGAAGCTCGTGGGGTCGTCAGCGGGGAAGGCCAGAGTGGTTTTCGCTGTTGAGCTCGAAGGATCCGCCAGGAAACTGGTGACAGTGAGGTCAGCCCTCCAGATCGCGAATAAACTCTCTCATCCAGTGGACATAAAACTGGAGAAACTGGGGTTCAGTCAGTTCGGGTACTACGGGGGACCTGTGAACGTCGTGAACTCCAGCACGAAGGTCCTTCACATCCCCGAGCACTCGGTGATGTCTGTCCCCTTGACCCACACCAGCGTCAAAATGTACCTGAAGCCCCAACACCCGAACTTCGCTTTTCAGTACAGCATGGAGCCCATAGAGTGGACCCTCGTGAAGAAGCCAATGGAAGTTGTGGAGGTTCTCACCACCTGCAGGACCAATCAGAATAATTTATTCAGGATGTGTGTGGCTGTCAGGAGGGACAACTACCCTGTTGACACTGGACAGAACATCCTCCCCGCTCACACCATCTCTCTTCTGCCTCCAGTTACTCTGACGAATCTTCTGCCTCACGAAGTGTCGTATCAGGTGTCCACAGCTGAGACTGGGAGGATCGGCCCTGGGATGAGTGCTGATCTCCACAGTGTCAATGTTGAAGAACAGCTCGAGATCACTGTCCAGCTTGATGGCTACCCAGGGAGTGGGACGCTGTTACTGTCTCAGATATCTGGATCATTCGTGGGGAGGATGAAGCTGACGGACTCCGCGGGGAGAATCCTCTTCCTCAACGCTGCTGTCATCGTTGAGAGAGGATCCGCTGTCAAGATCAACATCACTGCTCCTTACTGGATCGTCAATAAAACGGGACTGCCTCTGGTGTTCAGGCAGGAGGGGGTGGGGACAGAGGCTGCTGGGCAGTTTGAAGAGCACGAGAGAGCCAGGATGGTGGCGCCATTGTTATTCTCCTTCAGCGATGAAGAGGCCAGTAGAACGTTGGCCGTCAGGGTGGGCTCAGGGGTCCATCCCAATGGGGTGTCCCAGTGGTCCCAGCATTTTCATCTGCAGCCAGGGGTTCAGGTGCACAGGCTGAGGATCAGCCTCAGGGACGGAAGGCCTGACATCGTCTACCTCATTGGGGTCTCCACGAGGACCGCCAGGGGGAGGTACAGAGCGACGACTGTTGTCACACTGTCCCCCAGATATCAGCTACACAACAGGTCCTCCTGTACCTTGGAACTGGCGCAGAGATGTTTCACGACGACTGTCAGTCACCCTGATGCTCAAGCCACGTACATCACAGCCATGCCAGACTGCCACATGCCTTTCCACTGGCCCAGGCTCGATAAAGATCAGCTGCTGTGTGTCAGGATCATCGATGTTCCCAACTGCATGTGGTCTGGGGGGATAATTCTCGATGGGAACCACTCCCTGACGATCAACATCAGGGATGCAGGCGGCAAGATGCATTTCCTGCGGGTTGACGTTGTGCTTCAAGAGAGCACTTACTTCATCGTCTTCACTGATGCCAACACAATGCCCCCTCCGATAAGGGTTGACAACTTCTCCGAAGTTGCGCTGACGATTAATCAAGCTGGGGTGCTTGACAGTCTCCAGTGGACAGTCAGGCCTCACTCATCTGTACCTTATGCCCTTGATGAACCGACACAAAGTGCTAATTTAACTGTGACTGCGCCTGGAGGAGTCACGGGGTCCTACGATCTGAATCTCCTCGGGGAGAATCGAGGCCTGACTTACGAAAATTTTATTTACATCGCGTTCACTGGGACCTTCAAAATCGATGGGGATCTGGGGACTGGGGAGGGCGGTCTGGACCCCCTGGATGTGGAGACCCAGAGGCTAGTGCTGGAGGCTGGCCCTGGGGGGTGGGTTGCTCTCAGGAGGAAGCAAAATGGCGCGAGGTCTCAGTTGTGGAGGATGACTGGGGATGGACAGTTGCAGCACGAGGGCTCCAGCCCTCCCAGGGACAAACACTCCAGAACTCCTGACAGTGTTCTTGTGCTGGACATCGCTGGAACTGCCCCTCAACCCTTCACCTACTGCGCTCTAGCCTTGAGGAGACCTGATCAGAGGAGACGATCCACGCAGACCTGGAGGTTCACGGACGATGGGAGACTCTGTTGTGCTCACAAGAACATGTGCGTTCAGTCCAAGGACGGGTTCATGGGGCTGTACGAAGGTTTGATTGTTTTTTATCTCTCGTGGATGGTTTAGGGGGAGTTTGAAGTTGCTTGGGCGATTAATTCATGGATCATACTTTTTTGTTTTCTTTTGTAAAGTTTTTTTTATTATTCAGTGTTTAATTCGGTAGTGGAACGATGTAACAAGACGATTACTCTCATTTTTTTCAAGTTGAGAGCTTCAGAATGAGGGTTTCGAGGGGAAAATGTCAACAGAATTTTTTTAAAGACCCTCTTGGAAGGGGAAATGAGGGGAAAATTATTGCCGTGAAAATAGGCTCATCTCCGTCGGATCTACACTGAAATCTCGTTTTACAAGTTCACTACTGAATTCCTCCGAAGACTTGAAGCAATTTTTTTTTGAAAGTAACACTAGCAATACTCAGTATAAAATTTATTGATGAGAAAAAAAATTTTCCAGGCGGGAGTGTCGCCCGTTGGCAAATGTGTACGTACAGATAAGAGATACGCTCACAGCGTTACTTAAATATGCATTCCACACTGCTTTTATTTTCACCTTTCATACCATATTGCTTCACTGTTGGATATGTTAGTTTGAACGCTTGAACAATGCATCTGTATAATATTTACCTACATGAGTAATTAATATCACTCCTTGACTCGATTTTAATTCAGTCAATTTTAATGAATGCACTGATCACCAGGGAGTGAGGCAGTTCTGGGGCCTCAGACTCACAGCGACCCTCCACCCATTGAACAGAGAGTTGGAAGACAACGGTTGAGACCTGGATCAGGGTTTCTCTCCGTTCGAGTGACTACCGATGGGCCTACAAGGGTCATACAAGTTCTGGATATTAAAGAAAGAGTAATTATTTTTTTATTAATAAATCGAAAGAAAAAGAATGGAATTTCAGGGACTTTTGACTAGTAATTTTCACGAGAATGGCATTAACTTCAATTTAGGAGGAAAAAAATTAAAAATTCAAGAATATTTACCTGAATTTTTCTGATTTCTATTAATTCTCGTGAAGTAATTAAATTGAAAATTGCAGTTTCCAGTGATTCATCCCCGAACTTGATGAAATTCCTCTGAAGTTTCAGTGAAAAAATTACAATGCGATAAAAATTCTCAAATTTTAGACAAAAAATTGAAAAAAAAAAATTGTGTCTGAACCCATTTCCAGAAGAAGACCTTCGCCCTTCTAGAAGAACGCGACTGGTCCCACATAGCAGTGGCGCAGCGGCCGAGCCAGTTGAACCCGTCCACGAAAAAGCCCTCGACCCTCTCCTCAGAGCTCCAGGTGGCCATTAGCCTGCCGGCGGGTCTCGGCCTGTCAGTGGTCTCCCGCAGGCCGGTGGAGGAGCTCCTGTTCGCTCGGCTCGTTGGAATCGCCTTCGAGACGATCCAGACCCCCTCAAACACAACCCTGAACCTCAGCATCGACGACGTTCAAATCGACAATCAGCTGTTCGAGGCCCAGTGCACCTCAGTCCTCTACATAACCCGGCCATCACGAGCGGAGAGCGACGAGAGGCCAGCGATAGACGTGGCCACAGAGAAGCTCCCCTCGAAAAACCAAAACGCCGAGATCTTCAAGCACCTGATCGTCAGCATAAAACCCCTCTGCGTGCACCTGGAGGAGCGCTTAATCCTGAAGCTAGCAGCCTTCGTGGGCACAGGAAGCTCCGACTTCGACGTACCCGTTGACGAGAACGACTTCAAGGCCCAAAGGCTCATCTCCCAGGTGTCAGCAGCCCACGCCAGGAGATACTACTTCGGAGTTCTGAAGCTCGTCCCCAGCCAGGTGAAGCTCAGCGTCCTAACGACCACAAAACTCCCCCGACATCTTCAATCCATAAAGCGAAAGCTGGGTCTGACCCTCATCAAGTTCGAGGACGCCTCCATCGAGCTGGAGCCATTCGTGAAGAAACATCCCTTCGAGAGCAGTCAGTTCCTCATCCACTCGATCCTAAAACACTACAAGGACGAACTGAAGTGGCAGGCAGCTGTGATCCTGGGCTCTGTGGACTTCCTGGGGAATCCTCTGGGCTTCGTTAACGACGTGTCCGAGGGGGTGTCAGGGCTCATCCACGACAAGAGTGTGACGACCCTTGTGAAGAACGTGACCCACGGCCTGTCGAATTCAGCAGCCAAACTGACAGAGTCTCTGTCTGATGGTCTTGGGAGAGTGATTTTGGACGAGAGCCACGAGGAGACGAGACAGAGGATTCGTACGAACACCGCTGGCAGCAGCGATCATCTGGTGGCAGGGCTCAAGGGCCTGGGCTTTGGCCTGCTGGGGGGATTCACCAGTATATTCAAACAGACGTACGATGGAGCTGCCAACGAGGGCTTCCCTGGGTTCTTCGCTGGGCTGGGCAAAGGAGTCGTTGGAACAGTGACTAAACCAGTGGTTGGGGTCCTGGATTTGGCCAGCGAGGCGGCCACCGCCATCAGGGAGTCCTCCAGAAGTGCTCATCGAGCCATTCCCAAGAGGGACAGACTCCCCAGGGTCGCCAGTGGCCCAGCAGGACTCCTCCCCCCTTACAACTGCCATCACGCCGAGGGGCAGGAGTTCCTCTACAGTATCAATCAGCGGGACTACTCCGAGCTTTATGTCGCCTACGAGAGCCTCTGCAGTGGCACCGAGAATCTCAGTATTCTCGTCTCGAATGAGAGGGTCAGGGTCATATCAGGCAGCACCAAAACTGTCGTCACTGAGGTCAGTCTTGCTGATCTTGTCCAGTGTCAACCCACTCAGGTGAACGAGAGCAATGGGAGCACTTTGTATTATATCGAATTAACTTCGAGGATCGACTCTGCTGGTGGAGTGACTTTCGATGGGCCGGAAGTCCTCAGGAGACCTAAAGTCAGGTGTGACACTGAGGAGATCGCCAAGTGGGTCTCCCAGCAGATCAATTATGCCAAAGGAATGCATCAGGAGCGCAGGCTCACGCTCATGTCCTCGGATAATATGCTTGATGACATTCATTCGTACAAGTAAACTTTTATTTTATTTTTTTACATTATGAGGGTGATATTTATGAGAGAACAATATGGAGAGCTATCTTGCTCCAGTTATCGTCGTGATAATGAGTTGCTTGAGTTAAACACGTCACAATGTCTAGGGTAGCTGTTTCTATGTATAGAAATCGGGCTGTGAAGTACCAAGTTAGATTTATTTTCACTGCGACGTGGCACGAATGCTCTGCGAATTATAAAACGTGTACAAAAGACTGAGAATACGTATAATATTGATAAATGCAATCAACAGTTTTGCTTATTTCGCTTGTTCGGGGAGAGGTAGACGAGTGAATTGTTAAACATTAGGAATATATCATTTCAGAGTTATTTCCAGTTTATAGAGCGATAGTTGCGATGTTGTATTAGCCTGGTGATTGTAAATACGTATTTATTTTTCAGTTTGATTGATAAAACCGAAGTAATAAATTTTATCGCATTATTTTGCCCAAAATACAAGACACTTTTCAAGAAGTTATTTTATCAATTATTCCTTCCAACTTATTTCCTGCAGTCGTGCGCAGTCGAGTGACTGCGTTGGGTAAGTTTTCCCCACCATCTGCGCACTTCGTACGTCACTTGATTGCTTTAACTGATAATGTACTTTGAAAAGGTGGGCTGCTATCGAACTGTCATGCACTGAAGTGTCAAAATTAAAAAGCAAATCGAGTGGGGGTTCAGAGTCAATGACATCCAGTGTCAATAGTGGAATTTGTTTCTCGGGAAATTTAGTTGTCGAGTGAATGATTCTGGTGGGATATTAATTCGGATAACCTAATGAGGATGATGAATAATCAGCTGGATAATGACGATGGGCAGATGGTGAACTTCGATACAGCCACCCTCAGGATCGCCAAGGAGAACGATGATTCTGGTAATTTCGTGAATGCCTCATTTTGTCACCTCCACAAAATTTTCAATGTCTCGTTTTTACTCTCGATCAGACAACAAAGACACGTATGCTCGTGCACCATCATCAACAGATGCACCGAGATCATCAGCCACCAATGTCGCGAGTATTCCATTTCGACGCGTAGACGTTCACTCGTTCTTCTCGGATAGAAATGAAGTTGTCGAGAGGGCGATCAAGGAGTGCCAGGAGACACTGCTCACTGATCAGAATGATGAGATCGTGGGCACTTGGTTGTTAACAGAGTACGTGATATTGAGCTGAAAGCTTTATTTATATTCCTGGGATAGAAAATCCCCTGAGGAAAATTTTATAATTTTTTAAATGTCTCACGATAATTAATTATTCAATTCCTGTAGTTTCTCAAATTTAATTCAATGAAATCATTATTCTGTTATTGTAATTTTTAAACGATGAATTCATTGCAGAATAAGCTTGTGGGACACCGAGAAGGAGAGGATCGTCATCTTGACAAAGAACTCTGTACTAACAATAAAATACGACTTCATATCATTAAAAGTTATAGCGTTCCATAGAATTCCCCTGGGAGACGTGGATACAGTGGCCTATGGGGAGCTGGAGTATCCAGCTGCCTCAGTAGCTCCGTAAGTCCCTCATAAAACACGTAAAATCCAATTAATCGGGTGATCATCATTCAAAAACATGTGTCTTGCAGTCGATTAAACGGATTTGCCGACGGATTATCTTCGGTAATCCAGTGTGCGATACGTCAGCAGTGGTCATCGATTGCTGGGCGAACTGACATTCATTTCGAGCCCAGGTACATCATCCCCTCGTGAAAATCAACGATTTTCAATGGGCAATGTAATGGGAGATAATTCTCTGTTTACAGAAAGCGTAATATGAATGGAGTGAGGATAATGTGGAATAAAGGGAAGCCCCTGTCGTTCGAGAAGAAGTGGAATCCCTTTGGCAAACGCATTCCGTGGCTCACGTTCGCTAATCATCCTCTTTATTGGCACAAAGGTGAAGGAGTTATCATTGATATAATTCCAATGTCAATGTATATTGTATAGTTTGAATATTTTCACTATCCCATTATTTCAATTCACAAATTTTTACAGAAAATTTCATCAAAAACTAGGAATTTCCTGAACGAGAAATACAAAAATTTTATTTTTAAATTACAAGCTTTTATATAGTTCACTTGAAAGTTACTTGAACAATTTTTTTCCAGAATTAATTACACTATTGATTTTTTTACTTTGTCCTATTCTCTAATTCAGGGTCAAACGAAGAAATATCAAGATTCGACGCCGACGCCCTCCACTCAGCCCTAACAACAGTTCTCTCAGACTCCTGTAGCTTCATGAATCAGCCCCTCATAGTGGAAAACTACCTGGGCCTGGGAGCACTTATCCACAACAGGAATTCCTTGGGATTCTTCAAAGTCCGTGGCAAAGTCAGCTTCTAATCGAGAACAAACGACCTAACAATTCCACTTCTAATTGTATTAACTTCCAACTCATCCAATCTGCATGTTCTACCTGATTAATATATTTCAACTCCATGCTTTATGAATAAATTAACGGAATAACTAAAAATGGCTGGAGTGATTCATTCGTGCATTCTCGACACAAACTATTGTCCTTACACCTGCGATCACCTGGGAGGGACTATACTCTCTTGGTATTGATTTAACAGAAACACACGGTAGTATTCTCCACCGCTCGATGACAATAGTGTCGCAGAAATGTTAAAGAATGTAATGCACGAGTAAAAATAAACAAAAACATTGATTTCAAAGTATCAAAGACAGGAATAATGCACAAAAAATCGATAATAATTTCGCTTTAAACTCCAGTTGTGTGAGAATTTATCAATTAACATGAGGTTGTTCGATCGTTTAGCAAATTTATTAGGATTAAAGAAAAAAGAAGTTAATGTGTTAGTTGTTGGACTTAACAACAGTGGTAAGTCAACGGTCATAAATCATTTCAAACGCGAGGACGACCGTTGCATTGACATTGTACCCACTGTTGGGTTTAATGTCGAAAAGTTTGCATGTAAGTTGCATAACGAGTGGACATTGTCATCCATGATCAATTATCATTAATACTGTAGAATGAATGTAACTTAATCTCCACATGATTTCATGGAGTAATAGTTTGAATTGGAGGAATGATGACCGTTAATTCAGATTATTCTTCATAATGATACTTACAATTTTAATTCAGTCAGTCTGAGTTCATCACTCGTTTAATTCAAAGATATTTCTTCATTAAATGTCGATTAGAGCTATTTCTTTATCTTTGGAGGACGATGGGACTGATGTCTCCTGGAGTATTCATACGCGGTTTGCCTCTGGTTTTGGGCATCGGAGTACTAGATACTGTCCTCGAGGTGTGCTCCTTATCAGTTGGAGTGGTGTTCTCAGGGTCTTTTGGCTGTCGTGAAAAGTTCAAGAGGCTCTGTCTCGTTCTAGGCTTCTTGAAGGGTTCTGGGGATTTCTTTTGTGTCTGTCTCTCCTCCTTCTGCTGAACCACTGGTTTTGCTTTTGCTTTTGGCTCCCTCTTCTTCTTCACTGGCTTCTTCTGCACCTTTTCAGGAGATTTTTCTGGTGCTTGTGGGCTGTCCTCTTCTGCTGGCTTTTCACTTGCCTCTTGAGTCTTCGGCTTTGGTTTTCGTCCCCTCTTCTTCTTCACTGGCTTCTTCTCCACCTTTTCAGGAGACTTTTCTGGTTCTTGTCGGCTGTCCTCCGTAGGCTCTTCACTTGCCTCTTGAACCTTCGGCTTTGGTTTCCGTCTCCTCTTCTTCTTCGCAGGCTTCTTCTCCTCTTCATGAAGCTCCTCTGGCTCTTGCGAGTTATCTCCTCCACTTGCTTCATTCACTTCTGGAGTGGGTGATCGTCGTCGTTTTCTTGCAGCTCCCCTCTGACGTCTGGGTCTGCAGACTTCCTCCTCAGACTCGTCAGGCTCATCATTCAGATCCAAAATCTCGCCTGCTTCGACGTCAGTGGGTTCCCACGAGAAGACGTTGTGGCTGGAGTTCTCGACGTGCTGGTAGGACTCAACTAACCGCAGAGTCTTGAAAATCTTCATGAAGGACCTCATCCCCTTCGTGTCCTCTTCACTAGGTCTCTTCTTCATGCTCCAGTCGACGTTCACAGTACTGGGCCTGGCTTTTCCGTAATCGTAGGACAAATAAACTGTCATGTCGATGAGACTGTCCGATTTTTTTCGGTACACCTGGAGGAAGCTGCAGGTGATCAGGACGTGGGTCGTGTCGGAGTCCACTCTGAAGTTCTTGATTGTCGATGTCAGCTCCCTCAGCTCCTCGTACTGCTCCTTCCTGTCCACGTAGCAGTCCAGATGTCGTTTGCAGTTCCTGAAGAAGAGGATGAGACCTGTCACATTGTCGATGGGACTGTCAGCCAGAATGTTCTCCATCATTCCACTCGAGGGCATTATGTATCTCCCCATCGTGCCCTTTCCAGAGTCAGTGAAGAATTGTACTGTGTACAACGAATCACTTTTAGTACTCGAGAAGGGCGAGAAGTTGAATATGTACTCGTGCTTCGTGAATTTCGTACAGTACAGCCCGGAGAATTTATACAATTCGTGCTGGAGGATGTAGTCCAGGTTCTTCAATTTGTAGGATCTCCGCTGATCCACTGCTGGAGGATTCAAAACCTCGAGATTCTCAATGTCCCCGAATTTCGTTAGGTTGAGGGAAAATTCGATTTCGGATATTAAATCCTCCAAGTCGGTTATTTGACCCTTCAGAATTCGTTTCTCATTGCTGAGGGAGTCTACAGATTCATAAAAACATCATTGTTTATGCCTTGAGATTGAGGGAGGGGAGGGCAAAAGGATTTTGTCAATTTTTCCGAATTTTCTTTCATTTTTTAACTAAAAAAAAACGCGAAAATGTTGTAAAATCGTTGAATTTCAGGGTTTTTATCTCGATTCATTGAAATTGACTCCAATTGTCCCACTCTCCGGATTTTGAGGTTAGGAACTGAATTTTTGAACTCACCATCCTCGTCATCACGGGCTCCCGTCTCCTCACTCTTCCTCTTCTTCCCCGAATCCCTTTTCTTCACCATAATTACGAGTTAGTCTAGTTTTTCACGCGATGAAGGCTTGAATTATGAGCGAGAAGTGTACGTCCCGCCAAAAACACAGCTGACAGCTGACTCCCCCCTCTCTAATCACTGCCCCAACTCTCCCATTGGACGAAACACCAAAAAATCCACTTACACTTCGATTTGAAAATATTGCAAGCTATTTATTCTCTGTTTTCAGTTAAAAACGTCCACTTTACAGCATTCGACATGTCTGGACACGACAGATATCGATCCCTCTGGGAGCACTACTACAAGGACTGTCAGGGGATAATATTTATAATTGATAGTAGTGATAAATTGAGACTGGTCGTGGCCAAAGAGGAGCTGGACATGCTTCTGCAGCATCCAGATGTGGCAAGTGAGTTTCAAATAATTTTCCAGCCCCAGAGAAACAAAATAAAACAACGAAACCGATTTATTGACTTCCTGGGATGATTTCGCAGGCAGAAAAATTCCGATTCTCTTCTTAGCGAACAAAATGGACCTCCCGGACTCCCTGACGACGGTGAAACTCGTGGCGGGTCTGGGTCTCGACAGAATTCACAACAAACCCTGGCACATCCGGGCGACCAATGCAGTCACTGGGGAGGGGCTGCAACCTGCCATTGAATGGCTCACCGACCAAATACGAGACATCTACATCAATAATAAGAGATAACTAAATCTGTAACCCCAATTTCCTGTATGCAACAATCAGAAACGTGCCTCGCCTCATTCTCCACAAATAAAAAATAAAATGAACGATTTTTCATTCAATTTCATTTTTTCGCACGAAAAAAATTCTAAACGAAATTGGATAATTTCAACAACAAAAAACCCACTCGCATGTTTATGTCAAATGAAAAAATTTATTTCTAATAAATATAAATATCTTAACATCACCCCCTGAACTTCTTGAACAATGGATGCTTGTTGGCAGTCGACGAGGAAGCTGACTTCTTGTACTCGTAATAGACAGCGTCATCAGCTCCAGACATTGACGCCAAGTTTCCAACCTTCCGAACAATTTTAGGTCCATCCCCGGGGATTTTCTCCTCATCAGCATCAGTATCGCTGGCCGAGAGAACCTGCTGCAGCAGCTGGCCCTGCTCCTCCCTAGTCTTGTAAAACATGTCAGGCTCGCCGTCCATCCCAGCAAGCTTCGTGATAACTTTGTAAGCGTATCCCTGATTGACGAGGAATCGCTGCCTCTTCCTCGAGTAGTTCATCTCCATAGTGTCCTGGGAGACAAGTGTGTAGAAGAAGGCATTGTATTCCTCTGCAATGGCCCCCTTCTTCGCTCGAAGAATTCTCCCCAGTCTCTGCGCCTCCTGCCTCCTAGACCCTCCATGCGAGGATATCTGGATCAGAACGTTGGCCTCGGGGAGATCAAAAGACGTGTCTGCAACTTTACTCACAAAAATCGTGTTCACTTTGACGTTGAACTTGAAGTTCTGGAGGATTTGAATCCTCTCGTTCTGACTGGTGGGCCCATAAATGTAGGGTTTATTCATCTTTATGGCGTAATGCTTCAGGGCGAAGACGTTATCAGAGAAGACGATGGTCTTGTCGCCCCTCCTCTCGTGGTACTTTATCAGATACTGACAGGCTCGGAATTTATTTGGATTCATGACGTAGAGAAGGAGTTTCCTCGTCATTTTGCAGCTCAAGTATTCCCGATAGAACTCTGGGGTCATTGGGCACCAGACCTCAGCACACTGGACCCTGGCGATGAACCCCCTCTTCTGCAGCTCGAGCCAATTGGCCTCGTAGAGCTTGGGGCCAATCAGGAAGTTCAGATCCGCTATCTTGTCGTCCTCTCGGAGGAGAGTGGCAGTCAGGCCCAGTTTGCAGTGGGACTGGACAATTGTCAGGACTCGCCTGAACATTTTAGCTGGAATAGTGTGCACCTCGTCGAGCACCATGATCCCCCACTCCTGCTCCTGCAGCCACTTCATCGTCTGCTCTGCCTCCCAGGACCTCTTCTGGGTGTGAGTTATCATCGAGTACGTTGTCACGAGAATTCCACAGCCCATCGGCTTGTCCTTAGCTTCACTCGTGAAACGACAGATCATCGAGTCGTCAGCTGTTGACCACATCTTGAACTGCTGCTTCCACTGCTCCACTGAGACACCAGAGTTGCAGAGAACTAGGGCTCGCTTGCGAACTGTGCAGCAGGCTGTCACACCCACTAAACTCTTTCCTGCACCGCAGGGCAGGACAATCACTCCTGACCTGGCTCGACCATTTCCAAACATCTTTCGGAGACTCTTCTCCTGGTAGGGACGAAGCACTGCCGAGGGCTTCAAGTCGATGTTTATGTCGGGGTTCACTGTGTCGTTCCTGAAGTCGTACTCTGCCAGCAGTGGGTACTCCAGCTCGATGCACCTCTTCTGGATGACTTCGATCTTCTCCTGGTTCACTTCGAAGCTCACTATCTTCAGCTGCTGCTCCTCCTCCTCGTCCTCGTCCTCTTTGTCGATTTTGTCGTAGAAGGTGGTTATGTCCTCGGGCACTGCCGCCACCTCGGAGATGTCTGTCGGCCCGTCCTGAGCTACTGAAGCTCCAGGGGTTGTCTCGGGGAGGGGCTTGGCTCCGAACTGGAGGGCTTTGGTCTTACCCTGGATACTTGTTATTAGGGCGTCTTTGTCGCTTTCTTCCACTGCTTTTCGGAGACGACATTCCTGGATCACTGGGTCTTTCAGGAGCTTTTGGAGGACCTCGGGGTAGGGGGACTCGACAAAGTATTTGTTGTGTTTTAACACTAGTTTTACCTGTGAAGAGTTATTGAGTTGTTGTTAAAAAAATTGATGAAATCTCATTTCAAATTCGTAAAATATTTTGTGAGGGTCAGAATGGCTGTAAAATATTGCACAATCTTATAGAATAATTAACATTGCTACAGAAAAATGAGGCAAGATCTTCTCAATTTATAGATCTCATTTTAAAACTTAAAAATACCCCAAAGATGAAATTAAAAAATTTGGTTTTCCTTACTTTTCCATACGACAGAGTGCACAACTGTATAAACTCGACAATTCCATCGGGAATACTAGTTTTGCTGAGTCTCTTCAAGTATTCAATAATATCGTGAGTCTGAAGACCAACACTGACAGCAGCGTACAATGAATATGCTGTTAATTTGTACTCGTGAATGTGCTCTGGTCGACACACTGGCTCAGATATGGCAATGAGGAAGTCGTGGGCATGTTTGTAAACTGGGGAGAATGACTCCAGGAATATGTGGCCGTTTGGAGCCACCCAGAGGGGTCTCGAGGTATTATCTGGCTTCAATATCATCTGGGATCTGTAGTCTTTGGCACCGAACTCATCCTCCAGGGCATTTTCATCCAATTTCTCAGCGTCATTCTTCGCCGCATCTGGGATACCCTCAGTCTCCAGTCCATCGCCGAAATCATCCTCGTTGTACTCGTCTTCTTCCTTTCTTTTTTTCCATTTACCTCGATCTGGAAATTTTTTGGATGAACCTTCAAGGAAATTTGCATGAAATTTCAAGGAAATTTGCGGAAAAATCCAGGGAAGCTGTAAATTTCAGTTCAATTATCCTTGAATTTTCCATGAAATTTTAATTTTTTTCCGACAGTATATGAGTATTTTGATACGATGAGAGGTTAGGGAATACGTACCGTCTTTCTTCACTCGTTTAGGAGGTCCCATTGTCTTGATTTTAATGGAAAATGCACTTGTATTAATGCAATTGTAATTTCAGCATTTTATTCATCAACAGAATCACATTATAAAGATTTACATGGCGAGAAATATTTAGATCGTTCGTCCAGACGTCCAATGTCTTCGAGATATCTTCAGGAAATGCAGGCAATGATTTATCAGTCGGCAGGTTTAGTGCAGCGATGCGGTGAAAGATGGCGGGATTATTGTCATTTCAGGCGGAATTACTAACTGAATCGTAATCATCAATTTTGGGCGAATTTAAACTTCAACAAATAGCAAGACAATTAAATTTTGTAATTACTGTTTCTTTATTTTTATTCTCCTCCTATATACATATTTAAATAATTGAGCCTATTTGTTAATTTCGTATCGCTGTTTATCAACTAGTTATCCTAATGTTAAGTTTTCTTCGTTACTATTGAATCCTTCAAATATATATAACCATATTTCAATTATTTATTTAGTTATATACATATAAACTATTCTGGGATTAATGAAAGTTTAACTTTTCAGAGGAATTAGTCGTGGGTAGTCATTATTTCTGCGTATTAGTCAACTCATTCGCTTGAGAATGCACTTGTTATCAAATATCTTGTGTCTGTAATAAATTAAATGTTGATTCATGAAATGATAAAGGAGACTTTATAAAAATACTATGAAATGGTTCTAATGCAATTCCAATTTTTTTAAATACCTAAGTTGCTGATAGGTACTCTGCCTAGTCCTAAAATCATAACTACGTCAATTGATTATTATTTTTAGTCCATTGGAAACCATAAAAAATATAGAATAAATCTGCAAATGAAGAAAATAAAAATAAAAAAATCAATGCAACAATTATCTTCAGCACTGATTCGGGAAGATTTCAAGGAACTTTTCTTAATTTATCCTTCAATTTGTTTTTCTGTTCAATATATGCTTCTACTTTAGATTTTATTCTTGAATACTGTAATATGAGTATTAATATACAAACTATACAATAATAACAAGTTTTTTAATGCAAAAAACTTGGAAAAATCAGTAACATCGTTCACTAAGAGGACCTTCTTTATTTTCTCATCGTCTTAGACTTATAAATCACATTTTGCATTTATCTTTCTGCGTATCATTTAGTCAATTCAACGGTTAAGAACAATGATCGATCAAACATTTTGAATATTAAATAGAGTGTTGTTTTTTTCTTCATTTCTTTCAAAAAATCCCGAGAGATTTTTCCAGGTACATACCTAATTACTTTTTTTTCAGAAGACTATATTACTCAAGTTTAAGCATTTTCATAGATTTGTTTCTGTTATGATTTCTGCTATAATACTTGATAATTTATTTATATTTATACAGTTGAATGCAGCACCAACTGGAAGGAATGTGAATAATTATCAACGTTCAAATTTAAAAAATACTTGAATTAGGAATGATTGGATTTCATCAATTCTCACACTTTCGTTTTCCTGTTAGCCACTTGCGTCGTCGAATGAAAGAGGAAGTTGACAGATTTTTTTTTTCCAAGGAATTTCAAAATGACGAAAACATAATCATAAATTGGATTTATCTATCTCCAATTAATGCAGAGGTAGGCAAAACATTTGCTTCAATATTTTCTTCCTCGAGTTATCCTCCTCCAAATCCTTGACCCTATCATAATCATCCTCACTCTCCTCAACCCCCACCTCCCCATTATTATTACCAGTATTGCACACAATACCAACATCCTCGATTCTCAAAGCATAAGAAAAGCCTGGTTTCTCGTAATCGATGTAACACTGTGAATCCCTATACTGATTATAATTATTGTCATCATGACAGTTAAACATACCATGATAGTAATCACCTGAAAAGTAACTCGGTGCATGATGATTTGTGCCGAAATAGGGTAACTGATTGTGTGCATGAAAGTTTAATGTTGCAAGCCTGTCCTCTAACTCACAAATATCATAGGGTAATTTTGCTCTGTGTAAGTAATTATTATGATGATACTCATATTCCCAATAATTCTCTTGTCACACACAGTCCTCGAGGGACATGAGGAGGGGATTCACGTACTCAAAGCCCTCGAATTCACTCTGATCAATTTTTTCAATGACTCTCGTGTCATCTGGAGTGAGATGAACAGGCTCGTTTGTGAATTCAGGTGGGAAATTTTCGAGATCTCTCTCGGATTGTAATTTAGGCTCGTAAGGTGGTGTCACCTGCTTCTGCTCCAGCATTGTCCAGTCGATGGCCTTGAAAAAGGCATGAGACGCTATTTCAATGAAGGATTTTTGACCCTCGGCACAGCCCAGTCTGTTGGCAGGGTCTTTATTGAGGAAGCCCTTGAGAACGGAAGCTGCTTTAACAGACAATGATCTGGGAATTCTAATAGTCTTTTGGAGGATTACTTGGAACAGGTAGTCTTCTGTGTTCTGATCTGGATTTTCAGAGGCGCCAGCTATGTCGAAGGGGCTACGACCCGCCAGCATCTCGTAGAGGAGGACACCCAGGGCCCACCAGTCCACCGAAAAACTGTAGTCCTCACCTCGGAGAATCTCCGGAGCAATGTAATTCGGGGTGCCACAGAATGTCGCTGTTGTGTCACCCTCACGTACACCCTCTTTGCACATACCGTAGTCTGTTAGCTTCACGTGGCCCTCGTGATCCAGGAGGACATTGTCCAGTTTCAGATCGCGATAGATAATCCCTGTGGATGGAAAAAAAAATGCATTGAATGAACATCCTAGAAATTTTTCAAGTGTTGAAAAACTAAAGCTAAATAACTAATGCTCACCCTTATTATGTAAAAAGTTTAAGGCGAGACTTATTTCGGCAGCGTAAAATCGTGCATGCTCCTCAGGAAGACGGCGTTGTCTCTGCATGTGGAACATCAAGTCACCCCCGCGTACAAATTCAATAACAAAAAATAAGCGCGATGGGGTTTGGAAGCATGAGTGAAGTCCGACGAGGAATGGATGATTGGAGGCCGTTTCAAAGACATGCTTCTCAGTCTGCACCCAGTCAATGTCCTCATCGTCCGTGACCAGTGCTTTCTTTATTACTTTCATTGCGTAGATTCTCCTCGTGCGTTTCAACTCCACCATAAGTACTTTCGCGTAAGAGCCACGGCCAATGACACGAATCAACTCGAAATCATTGAGGGAATACTGTCGCTGCATGTCACTGCCACCATCAGCACCTGCTATGGCGTCCAGGGCCAATTCTTCTCCATCTTCACTTCCGGAAGCTGAGGTGAAATTATCCCATAAAATTTTTTTTGTGTAGAGAAAAATAAGTCATCAAATTTATTATCATTCATCGAAATTGGGTAATTTATTCAGGAGATATTGACGATTCCGACGCTTCGATGAATTAAATTTCAAATTTTACGAGGGATATTATTGATAAATCACTCACGTCTACGAGCCTGTTCCTCAAGAGCTGGAAACTCAGCAGATTCATCTTCCAAATGTGCCGTTGGACTGCACTGCGGTGAATCCGACTGTGCTTGATCGCCATTGCGGTCAGAGGACGAGTGGTCTGGCGTGTGTGGTGGTTGTTGCTGCTGTTGAAGGCTCAAACACGGTTTTCGTACGACTTTGTGACACTTCTTGTGTACAAGGAGTTTACACTGAATACACTTGAAGCCCTGTCGTCCCAGTCCCCAAATGCGGTCTTGGCAGAATGCGCAAAATGCTCGCTAATTGGAGGAAAAAGAAATCCTTCACTCTCAGTTGTCACTAAAAATGAGTTTATCTCTATAAATAGACGACAATGGGGAGAGACTTACGCGATTGAAGCGCTTTGCCTGGAATATGTGACCATTCACTCTGTACAGTTTCCTCCATCTTCGAGCGCCACGTCTATAAATACTTCCTGTTGTGATTAAAAAAATGCTATTAAAATACGCGAATCAGGCTGGGGTGTAAACGATCGAAATTACCCAGTATCAACGATTGGAAGATGATTATTTGAGCACTGTAACACTCCATATCTATCGAAAATACGATCAGTGTGGACTAATTTATAAATTGGGAAGTACTGAATTCACGGGTAAAACATTTGGCCCAATCGACTTCCCCGCAACTGTATACAAAACATTCGGCTTAATGACAGTGTCAACTCTAAAGGCCAGGATATGTCGATAAATATCATCCTACAATCGAATTTGGAGTTTAGCCAGGTGAACATTGTCGTACCAATTTAAATGATAATAATTCATCGGTTAATGTCAGTGGATGGCTATATCACTTTATCTGCTCCAGAACTTTGGTAATTGATTCTGGGAACGATGAGGAAAATCGTACGAGGAATTACTGTACAATTTGAGCAATCGAAGGGTGAAATATCTATTTTATTTTCCTTGCAATTCGTTGCTGACTTTTTTCTTCACGAATAATTGAAGAATTATCGCTTGTACTTACTGTCTTCGCCCTGACATGGCATCCCCGGTGCTGCTGGAACATTGGGAAAAACTGGAACAATAAATGTTTTACACACTTGTTAGCGCCAATTAAACGTGACAATTGTCATTAGAAGCAATGCATGAATTTCATGGAATGAAAGTTGGTCGGAAGATTGAATGGCCTGGAAAACAATGGAGACAGTTTCAGCATCGAATAAATTCACCGATTGACTTGGCGTAATTTACATTCGATTACGATGTTAATTAACTCATTTACTCTGCACGTGAATACCTGGCTACAGAACAGAGACCTTGATGGTTATTCAAGCCCATGAGTATCCCGTGGTATAAATCAGGATAGCCGTACATTATCGGTATCCTGAACATTATATCATTAGTATCGAAACTCATTATTCCAGTGAAAGTCACGGGTGATAACACGCATGACGAAAAATTGAGGAATAATTGAGACTAATGTCCTGGACACGCAGTCACCCCACGTTACAACTGATGAGACAGTACTGACAACAGAATAATACGTAATTTTCGATTCGTCGATTTTATCAGGGGCTTATCTCTACCAGTGAGCGGATTTGAGAGTTAATTTTTGTGATAGAGAGTGATTAAAAGTTCTGCGCGATTGACCTCGTTTTTTTTTCATCAGTCAAAAAGCACGGGAACTCCGAGCGGAAGATATTTTTGTATTCCTTGAGATTCTGCACTCCATTGTTTCCCTTGAATCTCGGGTCAGGTTGAGGGTGGGGTGGGGCGAAATGGACACTTTACGTTTTTTTCAGTGTTCGTAACTCGGAAAAATAAATTCATCAATTGAGCTCGGTCAGGGCTCGCCGCAGAGGAAGAATTGTTCTTCGGAAGAAAAAATTATCCCGTTTCATCAACAGTTCAATGAATTCAGTAGCGAAGCGGTAAAACGGTTCAAGTCGATTTGACGACTATTGCTAAGTTTTCAATGAATGTCTCTCAATCTAAGGTAGATAGCCAATTTTTTGTCACAAACTTTGTTGCAGCTCTCACAAAATCTCCCTCAGATTCGGAGATAATGCCATAGTTCTACCGCTCCGCTGCTGAATTATTGGCATTATAAAAAAACAAAGTGTCTGTGTTGCCCCACATTAATGCAGGGCCTGTTGGGAATATATTAACATCGCTCACTCGTCATATCGGAACATGCGGCACAGAGACGGAGGGAAATAGTTTTCGAGTGCAGTTGCTGGTGCGGGAAGAATAAGGGCGGGTGAGGAAATATTCAAAGCCCCGATACCATGAAAATAGAGTTCTATATGTTTACGAACGAATGAGAGTGCGCATCTCCCAGAGATCGAGCGCCACCAAGGACTCATACATCTAATATGACCTAATACGACCATGCGTATTTAGCCACGCCTGTTTTTTTTTCTCATTTCCAGGAAATAAGCACACTGGATGCATTTCATGGAACGAGAAAGAAAGGCATTTTTCAAGTCAGAATGCAGCCCGAGGAGATCGCGTGATCTCAGCAGGAGAATTGATTTCTCGTTTTTTTCCTCTTACTTTATTTTTCAGCCTCTTGTGACCCTAAAAACGGCAACACACCGTGTCGACGATCCTTTTGATCTATTTTATTAAACACAGATGTTTGATCGAAATGAGAGGAATACGTGTCATGAATATCTTTCGCAAAATCTGATACTTCAACCGATAAAAAAGGCATCAAGAGGAATTGAATATATTCAAATCATAATTGAACATGTGACTGACACGAGATGCGATACTCCCCTGGAGTATTAAAAATCCCAGCGTGAGAGTGCACGGGAGAACGTTGCAATAATCAACGAAATGACAACGATAATTCGGGGGATGAGAACATACCCCACTTGATGTCATCGAGCCGAGCTGTGGCATAGGGAGGGCGTGGTGCTATTGGATAATGTTCAGATGCAAGTGATGACATAGAAGTGCCAGGATCAGCCGGTTGAGCACAGGGGCCATGAATAACACAACTACCAATTCCAGATAAGCTGGTTCTGCTGGATTCATAAATAACTTCTGGCACGATTATTTCATCCCCAAGTTCGATATCAGTGCCATCGTCATCTGGATTATCAGGTCGATCGAATCTCAGGGATCTGTGGCCCTTGAGCCGACGATCGAGTGATGATGTTGCTGCTGCACCAGTTGACATTGAGGAGTGACAGAGCACATCGGTGTGGACGAATTCTTGGCAGTGGGCCTCGTGTTTTTGTGGATAATGCAGGCCCATTGTAACGTGTGGCTGTTCGTACTCGGCTGAATCACTGCCAGGCGATGGTGGATAATTACTCGAGCCCGGTCTGCCCATTAGCCCCGAGGATAATGTAAATTCATTGGGCAGACTTGATGATGTAGCCGTTGACGTTGCACCCTCCATCATTCCGGGGGTGCGTTTACCAGCGGCAACAGCAGCTGCTGCGGCTGCGGCTACTGAATATGTATAAAAGCCACCACCCTGGGTGCTCAATAATTGACTGCTATCCTCGGATGCTAAACCCAGCTCTGAACTCTGCACCCCCGAACAGCTCTGCACACCCATCACCTCACTCGGTGTTTGGTACTGCGACTGGGATGATTTATCCTTCTCACGACGGGGCGAACGACCACGATCACTCACTGATGTTGCGCTCCAATAACCCCACGCCATATTTTTTTCTTTATATTTTTACTCGAGAGTTTATTTCAACTGCTCTACGATCTATACGAGTTATCGCTAATTTAGAATTCGTTGATTGTGGTTTTTTAAATTTTAGGTTGAAAAATCTAGGCTTGAGGCCTCGCTCGGGTGATTAAGAATGTATAAATTGTTTTGCGCCACTCCTCGATTTTCGCCCACTCGAGGTACGTGCCCCTGCCGGCTATGACCAGCGATCGATCTCACTCGAGTTTATGCGTTTTTGGGGGCTGATTCGACAGATCGAATTCATTAATCGGTTAACAGGTGCACTACTGATGCGTTTACTTCCAATTGTCGGCTATTGACTGGTGAATTTCAGTTTAAACTGGATTCAATCAGCACTCAAACTGCTGCAGAAATTGTCAATGATCTCGGTGACAAGTAGTCAAGGCTCGAGCTGTGATTCGCAGTGTTCGGAGTGAATTTTGAGATAAAAAATGTAATGTAGGTCTGAGGTGGGCTTGGGCACCGATGAGCCAAGTACCGTACACTCGGCTCGTGGAATCGCTATCGACTGCGGCTAGAGGATGTTACTTGGGTGCCGCCGCCCGGCGCAACGGAGTTCAGATGCGCAAACTCGAGGTTTCGATGGTGAAAAAAAAATAGCGAAACATTGAGTATTTTTTTCGCTCGAGTGTCGTGAGGTTTAATGAAACCAGGGGTGAGGGGAGAACAAGGGGGATGAGGAATTCATAATTTGTGGGTGTCATTAGAGATCATGGGGGCATGAGGATGAGGATGGGGGTGAGGGGTGGTGGCGGCTGTGAGGATTGGCTTGGCTCCTCTGGGGGTGGTGAACGTGTCAAGGTTTTTAGGACGATCTTTGTATCTAGGGGTGAGAGTGTGTGGGGAGCAGCGGGCGCGGGGGGCTGTGTGCGTGAATGAGGAGCCGACGAGGCGTGGCCTTTGCGGTATATCAGGCTGTTTCATTAAAGATCGCATTGCTGGAGGACGTTATGTACCGAAAATGTTTATTGTCGGGCGGGAAAAATAGTGCTGCGGGGGGCTCGGGCTCTCTTTCACTTTTCCAGTCTGGAGAATGGAAATTGGAGATGATGAGGGCGGAGGGGAATCGTTCGTATCAATTCTTCGGACGATATCTCGGAATTCAGGGGAGATAGCGAGGGCTTCGGGAGGAAGTTTTTCTGTTGCTTTTGTTGATTGCTCGAGTTTATCATAGGCGGATTCGAAATGATATTGTGGAGGTTCGGCGAATGGAAATTGAATTGCTCGGAATTCAAGGGAGATAGCGCAATTTTTGGGGGAATTCGAGATTATTTTTTGGAGGGAAGAGGAGAAGTGTTCAAGAGTTTTTTTTGTAACTCTTGTCTTTTTATCACCTCTTGAATTTTATTCCACTTCTTCCTCCAATCAATTATCTCTCACTTCAAGAGTTTTTAACATTGAATTTAATTTTATCTCGAGAAAAAAAAAGCATGTTCAAACAATATTTCTAAAATCTCCACAAAACTTCCTCAAAGAAATTTCGCTAATGACTCATTGAATTTGTCATAAAGTTATCGACATCGAAAAAAAAATGTCAAAATTTCGGAAATAAAAATGGACTCACCATGTATTGTAATGCCAGTATCCTTCTCAAGCTCATAAATACGAAGTGCCTCATCCAACTCCTGCTGTGAGACAATGCGACACGGATCCCCCTCATCATCGACCCACTTCATAGTGAATTGATCTCCACCGGTGCTGCTTGCTGCATCAAATCCGCATATCGTCCGCATTTCCTCTCGCAGACTGTCAACCGTTATACTAGGCGTGATGTATGTTATCTGGACCTCCCTGTCAAATAATCACACGTCACATGAGTACCGCTCCAGATACTTCATCAAAAGGCATTTAATTCCCACTCCAGTGGGAATTAGAATTCCCCCTGATTAAAATCACAGTTTCCGTTCTTCTCGCAATTTTCATTGGGCTGTCAGACTAGACTTGTCATGCATTCCCATCGTAAAACGACTGAACTAATTGAATTATGTCAGTGCATATTTACCCATTGTATACTATTTTAACTCTTATGTCTGCATTGTCACTCGTCTGTGTGGGCATTTTAGCTCTGAAGGACCTCACCACTTTCCCTGCAACACCATTGAACGTGGACATGATGAAAAAACAAAATCCAAAGCCCTTGACATCAGAAAAAAAAAAACAAAACCCAAAGCCCTCTTCAAAACAGAAATAAACTCAATTTACCAAAGATACTTTTGCTCATTATTCCCAAGGATTCAAATAATCTCTGAACATTCTCTCATGTATTTTCATCCCACGAACTCAACAACTCATTCACATTATTCTGAACAACACGAGAGACTGTATTCAGTGCAGAAGCACGACTTAATTTTTTTTCTCAGTCTCTTAATCGTTTTTACATTACGTAGAATCCCACACAAGTGTAATCCATACATACCTACGTACATACACATACATCGATACATTTGAAAAAAAAGAAGCGAGAGTGCAGCGTTGAAAAATTCTTGACAGCCTCAAGAGTGTTCGGGGGTATTCGATAAATAATTAGCAAATGCTCATTCACCGGTGGACCAGTTGATTTATTAATTATCTCCGGATGTTTTTAAACACAAATTTGAGGCTGAAACAACGACGTCTGCGTGTGCAATCTCTTCTGACGAAAAATCACCCGTTTTAGTGAAAATATGAGGCTCGTATGACTCAAATAATGAAGCCCATACCCATTTTGTTGTTTGATCCCAATTGGAAAGAATGGGTGAGTGTTAAGTGGGAATTGTAGAGGGAGACAGATACTCGAGGAAGCAAAATAAAAGAACGTACCAAATAAAACCGGACAACGTCAGAATGAATTAGGAGAGTTTATGATTGTTGAAATATTTTAATTGGCAAACGACGCTCGGGGTATCCCTGGTGTGGCGAGTGGAGAAGCAGTGGAGAGGTTCTGTGGGATGTCCTCAGGGGAGATTTCCAATTGGCGACTGCTGTTGGAGGGGGATATCGACGGGTGATTGGTTGAAAATTGTCGTCCAAAGTCGTCTTTCTGACGTGTGAGGCGGTGAATTTGTGTTTGTATTTAGTTAACCTCGTTTGGTCGTTCAATTCAGTGATGATTCAGTGATATTTTTGAGGAAATGTCCCTCAATGAGGCGAATCCCGAGAGGATTCTCAGAGATGTCAGGCAGGCATTTCCCATTCTCGACGGGGAAGTGCAGTCTGTGTGCTCCGACGACGAGTACTCCAAGATAATAGAGGGGATCAGGGCTGGAAATGCTGGGGATCGGGTCAGGACACTCGTCATCGAGGAAATCAAGTTTCATATCAGACAGCAAGTGGCGCCGGCTTTCTGGGCGAAATTCACCGGGAGTTTCGATGAGGAACAGGGCTTCGAGCAGTTCAGGAGTGCTGTCGACGATCTGTACTCCCGGCTCCTGGAGTTCCTGCCCCTGCTGAAGAGGTTGGAGATGCTGTCGCAGGTCAACGAGCCCCAGAGCTCCCCCCAGAGTCAATCCTTGAATATTCTAGCTCAGTTCAAGCTGATTGTCAGGTCCACGTTGTTGAGCCAACTACCAGTGGCTCACGATGTCATTATAGAGCAGTTTTACAAGATTGCTCTCAATGTTTTCTGCAATACGGATTCACTGACTGTAGATCCTGGGGGAATTGCGGCCTCTCAGTGCGCCGGATGCAATAAAGAAGTGGACAGTTGCCAGTGCCAGATGATTGTTTACATGTTTCATGAAACTAATCGTAAATTAATTGAGCTGGAACTGTTGGAGCGATTAGTTGGGAATGTCCTGACGTCTCTCATTTACGTGAGAATTAAGGATCATGTTCACAGGGTTTGTGACAGGTCTCTCGATGTGTCTCAACTTTCGTCTCTCGAAACTTGGCTTGAAACAGTGGTTCTGAGCTGGCTCACACGAATATTCTCCGGTGGCTCTTCCAAGTCAGTCTCACTGGACTCCAAAATCCGAGATGCAATATTCAAATTCAAGAGGAAACTCTCGTACTATCTCTACGAGACTTACACGAATATCAGGATTTCTCAGCTATTCAACATAATCATCGAGTACCCGGACTCCCAACCAGCCATCGATGACCTTCGGGTCTGTCTCGAACGAACGGACTTGAGGAAGTCTCTGATAACCAGCCTTCAAGAGGCTTTAAAGACCAGACTGCTTCATCCTGGGGTCAACACTCCGGATATTCTCACTGCTTACATCGCTGCTATTAAAGCGCTGAGGCAGCTCGATCCTACTGGGGTTCTCCTGGAGACTGTCACTGAACCTATCAAGTCGTATTTGAGGAGCAGGAGTGATACAGGTGAGCAGTCATTCAATACTAAATTCAAAACAATTGCAATCAGGGAGAGCCATATCCATAAATTATAATTACTGTTAAATTATCAAGTCTTCAATTCGTTAATATTACTCGTAAATTGTAATTAGTGAAGTAACCGACAATTTATATATTCAAATTTCCAATTATTTATTTTTATTAATCAGTAATTTAATTAGGAAAATTGATGATTATTTGGATAATCGAAAATCCCTTATAAGAAATTTACAATTATTTACTGAATAGAAAATTTACAGTTCTATGCTAAATATATTTAATTTACCATCAATTGGAAATTGAGAAGATTAATAATTTTTGATAAATAATAACTTTTTACTTCGAAATTGGGGACGAATGAGTTTAAAATGAAATGAATGGCTATTTCATTTTAAACTATTAAAGAATTTCATATCCTGGGGAAATAAATGAATACCTTTTTAATTCTAATTATTAATTAATTTGATTTGCAGTCCGATGTGTGGTGAGTGGTCTCCTGGACGACTTCCCCAGCGACCTAGCCGACGAACTAGTGAAGGGAGAGTCTCTCCAACTGGACGATGGTTCCGTGGACGAGGAGAACGAGGACTGGGAGAAGTGGATGCCAGACCCAGTCGACGCCGACCCAGCAAAGTCCAACCAAAGAAGAATGTCTGACATAATCTCAATGCTCGTGAACGTCTACGGTAGTCAGGACCTCTTCGTCAACGAGTACAGAACCCTCCTGGCGGATCGACTCCTCTCCCAGCTGAACTATCACACAGACAGGGAGATTCGACACTTGGAGCTGCTGAAGAGGAGATTTGGGGAGAACCAGTTGCATTACTGCGAGGTGATGCTCAAGGATATTTATGATTCTAAAAGGATCGATGGGCTCATCCAGACTAATCCCACTTACAACACCGGGGAGGAGTGCTCGTCATCTCCAGGATTCTCCACTTCAGCTCTGATACTCTCGGCCCAGTTTTGGCCCCCCTTCAAGGAGGAGTGGAAGCTGAAGCTTCCCAAGTTTGTGCAGAATCAGTTGGATAAATACGTTAAAACGTTCGAGACACTCAAGGGGAACAGGACACTCTGCTGGAAGCCACACCTGGGGAATGTCAATCTGGAGATCCAGTTGAGGGACAGGAAGATTGATATCAGTGTCACGCCCATCCATGCCACCATCATCATTCATTTTCAAGAAAAGAATCAGTGGAATGTGGAGGAATTGGCTGAAGTCATGCACGTCCCTCCGACGATTTTAAGGAGAAAGATATCGTTCTGGGTGTCTCAGGGGCTGTTGAAGGAAACTGAGAATGACGTGTTCCTGCTGCAGGAGGACAGCAACACGAAGAACAGATCGGTCGCAGAGCATTGCGTGGAGGAGGAGGAGGTGGAGAGTGCCATGGCCAGTGCCAGCGACCAGAGGGAGGAGGAACTCCAGGTCTTCTGGAGTTACATCGTCGGCATGCTTACGAATCTGGACTCCATGCCTCTGGAGAGGATTCATCAGATGCTCAAGATGTTTGCTTCACAAGGGCCTGGAGCTGTCGAGTGTGGACTCCCGGAGTTGAGGCAGTTTTTGGATAAAAAAGTCAGGGAACATCAGCTGCTGTTTTCGGGAGGACTGTACAGGCTTCCTAAGCTTTAAATATTGTGTGTGAAATTTAAAAACATGTTTGTAGGATTTTTTAAAATACAATTGCATTAAACATGACGTTTTTGTTATCAAATTCATTTAAAAGAGGGGAAAATCATATGTGCGGGGAAAATGTAATTATCGAATAGAATAAAAAGAACTTTTGTTTGCTAGATTTATTTTCTTGAGCTTTTCATTCTGTATAAAAGAAAAAAATTATATAATGAAGGTGAAAAAGAAGGATTAAAGACATTTAATCTATTGCATTTGGGGGGCAGTTTCATTGTCCTGGGCCAGAGAGGGATTTGTCCATGAACTTCTTCTTGGCGAAGCACAGCCACCACTTGCTGGGCTTACCATTATCACTGTACACTCTTTCTACAAGGCGAGCCGCAGTCTCTTGCCTTATTTGCTGCAGATACTGCCTCATTTGATCTGAAATTATTTTTATCAATCAGTTATCTTTGACGTGCCTCACGGAGAGAATGATAAGAATGAAGGAGAGTTACCAGCCTCAGCAGAAGTACTTGGTTTAGCGTAAACAGAATTTAGGGGGAATCCTGGATCTCCTGGAATATCGAATTTCGAAATGGCCAGGGAATACATCTCGTTGAGGGCTTGATTCTGATTTGCGCACTTCTGGAGCTTTTTTAAACACTCTGTTATGTAGAGAGTTATGTAGATCAATACCCTATCGGCTTCACTCTGAATAAATAAGTTAAATGAATAAAATAATGACGATAAATAAATTAATGAGAAATGTAAAGGAAATTTCAGCCAAATTTTTTTTATAAGTGTAGAACAGTTCAAACCTTAATTTCATAAGTTCTGAAGAATACATTAGCCCTGAAGAAATACAATGCCTCGTCGATGATATCCTGCTCAGTCTCTGGGGGGCAAGAAGGAGCTGGCCCTCGAAAGTTCGTCCTCAGGGGCAAAAGTGCTAGATTCCCAAGACATTTATCACTTTTGACGAAACTGGAGTGATACGCCTAGATATCACAGTAAACAATTTCTCATCTAATTCATCAATTAAACATTGCACAATAAAAAAAAAAACAATTAAACATTTTTCTCAATCATTATTGTCAAAAGGTTACGCCCACTTGATTGTTCATTTTGACAATGACCCAGTGAATAAACAAAACGATAAAAGGAGGTAATTACCGGCATTGCAGGTGTGTTATTCAGCTACAATAGTCCTCGATGTCCTCAAAATCACGATTCAATTATTGATATTTTTATTCACTCCATAAATACTCTATAAATTCAGAAAATTATCTATTCTTCACTCTTTGGAGCATGAATCACGACCGACATTATTTTGTTTTTTTTCTCTTCAGTAGAGGTAAACGCAGGGATTGGCTTTATCGTCAATAGATCGAGCAAAATGAGGAGAATGAATTACCATCGAGTTGCCGATCTCTCTGGCTTCCGCGCCCTCTTGGTGTCACAAAACTTGCTCTTCCAAGATGGACGTTCTTTCCTTCGTGTACTGATCGTGCAGGGTGAGTGTCGGTGAATGATAATCCAAAATAATCATCGACATCCTTTGTTTTTCGACGAGCAATGCATTGAAAATTGAATTTTAATGAAATAATCCACGAGTTGTCGAGAAAATTTTTGTCGTTCAGTGGATTTATGAGTGAAAAAAATACGTTTAAATATTGTTAACCTCATTGAAGTGAACATTGGTCATGCGGTGAAATGTGTTTTCTTGTAATCGGTGGAGATTAATTTCCTTTTGTTTTTGTTGCAGGTAGACACGATGGGTGCATACAAGTACATGCAAGAGTTGTATCGCAAGAAGCAGAGCGATGTGCTTCGTTTCTTGCTTCGTGTGAGGTGCTGGCAGTATCGCCAGTTGACCAAACTTCATCGGGCACCCAGGCCGTCACGTCCTGACAAGGCACGTCGTTTAGGATACAAAGCTAAACAAGGTAATTGTTGCATAATTATCTCTCTGTAATCGTTGTGAGTAGCTACGTCACATCCCAGGTTTTTTTATGATCTTGAGGGGGTGAATTTGGTTTATTCATTATTGATGTTTATTTTCTGCAGTAATGTTAGCTTGAAGGAAATGCTCACTAATTTAATGAGTAATGAAGGCTCATTTTTGCATTAAAATTTAATTAGCAATCGAATGATGATTCGTACATGCACCACTCTTAGCCTCGCAATGAAGATTATGTATTTCTGACGATTGCACTTTAAAATTCTGTCCCTCAAGCAATTCTAGGTATTTTTTTTTTAATTTTGAAATTACTTATGAATCGAATGATGATTTGTACATGCACCACTCTTAGTTTTCTGTGAAGATTATGTACGTCTGATGATGGTAATTTAGCAGTCTCGTTCAAAGTTATTAATTTTTTGGGGATCAAGGGAATATACAGTCAGTTACGAGGGATTTTATTCGATTGTTGTAATATTTTTTGCAGGCTTTGTTATATTCAGAATCCGTGTACGTCGTGGTGGACGCAAACGCCCAGTCCCCAAGGGTGCTACCTACGGTAAACCCAAGAGCCATGGTGTCAACCAGTTGAAGCCCACCAGGAAGTTGCAGTCCGTTGCTGAGGTAATAAATTCTTCCTATTCCCAGACGAGGTCTTTTCATCGGCGAAATGTATCATGTTGAAATGGCGTCAGCCCTTTTAAATATTCAATTAATTCGTAGAAATGAGAACAAGAATTTTCGTTGATGAGTGTTTTTCTCTTTTCCTATTTCTCCGTTAATTTGAATCCATGCCATTTCTCCATTCAACAACACTGAGTGATGATAACATTTTTAGCAAAGAAAATTCATGATTGTATTTGCTTCCTTGGATGTCTGAAGATTCAATAATTCCCTGATTACAAGATTAATTATTTCCTTTCACGAAAGAGCTAATGAGAGTGTTCTGTCATCCCTAGGAACGTGTTGGAAGACGTTGTGGTGGTCTCAGAGTCCTCAACAGCTACTGGGTAGCCCAAGACTCATCCTACAAATACTTCGAAGTCATCCTGGTCGACCCTGCCCACAAGGCGAGTATTTTATGCATAAAAAAAATCTTCACGAGTTACATTTTAGTCTGAAATAGCACTGGATGATGAAAAACTATTGCTTGAATGCTCAGTAAGTTGGAGACTTCATTTAAGGAAAAGACTAATACCAAAATGGATAATTTTGTTATTAGCTTTGTTGTTTGAATGACATCTCTCGCCCTGGCAGTGATAGAAAAAAGAATTCTCGTGACTTTGACAGTCCAATGCAGATTGTTAAACAAAAGATTGCGCCTCAAAAATCAGAGGAATAATTTCGTTTTCATGTTCTCCAGGCTATCCGCAATGACCCGAAAGTAAACTGGATCTGCAATGCAGTACACAAACACCGTGAACTCCGTGGAAAAACTTCATCCGGAAGGAGTTCACGTGGATTGGGCAAGGGACATCGCTTCTCACAGACTATTGGTGGTTCACGCAAGGCCGCATGGCTCAGGAGGAATTCCCTGTCACTCCGAAGAAAACGATAATCAGTTATCTACCGTCTGTCATAACAAAAATAAAAATAAAAGCCGTTTTTCTAAACGCCAATTGCTTTACATTCATTTCAAAATTTTCCTCACAATTAATAGCTACCGATGATTCTTTTATTGATATACAAAATATATTTTATGGCCTAAGCTACAATTATTTTATACATTTACACACATGGAGTATACATACACGTGACATCACACAAAGCGGTAATTTTTCGAACTAAAAATGTGATTTGATTCCAATGACGATTGATTAAATAAGATTCGAGTGAAGCTAGCGAGATTCAATAAATGCATTTTTTTTTTGTTTGTTAAAAGCTAGTTAATTAGCTGGAACAGTTTTTGGCCAGATGCCTAATACGTAAGACTCGATTTCACACTCGTCTATTCCTTTTTGGATTTTGAAGAAACCGTTTTCACCCCAGTCCGAGCCCCAGGAGTTCGCGACGATCTGAAAATTGAATAGTTGGTTGACAAAAATCGTCATCGCCCTCGCTAAATTAGTCGGAATTACTCGATGGAATATTCACCCAATACTTCGTCGGTGGATAATTTCCATACATCTCCTCTCCCCATCCAACTATCCGCACAGAGTGGTAGCCAGAGGGGTAAACCTCGGCGGCTCTCGAGTGTTTGTATATTCCCCTCTGATAGGTGAAGAAATCCTGGTGGACCCTCATAGTGGCTGTTGAGGCACGAATGAAAGGGAGAATCGCATAATTCAGTGTTTTATGACATTTATGAATGCCACGGGTGAACTTTTATTACCTTGGACCGGTCCCGATATGAGAATTTCTTGCATTATGTCCGTCTCGTTTCCAAGACGATATGCAGGACCCACTTTGTATAATTCCGTTCTGAAGGGATTTGGCGGACTTCTGCAGCCCGCTGCCTTCAGATTCGTTCGTTTGCGGATTTTGCATTTGTCGTTCATGCCAGACCAGGGGTAGCAGTCCTCATCAACTACACTGCAGTTTAAATAAAACCATCATCATCATTATTAGATGAAATGCCTTCGGTGAAATGATTGCTTTCGTTTTTTGCGGAATTTCTTTTTTTCTATTTTTTTATTTCTCATTCCAATTTAAAAAAAAACAATAAAATAGAATGCTAGGCAGAAAAATCAACGTCTATCTGCTTCATTCCGTCAAATATTCACTGGAAAATTGCATGGCTAAACTGCATTTTTTTTTAAATTGTTTTTTAGATAATTTTTTTGTATAGGGGAGACTGGGATAAAATGGACACTGTAGACTGTTTCAAAATTATTCATTAGTCAGAAACAAATTTATCAATTGAGCTCAGTTTAGGATCATCACAAAGGGAAAGAATTGTTCTTTGTACTGAAAAAAAAATTATTAAATTATATCAACATTTCAACCCCTCATTAACATTTAAAAAAAAGTCAAGTGTAAATAACTAATTTCTCGCATTTTCTCAAATTTAAAATCATGTTTCATTTCAGCTCATACCCGAATTTCCTCATGTACAGCCACGCACGATCTAGATATCCCCCTCTGCACCCCTGCTGACCCCTATTATTGCATGAAATTAAATTCTGTGCACTGAGATAAACCGCCTCGGCGCCTTTGCTCATCAAAGCGAATCTGTCTGACGCAACCTGGGCAGTAGAAACGGCCCACGATGCTCCGCACCATCCTTGGTCCTTGACATTGGATATATCTCTCGGCCATGTCAACCTCGCGTCGAACTCTCGTGGCAGTGCGTCGGGATTGTAATGTCTCTTCACTGGGTGCATCTTAGAGACCTAGCGAAAACATTGAAAAATAATGCCCCCCATTCTCGCAATCCTGTGAATGAATTCGCGGGGTTTATCTGTGACTCACGGATCTGGAAGGATTCAACGTTCCCAATCGCAATTCGATTCCGTCGGTGAGGGTTCGGCCCCAGAATTTTGAATAATTCCCTGGTGTCCAGCCCAGGTCCCTCTGACGCTCCAACTCTTGCAGTAAATTCACGTCCATCAGACATCTATTCTCTTCACAAAGAACTTTGGCGGTAACTCCTAATGATGAACACTTGCTGAGGAAACAATTAACAAATAAAAAATGCGCAGTTGGACGCGAAACAAAATGTTTTTTGTTTCGAACTTCTTGTTTCCGCAATTTTTCATCCGGAAGAATTTTTTTATTTAAATGTGCCCGCGACTTTATTTATTTATTTCATCCGGCGAAGTTTTTTCAAAGGAAAATAATTAAATTCGCTAAAAAAATTTAGTTACCAAGTATTACAGTTGAATTGGAACGTCTGACCATGGTGGTAGTATTTCCCCTCGTGAAAACACTCTGAAAGTATCGAAATGTATAGCAAATCACCAAGAATTTTCTACCGTACAATTTTACGATAACCAATCCCACTATTTCCTCGAAGTCGGAGTGAAACTCACGTCTTATTTCGGCAATGACCGATGAATCTTGAGTGGGCAGTGTAATTAGTTTACAGTGCGACCAGTAATCTGGACAGCAGTCTTCTTCCCTCGTTCGATTGCAGAAATCGTCGCAGTAGCAGGTTGTACTCAAAATAGGAGCACTACAATCATCCTGTCTCCCTGCGCAGCATCTTCCGTTGTTGTATCGGCCAGCGCAATAGGGCCCAGGGGGCAAGCCCGAATAATCTGGTATTGCATGTGCAATTGATAACGATCCGAGGACAAGGAGAATTGCTTTTATCGTTAAACCAGTGTCTCGTGACATTCTGGGAAAAAATTCAGTCCTTTTTTTATCTCAAGAGTTTGTCAATTATGAGAAAGCTTAAACTAATCCCGAGAAAATTCTATTAATTTTTTGTTCGCTCAAAGTAAAATGAATAGAATTTAACAAAAACATCGAAATCTATCAATTTTTTTTCTATCGAATATTTTTGTAAATAGTTTCAGAGAAACCGCACTGATAAATTCCTGAAATTCCCATAAAATCTCAATGTAGTTCCAATAGAATTCCAATTGAATTTGCGGTTGAACGAGAGCCTCGTGACATTTTACGACCAAGAAAAAGTTTTATTGAAATTTTACTGCTGTTCTGTTCCAATGCCGAGAAAATTCTATAAATTTTTTGTTGCCTCACATTAAACTAAATGGAATTGAATATTTCCATAGAAATCGCCCTGAAAAACTACAAAAATTCCCATTAAACCCCAATATAATTCCGATAGAATTCCACTAAAATTCTCCACCAAATCTTTCCCTTAAATGATTTAATGCGTAAATCCATGCATTAAAAGCGGAAATTGTATTACATTATTTATGAGTATTTGGGGTAGTAGACTGGAACCAGTATAATCGTCCATCAATGTCTCAATTTGAAAATATCTTTTACGCAACACCAAGCATCGATGCTTTACTTTATTTGGCGTTTATTAATAGCTCGATTATTTTTATACTTTGTTGTGCACGTCCATTGTCATTGCGGTTATGCAAAGGTGACTAATAACACTTGTGCACCCCAGTCAGCGGAAAGATAATGTCTCTCATATTTAATTCATAAAACGCATTAATTACGATTCTGGAGCGTGAATCAGAGGCTCCGCAACAGCTGATGACATAGTAGTGAGATTCGATAAAGCGTTACATAGCTATCCGTTGACAGCGTCAATTGTTGACGCGACTTTGCGGCAATAAAAAATCTTTCGTTGAATGGGCCGACGTCATCGACAAATGCGAATCAGTAATCGATAAAACCCCTCACTACGATATTTTCGAAAACCCGGAGACGAAGTATGCGACAAAAGGATTAATAATCTTCAATTCGCTCATCAATTTAAACGGGTCAAGAGCAGTTTCGCATTCACACAGACAAGTTTACATTCATTTTGACGTTTTAATTACTTCTGCGAAAAAAATAATCGATTAAAATCGATGGGAATTGCTATCCTTGACATTTATAACTCATCCAAAATGATGTTAACGATGTTCTCCTCTTGTTTACGTAAAAGATATTTTGAATGACGTGAAGAATCTCCGGGATAAATCTCCAGCGAAAATATTGTTGGATCATCCAGCATCTTCGGGATGCGCCTGTCGTCGAGAATTAATGAACGATTCAATTATAGCGTCGAATAAAGCACCATGACACCGATCCGGCGATCATAACTGACAGGCCTAATTAGAGCGAACACTTAGACTGCGAAAAGTACTAAACAGGACCCATCACTGTCCACCTTTAGTCAAATACGTCACGAGCTCTTTCGTTGCAACCGAGAGATGCATGGAGATGAAAACCGAAAGATAATAAAGGGGAAATGGTTAAAAATCGTGAAAACCATGACTCATAAACTGCCTCGCGGCTAGAGCTTCTTCATCTCTTTGATACGGAGATAGTGCAGCAACGTTCTATTTCACGGGACATCCGCGTTAGCCTGGCTTTAGCTCTTTCTCTCTCAATCTTCCGCAACTCTGACCACAGGGTGAAATACCATTGAATCTTTATTTTCATACCAATGCCGTGAACCATAGGATTAAGTCACCGGGTAAAATGCTAAGATGACGCCTCTGGATTTGCCAATGATACGTCTCTGAGATGTTCATTCACAGCGGCCTTCTTTCCACTTTTTTTTGGATTATGAGGATTGAATTGTAATTGATTCAGCGTGACGCTTGGTAAATATTAACGCGTGGAATTTTTCGCTAATTTTTCAGGCTGATAACGGTAATGTCTCTCTCATGGTCGAGAGGACATGATTTATTTCTCTGTAAAATCGAAATCCATTCATTTCATCTCTTCGAAAAATCGTAATTCGGGGAGAATTCGAAATTCCAGGCTTTAGTATCATTCAGTTAATTAGTTTGGTTATTCATGTGACATTTACGCGTCTTCGGTGAGAACTGGATGCTGCAGATCGAACTGAGAAGAGAACAGCCTTGATGTTCGTCAATGTGATCAGTTAATTTTATTCAGATTTTTAGGAGAGGAAAGTTTCGCGGTTTAACGAAAAATGTCATTGTGATGCATTTATGATTATTATCTTCCTCAGGAATTTTGCTTGATATAAAAGAACCCGAGTTATCACTCTCATATTACGAGATAAAAGTGGAAATACAGTCTCGGGGACGTTACAATCGCTACGGGAATACCTCAGAAAATCAGAATTTTGAATTTACTTAGATTTCCGGATTTTTGTAGTCAAACAATTATTTTGGAGTTGTACAAACATCCGCGCGGGTTATTTCTGGTCTAGAATTATCGATGATTTTTCGGCGATGGGAGGAAAACCGCGCGGACAGATGAAAATTCCAAGTGCAATTTTTTATTTCATAATTTTTTAAATTGTGAAAATAATTTTCCTACAATTGCTGATGCTTGATAATTCTGCGAATTCCACTGTCGATTTTTGTCGAGTTTCATTCATGAAATACATTAAAATAAAAAATACTTACGTGAATTCACTGTTTCTCATTCTTTCGATTCACAAGTTAATGCAATTCTCCAGGGCAATATCAATCTTCTTATCAGGTGCACCGATGGATTTACAACACTTCTGAGAGTAGAATACAGTTGGTCTCAGTTACGCGAAAAAAAAAAACTGAAATTATAATCGTTCCCCCGTTGGCCAGCAACTGCTTCGCGACTCGAAAGCACGAGCCGCACTGACCCCCCCAGTTGTATACGAGGTAAAGTCAACGTTGAACTAAGACTCGACTATCACAATTCGGTTTAAAACCACTCTCGCACGTCACGCCTTTTTATTCTCGCGCACTGTATTACGAGAGTTACAATTATAAACTCAATCAATTCTGCAACGATGAATATGCGCCCTCAACGAATTTCTCGATTCGGGGAATCGCGAATCGATTGTTCTCGGCAATTGCTGGGTGATGGACATTCTCTGCCATCTTCAAAGGGGACATTAAATGTTTGCTAATAGTCAATTATGTTGAGAAGGATTATTAGCGCTATTTCTTCGTTATTTATCGCTGGCATTGTCCATTTGGGTTTTACGACTGAAGGCTGCACTTTGCAGTAAATTGAAGAATACTTTGAATTTTTTTGTCATATTATTGAGCTGTTGGCGGATGTTATTGGTGTATGAGGTAATTTATTTGTATGGAAATAATCGTCATAAACCTATTCGTAAGAAATCGCGAGCGAGTTTTCTCCCCCTCGATTTTTTTCCCGACACATTTGGCTTAGTTGGTGGCTTAGTTGGTTAAAGTGCCTGTCTAGTAAACAGGCGATCGAGGGTTCGAATCCCTCCGAGGCCTGCATTCACGTCTCCGAGCATGATTGCATCTTTTTTTTGCTCCAGAATGTCGCGAATAAACAGCCATTTGCGTCAGGAAAAAATTTTTTTATCGTTTATGCAGAGTGGAAGCGTTAGTGAAATAATCTTCATAGAGCCATTCTCCCCAATTTTGCCCAATTGAATCCATCACGACTGCAGACAATTGCGGGATGAAATATTTTCATTGATTTTTTAAATGATTTTTCCCCCCCGAACAAAATTACGTCACTCGTAGAAACTCGACTGCCCACTAAATTCTCCATTCTACTCCTATTAATATAATGCAGTGGATCCATAAGAATTTGATTACACTGCTGAAGAGATCGGGTAGCACTTCCTGGTCATTTCGCTATTATTATGATTTCATTGTTCCCCCAACAATGCCAATTCCTGAATCATTATAATTAGAAAAACATTGATGCACGTGTGGTGGAGGCGATTTGAGTGCCCATGAAATCGTTAAGCTGGTAAAACTCAGAATATCACGTCGTAAACGCCGAACTTTTAGCTTTTTTTTGCTAACCTTGGAGGTCGCGGTCATCTCAAAATTGCTTAAAATGAAATTTGGGGCAACGCGCATACTTTTAATGTCACACTGTCTATTTTCGGTCCACAGCAAGTGCATCTTTTTTGTTCCGACAAATTTAACTTTCTCACGGAATTTTAGAGAATTAAGATGAGGACAAATCACTCATCTTCTCACGGTCACACTGACTAATTCAATTAAACTTATCTCGTTGTTGGGAAAACCAGCGGGATTTTTTGGTCGAATCCCTCCAGGATATCCGCTCGCAGGCGACATTGCAGTGATAACCACGTGGGAAGGTGAATGTGTGATCGATAAGTCTATAGCAACTGCGAGTACTCGAGAAGCGCAGAGTGTTCATAAATTATTTAATATAATTTAATAATGGGAAATACGGAGAGTAATGTAACGAGTGGTGTTAAAAAACAGACCGACACTTCCTCTATATTGCTGTACAAACTGGTCGACCTGAAAGGTGAGAGGCATATCCATTCGCATATCCATGAATTTTGAAACACGAAATCGAAAAAAAGAAAACAGAAGCACTTTGGAGTCTCTTTGAAATGCAAAAATGGTCTTGTGTCATTTTGCCGTCCGTCTGCATCCCTTTGAGAGCAGATGGCAATTGAACAGACAAAAATACATCAACATTGAACTCGGTCTAAATTCTCAAGTAGCGTTTAATGGACTGAAAAGTCAGATTTTTCCCCCGACTGCGTGGGAGCAAAGTATTTTTTCCCACCAGCTGAATCGTACATCATCTGTTATTACTCCTTTTTCATTCTCTGCTCCCTGAAATTTCGTAGGCGGTGGACTGCTCGTTGACATGATGAAGAGGGCAACGCAAACAAAACAGTACGCCGAACTGGATCACGCGATAAGGACCAAGGTTGAGCCATTTCTTTACAATAAAGGAAAAGGGAAATGGATTCCAATTTCCAAGCTCGTTTTGTTGAGGAATAAGGAGCGGCCCCGGCATAAAATGGTGAATGATCAGGGGAAAATAGCGGACATGTTTAAAATTTCTTCAAAAATATCAATGTTTCTTCAACAAAGTGTTTACAGAACTGTTTATTTTCCCCGATTTCTCACAGCTCCCGGTGCTCAAAGCCATGGAGAATCCTGCCGATTACGATGTCGACGTCGACATGAAGGACGAGGTGATCGACGAGACGAAAATCGGTAATTTAGAAACGAAAAATTGCCTCGAACTTTTCATGACGCATTTCTCTTTTTTCCCGAAGATAAAAGCAAACACAGACTGGTCTGTTGGAATTTGAGTGATCGTGGGGCAGTTGGTGAAACGATTCTGCATCTGTGCATGCTCAACGCTACCGCACTCCACGCCGATCTGGCTAAACGACTATTACGCTTCTATCCGAACCTTATTAATGATGTTTATCTCAGTGATGAATATTACGGTAGTGTTGCCAGTTTATTCACCGTTAAAATAACCTCGGCGGAATAATTTCCGATGAATTCCCTCACCAATTATTTCAATTATTCCTTTTCACAGGGGAAAATGTACTGCATATAGCAATTGTTAACGAGGACCCAGCGATGGTGAAATATCTGTTGGATAGTGGAGCGGATGTGCACGAACGTTGTTTCGGAAATTTTATGTGTCCGGAGGACCAAAAGGCCTCGAGGACAGACAGCCTCGACCATGAGTGGCCCTCTGTCACTCCTGAAACCAATTATGATGGGTTTGAATTTTTCTTCATCTCTTCATGACCCCTTTAGCCCTTTAGCCCTTTAGAAATTTATTTATTCACTCAGCTCAACTAAAAAATATATCTCTGAGATGTGAATAATAAAAAGTCAAGTGTCCATTTTACTCCTATCGAGACACAGATCGTAGAATGAGATATCATGGATTTTTCGTTGATTTTTCACAGATATGTTTACTGGGGTGAATATCCGTTGAGTTTTGCCGCTTGTCTGGGTCAAGAGGAGTGCTACCGTCTGGTACTGGCCAGAGGTGCTGATCCCGACAAACAAGATACTAATGGTAACACCGTACTGCACATGCTTGTGATTTATTCCAAAGTGGTAATTCATTTATCTCAATATTTTCGGCGAGATTGTGTCACTTGCAATTTGCAGTAACGATCAATCGTCGTTTTTATCTCGACTGGTGAATCATGCGCGTGATATTTTTATTCAAGACCACTTTCGATATGGCGTATGAGGTCGGCGCTTCCCTGTCGATTCGGAACAATCAGCACTTGACACCTCTAACACTTTCGGCTCGATTAGCCAGAATCGAAATGTTCTTTCATATTATGAATATTGAGAGGGAAATTTATTGGCAGATTGGGAGCATCACTTGTGCTGCATATCCTTTGTCACAGTTTGATACAATTGATGTTAATAATGGGACCATCAATAATACTTCAGCCCTGAATTTAGTGGTTTTTGGGGTATGAAGAGGCGAACGATTCGTTGATTAAAAAATTGAATAATCGTTGCTCTTGATTTTAGGAGACAGAGGAGCATCTGGAACTCATGGACGGCGTTCTCATTGATTTGTTGAACGCAAAATGGAATACTTTTATCAAATCGAGGTAATCAGTGCAGAGCCATTATCACTGGTGATTCAACGGCATTTTTGTTTGCAGATTCTATCAACAATTTTTTCTCTTCTGTTTCTACTTCGTCTTATCTCTGATAAGTTTCGTCCTTCGTCCGGGTCCTTCCCCAACCGACTCATCTGGCAATTCCACAAAACCCACTTCAAGCTCTGATATGAGCTCGAGTCGAGCCCCTGCCCCGACGTCTACCAGTGCCAATGGCACAACTAAGAGCCACGAATTTGGTCAACTCTCTAGGGTTATTCGCCAGTTAGCAACTACCTTGGCCAATAATTTCATGGCGAGTATGAATGCAACACCCGCCAGTGTCGAGAATTTTATCTCGAGAATTTCAGATAACATCACGTTAACGCTCAAGGATGCTCTTAATTTCGATCTTGTTGATAATTCTGGGCTGATGGCGGGTGAGGGGAGGAGGAATGAGAGCGTTTATGGACAGGTGACACCTTCCGCTTTTATTATGGATTCCGCACTTGATGAAGAATGGTATGTGTAATTTCAGAAGGAAATCCCACGCACGAAAAAATTTCTTTGAAAGACCAAGCGAATTCCACAGGACATTCCATTGGATTTCGTTTCTCTCGGAGAATTTTGCTGCACTAATGCGCCTTTCTTAATAGCGAGTGGTCAATGGAAACTACTTTGCACGGAGAGAAATGTTCAGTAAAAATTACGGAACTCACAATTCGCTCATTGATTACGGAATCCACTCAGAAAATTCAAGTGACGGTATCGTAATTTTCGCTCAGGAGATTTGCGGTTGACGAGTCAGGTTTTCCGTTTTTCCAAGGGGAAAGTCGACTTTCGCCAAAATCGAATTTTTTAGCCGGGTGAAGGTGGATTCCAACTATTTAAGCGACGAGCTATTCAGAACTCTCAAAAGTGTGTGGAAAAAGTGAAAACTGAAAAAGTTTTTTTTTTCAGATTTTCAAAGGGTCAGATTTTCCGTTTTTCCAGGGGGAAAATCGACTTTCGCCAAAATCGAATTTTTTAGCCGGGTGAACGTTGATTGCAACTATTTAAGCGACGGGCTATTCAGAACTCTCAAAAGTATCCTATTCTAAAAAGAACATACGCCGTAAGCTATAGCGGAACGCTCATTCCTCGAATTTCATTGGTCGCACATTCGGATTCGCCCACACGTGTTCGACTTCGGTCGGCTTTCGGTTTTCATGTCACGAGTTGTCTTTTACACGATTGTTCTCGTCAGATAAAAATTACGGAACGCTCGGTAAAAATTCCGTGACAGTTCCGCAAAATTTCCTACAACCACATTGCGCTCCGGAATTACGGAAAAGATACGTAATTTTTATTGAATATTTCTCTCCGTGTATAGAATGCAATTTTTCCGTAGAAACAGAAGTTGAAGTAAAGAATATTTTTTTAAAACATATTCCCACATTTTTATGGTGCATAAAAAAAATGTTAAGGCATTAATGTTACATGTATGACCCGAAAATATTCAAGCGTGAAACTACCTCCAGGTGGGAAGATTTGACAGAGGTATGCAGATTAATGCAACTCGACTCGTCAACCGCAAAAATAAGACTAACAGCGGAGATTTTCATGGAGTTCGGTGCGATACTCTACATCCTCGCGGCCCTCCGAGAGGCCCGATTCCTCGGACTCAACATGTTCATCGAGAACCTCGTGAGACTCCCTCTCAGAATTCAGTCCTCGATCGCAATATTTTTCGGCAAAAAGCAAAATTTCAATTTTAGATGACAGCTCCATCGCGCGTCATGTTCCTCTTCTCTTGTTGCATTCTAATGTCATTTCCCTTCTTGCGTCTTGCATGCGCGGACAAAGTGGAGGACATGCTAGCGGTTGTTGTTATGCTGACGACAGCACCGTACTTTCTATTTTTCTGCCGGGGATTCAAGACAGTGGGGCCTTTCGTCGTTATGATTTACAGGATGATCATGGGAGATTTGCTACGATTTGTGACGATTTATCTCGTTTTCGTTATGGGCTTCTCGCAAGGTGAGATTACATTATTAAACTCTGAAAGGCGAACTCATTCTTCATTTTGAATCGTCAAAAAACACTTTACAGATTCAGACAAAAAAAATTCCCTTCAATTTTTTCCCCTCTCGCAATTTAAAAACTCTATTGGATATCCTTAAATGTCGAGCGCAAATGCTGTATATCATCTCACTAGCAGTCTAAACATTAATTCGGCAAATATTTTTGTATCCGAGTGAGCGATGAAAATAGCACATTCCACGGACGCTTGTGCAATGCAAAAATTTCACTCAATGTCAACAGGAAAAAAATCTTTGTAATTAAATTTCGATTGACTATTTACCACTTGTATCATTCCACTGACGTCATCGCACTACGATGCATTACTCCGCGCTGACGACTTATGTAGATCATTTGACATTGACATAATTTTCATGTTTTCCATGTGACATAGCGTTTTATTCTTCCTTGAATCGATTAATCGGGGGAATTGAATGATCATATTTCCAACGATGTTGCACTTGAAAATCAGCATCTGAAAATTTTCTCAATGCGTATGGCATGCCTGCGGACTGCTGGCGAGGCCGATATTGCGTGGGCTCCGGCAACCCATGCATCACAAGAGACGGACCGTCAGTGATTGATCAATGTCGCGCACTTTACTTATATTACTACACCGTGATTCATCGAGAAGGCAATGTGCCATTGACTTCATACTTGAGCAACATGCTACAATGGCACGTGCTGATTGAGATAATCGTAGAGTGACATAAATATCGTATCATGGGTTATTATTACACGCGTTTGACGGGACGGGGTAATTATGTCATTACGGGAGGATGCGTGCATTGAATTTCATTTCATGTTCTGACGTATGAACAACTGCTGATAGAGAAATTCAATTAGAGATTTTTAATCTTCGAATTGTTTGATTGAATTCAATTATTTTTTAAAAATCGTTTTTCCATCTTCAGAAAAGAAAACTGCTCAATCCCATTTCCTAAATCTTCTGTAAAAACAGAAACTGTTTGATTTTTCCGGAATTTCTCAATTGTTTAAAATCGTAAAATGTTTAATGATTCATATTCCATTAATTTCTAAAAAAAATTGGCAAATATTCTAATGTGCAACTTGAATTATTGCACACAGCCTACTACATAATTTTTTTATCCTTCGATAATCCCCAAACACCCGAAGGGGTGGACGACACAACGAGCAATCCCATGCCGTCACCGATGGAGAGCATAATGGCAATGTTTCTCATGAGCATGACGAATTTCGGTGACTACTACGGGGCATTCGAGAGAACCGAGCACGAGATAGAGGCCAAGGTTTGCTCATTATTAAGATGTAGCGATTCAATTTAGATAAAGTCTTTAATTTATTCCTTGGCGATTTGTAGTGTCTCTTTGTCGTGTACATGGCCATAGTGGCTATACTACTGGTTAATATGTTGATCGCCATGATGGGTAATACCTATCAAAAAATTGCGGAGACGCGAAATGAGTGGCAGCGACAAGTGAGTTACTTTCGGGATTTTTAATTGAGTGACGGAGAAATGGGCTATTTTCATTGATTATTCATTGGGTGAATTTATCAGTGGGCGAGGATCGTTCTAGTTGTTGAGAGAGGTGTAGCCCCTGCGGAGAGACTCAAGAAACTCATGGATTATTCACAACCCATGTCCGATGGACGGAGGGCACTTGTGCTTCGATTACATCAATCCGTAATTGCATTATTCTTTCGTTCTCGGTAGACCAGTCAAGATAATAATTGGGATTTTAATTGTACTCCAGGAGGAGGACAAAGAGGACATGAAGGAGATTTTGGAGATGAAGAGGACTCATGAGAGACTCTACAAGAAGCGAATGGCTCGGGAGAACAAAGAGTGCGAGGCGATATCAGCCTCGAGAGTGTGAAATAGTTTTTCATTCTGCATCAAGCAGATTTTTCCAAATCAAATTATTATCGATCAATAAAAATTATCTTTTTCCAACTATTCGGAGAATCTATCATTTATATTTATAAAAATTCAATCAAATGTTGAACGAAGAATTACAGTTCGCCTTTCTTTATTCGCAGATAGTATTCTAATCGTTACCATAGCAACAAACAAGTGCCTCCACTCGAACCCATCTGGTTGATCTCAATACACTCCACGTCAACAAGAGTAATTTTATTCAGTCAGAAATGAGTTTCTTGAGGCAAAAAATTAATTTCAAAGACCTAGAGGAAGAACTGCAGAGTGCAGTCAAGGCGGATGAACTCTATAAATTACAGAATGATGCCAAGTTGAGAGCTGTTGAACAGAACGTACCCAGTTATGAGCAGTTCAGACAAATGGTATGGATAATTATTCTAATTTATATTCTATCATAATTTCTTGCTCTCCTCTCACTCAATAGGTGAAAGCTGCACATTTAAAGCCGATGGATAAGAAGAGAGGAATGAGGAATTCACGTGTGAAGGAGTTTGAAGATGCGAATTGAAAAGCCGAGGCGAAATTATTCACTGAAGTATTCCAATGGAAATGAGTTTTGGAAAATTAAATTTTTTTGGGCATTTTAAGTCGACTATTTTTTTCAACATAATTAGAAATTAAATCCTACAGTTACAAAACAAAAATAGATCTTTAAGCGTTGAATTGTCATTTGAGAGGTGAATAAATGCGGAATTTGATGAAAAAATTCGGATGATTTTGGAATTAAAAATTGTTCATTGACCCCTCGACCCCAAATTATCGTATCGCGTAGATGAAATAACTCGACTATTAATTGTTAAAAAGTATCATCATGCCTTATTTATCATCTTCAATACAGTTGTCAAGGTTCAATACATACCCCTCGATACCGGCAGTTTAAAAACTCCACTGGTTTTGCCTTGGTGGCGCAAGCTACCGGCTCTGCGACTCCTCTAGCCATTCTCAGAATGACGTCACTGTTCACTCCGTCAACACACGACACATGTATATAACACTCGTCCGTTGTTTATCTTGGCTCACCGATAGTCAATCATTTTTCAATTCACCGGTTTATAATTGAGTGCACTATTATTTCACTATTTGTCATTCCAAAGTGATAATTCGAGAGAAAGAATTATTTAAATTGCTGGGACCTCGGTGAAGATCTCACCGAAATAAACAGTTGCTTCCAATAACAAAGAGACTCGAGGATCGCGCAGTTGCCCAAGTTGAGACATTATTGCATAATTAATTACTCTTACCAATTAAAGTGTCTCTAGATCTTCCTGTGGACTTTTTTACGGAATTAAATGGTCATCTGGAGGTTCGAATGAACATTTTGGTGCCAGTGGATGTGGAAATAAGTGAACATGTGTCAAAATAGTTGATGATGATCTGCAAAATATGCAGATTTTTTTTTATCCACGACAATACTTCCGAGGAATGCAAAGTCTTTATCACTGAGTCGCGAGAGAATGAGGTTAGAAGAGATGCCACTGCGACTCAGCTCGGACGATCGCAATTTCGAAATGGACGAGGAGACTGACTATCTTCTCCAGCCCTCCGACGACAATTTTCCGCCCATCATCAAGAGAAATAGAAGAATTAACGCGTGCACTGGGTTTTTTAAACATTTTCTCTGCGGGTGAGTTCATTCAACCCTCCCGACACTTTGACGATCATTTTGCGGATGAAATTCCCTTCATTTATTCGCTTTTATCCGCGGAAAAATTCAACTGCACTGACTGGTGAATTACGAGTGAAAATTTATCGAATGATTATTCAATTCCGTTGGGTTCCAGGGGTTCCGGAATTTATTCCCGAACGATTTAAATTTCTCAGCGGGTTTTTCAAGCCACCGCCACCTCGCGGAGGTTCCATTTGACGTTAGAATAATAATAATAGTCTGTGTGCTGTCACACTTCCAGGAAAATCGTCAATAAAGACAGAATAGTACGAGCAATCGCGAATGATAAAAGAATAGGTTTTATTGGAGTATTTGAGTGTTTTATTGCCCCTTGGGCGGATTTTTAATAGATTCGAGTTTTAATAATCAGAGAGAGGACGTTGTGAGCTCTGGCTTTAATCGATCAATGTGAAGTAATGTGAGGGAAGTGCGATGGAGACACAGAGTAGTGTTTTGAGAATGTCGAAGGAGGATATTCCGCTGATATCGAAGCCTAGGAGGGGTGTTTCCTGGATGAGGTATACCTCCATCGCACTAGATTAATTACTGCCGTTTTACTTCCCTTCAATATCAACTTTTCGTAATTTAATGGGTTGACTGCGCAGTTCTGTGGGTGTGTGTGCGTGTAGTGATTCATCAATAACGGTTGATATCTCCCTTGATTATGGTAATTTCTTATCGATCTTTGAGCGTATTTTTAAATATTCCGTAGGTGCTGCAGCTGGATGTGGAGACGATGCTGCAGGGAGCGGGAGCTCAGGGCCCGGACTATTCACATCGGAAAACCAGTGGGCGAGAAATTTCCCACTAATGTCATCAGGAACCAAAAATACAACATCATAACTTTTCTACCATTTGTAAATAATTTTTATGGTCTCATTTTGAGGGAGAAGAATGTGGAGTTGTGGATAAAATGTTCTTTTCTCTAGATTCTCAATTCAAAAATGAAAAATTGAATGTATAATTTTTTTTTCGCAGGTTCTCTTTCAACAATTCAAATTCTTCCTCAACCTCTATTTCCTGATAATGGCGAGCTCTCAGTTCATCCCGGAAATAAGAATTGGCTACCTGTACACCTACTGGGGACCACTGTGTTTCGTTCTAGCCGTGACAATCTGTCGTGAGGCAGTGGACGACTTTCGTCGTTACAAGAGAGACAAGGAAGTGAACGGCCAGAAGTACAACCGACTCGTGCGAGGCTCTGACGTTCCCGAGCTGGTTCCCAGCTCGAAACTGAAGGTCGGGGACATGATAATCGTGGAGAAGGGGCAGAGAGTGCCAGCGGATCTAGTTCTCCTCCGAACGACCGAGAAATCCGGCGCCTGCTTCGTCAGGACAGATCAGCTCGATGGCGAGACTGATTGGAAGCTTCGGCTGACGATTCCAGCGACCCAGAAACTGGAGAGTGACTCTGAATTATTCGACATCAAAGCGAGCCTCTACGTGGAGAAGCCCCAGAAGGACATCCACAGCTTCATAGGGACCTTCACCAGGGAACACGGAGTTGAATTCATTGAGGAGAGCCTCGGGGTGGACAACACCCTCTGGGCGAACACCGCTGTTGCCTCAGGCTCAGCTCTCGGAGTGATCGTCTACACAGGACAGGAGACAAGATCCCTGATGAACCACTCGGCCCCCAGATCGAAGATAGGACTGCTGGACCGAGAGATAAATCAACTGACGAAAGTCCTCTTCGCTGCTGTCATCGGTCTGGCCCTCGTCATGATGTGCCTCAAGGGTTTCAACGGCCCTTGGTACAGATACATGTTCAGATTTATTCTCCTGTTCTCCTACATCATCCCCATAAGCCTCAGGATCAACCTGGACATGGGCAAAACCTTCTACGCCTGGTGCATCCAGAGAGACAAGGAGATCAATGGAACTGTCGTGAGAACAACCACAATACCAGAAGAACTGGGCCGAATCTCCTATTTGTTGAGCGACAAAACTGGAACCCTCACGCAGAATAAAATGGTTTTCAAGAAATTACACTTGGGGACAGCTTCGTATGGACAGGAGTCCTTCGACGAGATATCCACGGTCTTGAAGAATTATTACCCTGCAGAGGGGGGAGTGAGTGCTGAAGACAGGGACGTGAAACGAAAGAGAAATGTTCAGAACACCCCGGGGATATCGGGCAAAGTCAGGAGGTCGGAAAGCACTAGGATCTACGAGGCTGTCCATGCTCTTGCACTGTGTCACAACGTCACTCCAGTTTACGACGCCACAACTACTAGTGTGAATGACGACTCGAGTATCACAACTGTGGAGACAGTGGACACAGGGTCGATTCAGAGTCAGACAGAGTCTGATCAGCACTACTATAATTTCGAGCAGACCAGGAACTACCAGGCATCGAGCCCCGATGAGGTTGCTCTGGTCAAGTGGACTGAGGAAGTCGGTTTGACTCTCTTCCAGAGGGACTTGAATGCCATTCAGTTGAAGGCTGTCAACGGGGAGTTGATGAGCTACGCGATCCTCCAGATATTCCCATTTACATCGGAAACCAAGAGGATGGGGATAATTGTTCGGGACGAATCCACTAAAGACAGGGAGATAACGTTTTACCTGAAGGGGGCTGATGTCGTCATGTCAGGGATCGTGCAGTACAATGACTGGTTGGATGAGGAGTGTGGAAACATGGCTAGGGAGGGCCTCAGAACCCTGGTCGTGGCGAAGAAGAGTTTGTCTGAGGAGCAGTATTTGGATTTTGAGACCAAGTACAATGCAGCGAGGTGTGCAGTGAACGACAGACCTTCCAGGGTAGCTGCAGTCATTGAGAGCCTCGAGAGGGAGATGGAGCTGCTCTGTGTGACGGGGGTTGAGGACAGGCTTCAGGAGAGGGTCAGACCGACGTTGGAGCTCTTGAGAAACGCCGGGATTAAAATCTGGATGCTCACTGGGGATAAACTGGAGACTGCCACCTGCATTGCCAAGTCTTCGAGACTCGTTTCGAGGACCCAGGGGCTTCACATCTTCAAGAACGTCGTCACGAGGACTGATGCACATTTGGAGCTCAACACATTCAGGAAGAAACAGGATTGTGCTCTCGTTATCAGTGGGAATTCCTTGGATGTCTGTCTTCAGTATTATCAGACTGAGTTCATGGAGCTGGCTTGTGGGTCTCCAGCCGTCGTCTGCTGCAGGTGTTCACCCACTCAGAAAGCTGAAGTTGTCACTCTCATTAAGAGTCACACTGGCAAGAGAACAGCCGCTGTGGGGGACGGGGGCAACGATGTCTCGATGATTCAGGCTGCAGACGCTGGCATTGGGATCGAGGGATTGGAAGGGAGGCAGGCCTCACTGGCCGCTGACTTCTCCATCTGCCAGTTCAATCATCTTGCTAATCTTCTGTTGGTCCATGGGAGGAGGAGCTACAAGAGGTCTGCAGCCCTCTCGCAATTCGTGATTCACAGGGGACTCATTATCTCCACCATGCAGGCAGTTTTCTCAGCTGTTTTTTATCTGTCCTCTGTCGCACTTTATCAGGGATTCCTCATGGTGGGGTATGCCACCATCTATACCATGTTCCCGGTTTTCTCGCTGGTTCTCGATAAGGACGTGTCTAGAGGCGTTGCCATCAAGTACCCAGAGCTGTATAAAGACCTCAGCAAAGGGCGATCTTTGTCGTACAAAACATTCTTCATGTGGGTCCTCATCAGCATTTATCAGGGGGGAGTCATCATGTATGGAGCACTCATCATGTTCGAGGATGAGTTCATTCATATTGTCGCCATCAGTTTCTCCGCTCTTGTGCTCACTGAACTGATCATGGTGGCTTTGACCATCAGAACTTGGCACCACATCATGGTTATTGCTGAGCTCATCTCTCTCGCACTTTATCTACTGTCGTTATTCGTTCTGAAGGACTACTTCGATGCCGAATTCATCACGACTACTGATTTCTTCTGGAAGGTTCTTGTTATTACGTTGGTATCGTGCTTTCCTCTTTATGTACTCAAATTTCTGAGGAAGAAATTTTCACCCCCGAGCTACACTAAGTTATCGTAATTTCATTTCTGTATATAACAACGTGTAAATTATTTTTTATAGCGAGTGAAATATTGATAAGTATTATTATCGAATTTAATCGAGGGGAAGTGTAAAATTTTCTGGCTGAACGCAATTTTTTTTTGTTGAAATCTAGACTTTGGAAATTTCTGCTTTTCATTTAATGAAAAAATCTTTTGTAATTTGTGAATCGATTATTCTCCTAGGAGTACGAATAAAATGTTGATAGAGGAATTTATTCTTACTTTTATTCTGTTGGTTTTATCTTACTGTTACGTTTAAAATTTTTGCTGCATTTCTGCCTATTTCTGTGTGAATTTCTGTTACTTCTTTTTGAGTTAGGGTACGCTCCATGTGTCTGTAAATTATTCGGTAACAGTGGGACGTTTTCTTCGTCTTTGAGTGAGTGAAATTATCGACAAGGGAAATTTGCTCTATGACATCACCACCGATATCACGGGCTAGATCGTAAAAATCGTTTGGGGAGAATTCTCGATTCTCTGGTAACCAAAAGCTCAAGTCGTTGGCGCACTGGGGGTAGACACTGATTGGCTGTAATTCGGAGAAACGAAATGTCAGATGATTGTGAACAATTACTCGATGTACACTTAGAACGTTGAAGGAATAAATGAGTGAATTATTTAATCGTGTTGTACCTTGTATGTTACTGGTGTGCTTGGATCGTCGAAGTTGAATTGACTTAGAAATCCAGAGTCTGTGCTGGAGAATAGTCTAATGTCTGGGATGTTGTACAGGCACATTGCGAGTCTCTCCAGCCCTAGACCGAATGCCCAACCAATTCTGTCGTTGACTCCCGAATTTTTTAGGATTTCCTGCCTCATGATGCCACAGCCCAGGACTTCCAGCCACTGATTATTGTGGAAGACCTCTAGCTCCCAGGAGGGGTGGGTGAAGGGGAAGTACTGGTCTACCCAACGACATTTTACATCTTTGACAGAGAAGGAAAGAAAAAAGAAGAATATGACGATTTTTTTCAAAGCATTTTTTCCAGCTTCAAAACGAGATTTAATAATAAATTATTAATTTGATAATTAATAATTAAAAAAGCTTCTGGCATGTTAAAATGAATAAATGAAGAACATGCAGATTTTTTTTTTACTTTCACAGCATTTTTTCCAGCTTCAAAACAAGATTTAATAATAAATAATTTATCATTAAAAAATTAGTCAACAGAATTAATAATTAAAACAGCTTCTGTCATGTTGAAATACCTTTTCCAAATAATGCCTGAGCGAGTCCCACCAGATCCCTCTTCAACTGGTGCTCCATAATCTTGGTGGCTTCTAAAGCATGTACAGCCTGCTTCTCATCGCTCTCCTTCCCCCTGTTCTCGAACAGCTCGAGTCCCTCAGGATTACTGACATTCTCAAATAACTCCTCAGCATTGCATAATCTCACCGCATCGACCTGATGAAAAATCGGGTAGTGAGTGGCATCGATCTCATCTCTTCTGTACACATCCCCAATGACGAGAAAATTGTTCAGTCCCATGGAGATCAGCTCGGACTGATGGGCTGTCGTGTGAGCCCTCAACAATGTCTCATTATTTATGTAATAACAATCGGTTTTGCTCCGGCTCGGGTGATCCTTCGGGATCAACAGGGACTCGAAGTTCTGCTGGACAGACACTATCGGCTTCTGATTGTCGAAGACACTGAACAGAGGGTTTCCGCATTTGTTCCTGTAGTGACTGTAAAAGTAATTCACTATTCTCTGACGAACGTGGGACAGGGGGTGATGTTTTTTCGTGTGCAGATTGCGCCCCAATTTTTCTATTATTTTCGGAGTTATATTCGTCCACTCGTCGGTTGCATACTTCTCCCCCAGAAGTTCCACCTCGTTTGGGGATTTATTCAAGTTTCTCGCTGTGCAGAAATCCTTTAATTTGATCAGCTGTTGCACTTTCAGCGAATTGACTCTTCTTCGAAGTGCTCCGAACATTGTTCAAGTGTTGAGTCGATCCGGTGAAAAAAAGACATGTTTACGAATGAAATTTTTGTTCGACGTTGGCGCCACCACGTGATGAATTTCAGCTACTTTCCGTGGAAAACGCAATGAGAAAAAATAAGCAAGGGTAGACACGTAAATGGTCTTGAATTGTCATTTTAGTAAGGAAAATCCGTGAAAATGTTGATAGCAACTTGAGTGGATGGTTGTCGTTATTTGTGGTAAAGTGCCTTCAGTTTGTGGACGCCTGCAGTGAAGGGGAATTGATGCTTTGGTGGTGACAGATGTCATCGGGGATCGGTTATCATTGAGAATTTAGTCTGTTTTTGACGTGTAAGTTGCCTTGAAAAAACAAGTTACTTAATTCCGTCTTCGTCCTTCCCCATCAGAGAAACATTTTTTTATTGTCAAGAAGAATAATTGTCGCTTTGAGAATTTTATCAAATCACTTCTTTTCTGGGGCAAAAAATCACGAATGATGAAACCTGATGTTTTTTCGCGTCAATTGCGCGAATATTGGATTCACAGAGGTACAGTTATCGTTGATCATGACGAGTCATTTCTATAATTGTAAATATTTTCTGGCCAAGTGAGGGAGACGACCTTCTCCTCAATGGCATTGATCAGCAGTTCTCTCCATTCTCTCCCGGAGTTTTAGATTTTTTTCTGATAAATTGTTGAATGTCAAACGCTTAGACTTTCTCTTAACCTCAACTTTTCACTGAAGAATGTCGGAAAATTAATTAGGGACAATTTTTTAGTTTGCGAATGGTAAATGCAATCTTCACTGCACCTCTCACTGGCCCAATTTACCCTCTTCCATTATTTTTAATACTGTTTATGGCAGAGCTTAAAAAAATAGTGAAGGTATTATTGATCTTTGATAAAATTCAAGTTTTAATGTAATGCGTCAAAACATCACATTTGAGAATGTCACATGTGTGAATGTAAAAATTACTGTGGAATAAATTTTTGTGAGATAATTTAATCTGAAATGTTAACATTTCCATAAACTGACATTATTTTTTTGTGACTCCTTGACTCGCAGATTCTAATTTTGAAGAATGACGTTGATCGAGGGAGTGGGTGACGAGGTCACTGATTTTTTCATTGTCGTTGCTGTTATGGTAGTCGGATGGCTGGCTTGGTGCTCCACAAATATATCAGAACAACCCCTCATTCGAACTGTTCTAATCCTCCAGCACAGAACACGAACTCGAATCGCTGAGTTGAGGGCTAATCACTCAACAGTGATTAGTGATAATTTCACGACTAGAGCGTCGAGTTTCGATGAATCTACAGCTAATGAAGAAACTGCTGAGCCTATCAGCCAGTCCCATGGCGAGGCTGAACAGACGTGCTTACTGGAAAATCAAAATGGTGAAGGATTATCTGCACATTTATAAATATTCATTTCTTGGGGGAAAATAATTATTTGTGCTTTCCAGTTCCTCAAACATCGGAGACTTCGACTCCTGCAGCGACTGGTGGAGCAGCCTCTGAGGAAGTCCTCATCCAAGCTATGGATTCAGGGACCGAGGAGTCAGAATCGAGTGATGACAAATTGGAGAGTGCAGAAAAACCAGAGACCAATATCACTGAGACTGCTACCTCTGTCTCCTGTTCTCCAACTGAAGCCTCTGTTGATTCTATCGATGGAGCATTATTGCATGAGGGGGAGGAAATCGTTATTAAACTCAAATTTATCAACGATGACCAGAGGATTGTCAGTGGAAGGCCCAAAGAAATGCTTGGAGACTTTAAAAAGTGAGAGAAGAGCAGCAAATTTTTTTCAAAAAAATCATTTTACTCGTCAATTTGTTCCCGAGTTATTCGGCATGAATTGATTATTGTTCTCCTTTCAGACGTCACTTCCAAGCAGAACTGGACTCTCAGAAACGAGTGAGATTAGTATTCAATGGTCATGTACTTCAACCAGACACTGACACCTTGGAGCAATGTGGCCTCTACAATAACTGCGCTGTGCATTGTCTAGTGCATCAGCAGCGTGCAAATTCAGGGAATACAAACACTCATTCCTCGAATGCCGATTCATCCTCCTCGATTTATTCGAATCCCCAGTCATTTCAGAATATGCCAACAGGGGCTGGTACGTCAGTGCACAACGAATGGGATCTGAGCAGGTTGCTCGTAGGATTGATAACTCTTGTACTGATAATAGCCTGGTACTCGCGATATTATTATGCTCAGTTGTTCACTGCTGCTGCAACAATAGCACTTTACGTGTTAACGGCAGTATTCACACTATCTGTTGTGGGACATTTTTTTCCTGATCAGGACAGTCTGAGAAATATCGAGTAATTGTTGCTCTTCATTCATTCGATTCCTCTGCTTTTCTCTCATTATTTTATTTTCTCTTGTAATTTTTATTTATAAAAAATTTCATTGTAACTTAATCAATTTTTTTTTTTCATTGTAAAATATTTTTATACTTAGAATTCTGAATTTTGGTGATCAATTATCTGTTGTAGAATTTTATTCCAGTAGATGTGTGAATATACTTTATGGAAATATTTGATTACTGAATGGATAAATAAACACTATGATGATCATGTTGCGTGTTGAGGAAATTAAACGAAATAAAGTAAGAAAAGTATTATTTAACTGTTTATTCAAACTCTTCGTTTACAAAATTCTTCTGCCCATCCACGAAATAAATTAGAGAGAAAATTTTTCACTAAACTAGTTCTACATTGGATGATCCACACAGTTCAACTTTCTTTTTCACGTCTTCGGAACTATTCAACACGAATCCCTAAGGGTTTTCAAACAGAACTGAGTAATTTCTACTATCAACCTCCACATTAACAAATCGACAAAACGGTTTTTGGCTCTCTCCGGACGTTTTTCCAGGGGTCTCACCAGCTTTAACAACGAATATTGTCTTTTTGTTCAAGTTTTGACACTGGAAATCGCCCTCCACCCTCTTGCCCTCGAAGAACACGTCAAAGTTCCTGGCGTAGAGGCCGAAAATGACGTCTATCTCACGCCTGAGCTGCTGCAGGGAAATTCCTGTTCCATTATTCGGGTTCTCCAACAAGACAGTGCCATTCACACTGTTCGCTCCATACCTCGGCTCAATCCCTTCGACGATGATGTTCACGTACTTGGAGGCAGGTTCATCAGGAGATTTGCTCCCCCCTTTCCTCACCAACACCAGCTTCATCTCCACTCCCTTGATCTTCTGCATCTCCTCGATGATGACATCCCCAACAGGTGCCCCCTTCATCTCCCTCTGAGGAGTCTTCGTGATCCCCTCAATAAACTCCCTGTAATCCCCAATGACTTTGAAAAGAGAAGAACCTTTGTCCGATATTTCGTAGTAGACATCAGCCTCGTCGGTGGGCACCAGTTGCGCCTTCTTCCTGAGTTTCTGCACCCTGTTGATGATCTCCCTGGCAATGCCCTCGTGCTGCATGCTCTCGTCAGGCGTGACATCCAGGAGAATCAAGACATTCCCCTCACAATGTGCCTCGTACCTCATCGACAATTGCTGGGCCGTTGGTCCGGAGAAACTGAACATGAGGCGAAGGTCCTCCTCCCCAAGTTCATGATTATTAACGACGATTTTCTTCGTGACTAAGAACTCCTGCAGTTGAGCATCAGAGAGGTCTTTGATGGCTTGAATTATAGCCTTGAATTCACCTTTAAGCCTGAACCCAAGGGTTTTGTGATCAGGCTCTGCCCTCAAACTGACTCCATACTTCTGCTTGTCAGTTGTCACTGTCAACTCCTTGACATTGAGCTCCTCCAGGATGTAGGACTTGAGACTCACGATCTCCTCGAGAATCTTCTCGTCCTGATGGATCACGACAATCTCTGGAAGGGGATATTTCACTGGAATTGTCTTCCTGTCTCTGACGATTCTCCCAAGCTCGATGACAGTCTGCATGTACGAAACAGACCTCTCGATTTTTTCATCAATCAGTTGTGGATTCGGCTCAGGAACCATCTGGTAGTGCACAGACTCTGCTAATTCTGATTTAGGGGCTCTCGGGAGGAGATGGACAATCCTCTGGTACATGAATTCACTCAGGAACGGGGTGAAGGGCGCATTGATACGAGTCATTGTGTAGATCACTGAGAAGAGAGTGTTCAGAGCTCTTCTGCAGTCCTCGGGGCCATTGTCACTCTTTATTCTCCTTCTGTTCATCCTGACGTACCAGTTGGTCAGGTTGTCGATGTATTTTATGAGCTTTGGTACCACTGTGTACAGTCTGTAGGCCTTCATCTCCTTCTTCAGGAATTCCAGGAGAGTCTGGGTGAACGAGACAATCCACTTGTCCATGATGTTGTTAGAAATGTTGTTCACTTCGTTCTCACTCTCGTTGTAAATAAATTTCGTCTTCTCCTCGGTCTCGTATCTATCGATATTCTGGTGGAGGAACCTGAAGGCGTTGTACCAGGGTAGGAAAACGTCCTTGATGATGTCCCTGACTCCTTCCTCCTTGAATCTCAAGTTTTCAGCCCTGACAACAGGTGAATTGATCAGGTAAAGCCTCAATGCGTCAGCCCCAAATCTGTCGACAACCTCCATGGGGTCGGGATAATTCTTCTTGCTCTTTGACATCTTCTGGCCGTCGGATGCCAGCACCAGGCCGTTACAGACGAGGTTTTTGAACGGTGGCTTATCGAAAAGAGCTGTCGAGATGACGAGGAGAGTGTAAAACCATCCTCTGGTCTGGTCAATCCCCTCAGCAATGAAATCAGCAGGGAAAGTCTCCTCAAAGTCCTTAACTTTCTCAAAGGGATAGTGCAGCTGTGCATAGGGCATAGATCCAGATTCAAACCAGCAGTCGAAGACTTCAGATACCCTACGAAGTGGTGGATATCCAGGTCTTCTCGATGGAATCGTCAAGTGGTCGATACTCTCCCTGTGGATGTCAGATATCTTCTGCCCTGTCAATTTCTCCAGCTCTGCGATACTCCCAACACAGACGACCTCTTTCCTGTCTTCAGAGAGCCACAGGGGCATGGGATTCCCCCAGTATCTGTTCCTGCTGATGGCCCAGTCCCTGGCGTCTCTCAGCCAATTACCAAATCGCTTATCCTTGACGTAATCAGGCACCCAGTACGTCTCAGAGCTCGAGGACAGCAGTTTATCTTTGATGGTCTCCACTCTGATGAACCAGGAGGGCACTGCTTTGTAGATCAGGGGAGTGTCTGATCTCCAGCAGTAAGGATAGCTGTGAGAGTGCCCAACGTACTTCACGCACTTTCCAGACGCCATGAGGTTCTTCACAATCTCCTTATCCGCGTCCTTCACGTAGAGCCCCTTGAAATCCGTGACCTCAGGGGTGAATCTTCCCGTGCTGTCCACTGGACAAATTGGCTCCTGATCCCTGGTGATGATGCCAGCCTCGAGGCAGCATCTGTAATCGTCCTCTCCGAAGTAAGGTGCCTGGTGAACGACCCCCGTTCCAGTGTCTCCAGTGACGTAATTGTCGTTGAGGACCCTGAAGGCGTTTTGTTTCTTCCTCAGGTGTTCGAAGTAGGGAAAGGGGGGCTCGTAGCTCTTTCCCTTCAGTTCTGACCCCTTGACCTTCCCAATGACCTCGTAAAGATCGTTGGATTTGTAGACCCTCTCCAGGGCGACCTCCAGCAGAATAAACACCCTCTTCGAGGCTTTATCTCTGACCTTCACGTACTCAAAATTGGCGTTGCAGCAGAGGGCTAAATTACTGGGCAGGGTCCAGGGGGTAGTCGTCCACGCGATGATGCACACGGTCTCCCCATCCGGACCTTTCTCATTCAGAAGGGGAAACGTGATGAATACGGACGGGTCAATAACTTGCTTGTAATTCTGACCCGACTCGAAATTGGATAGGGGGGTGTTGCAGCCCGTTGAATACGGCATGACCTTCACCCCCTGGTAGACTAGACCCTTATTGAAGAGCTCCTTGAACACCCACCATATGGACTCCATGTACCAGGGGTACAGGGTCTTGTAGTCGTTCTTAAAGTCGATCCACCTTCCCACCCTCGTCACTATTCTCTCCCACTCACCTGCGTACCTCATCACGATTTTTCTGCACTCTCTGTTGTAGTTCTCAATCCCCATTTTCGCCACGTCCTCCGGCCCCTTTATCCCCAGGGCCTTGTCGATCTCGAACTCCACGGGGAGGCCGTGGGTGTCCCACCCGAACCGACGCTCGACGTGGTAGCCCTTCTGGTGGGCGTACCTCGTGACGATGTCCTTGATCGTCCCAGCCAGGATGTGGCCGTAGTGGGGCAGCCCCGTGGCGAATGGAGGTCCATCGAAGAAGGAGTATCTGGGCTTTCCCTTCGAGTGTTTGAGACTCGTCTCGAAAACTTTGTTGTCCGTCCAGAACTTGAGGATCTTCTGCTCCTCCTGGGGGAAGTTTATCGTCTCGGGGAGCTTCTCACGCATTTTGTCATGCGTTTTTCCGGCTCTCGGGACGTGACAACTGCCGGCAGGGCGAATACGAGGACTGGGTGATGCAAGCAGGTGCAAGCGAGGTTTTGAGGTTGTATTTGAGGTATACTTGGACTGCACTATAGCACACGGCGATTTTCAAGTGCACACCATGTGTGGGGATCCGCCGAATTATTTTTTTCGTGGATACTAAGGAGGTTGGAATATCGGGAGCACTGCACACGGTTCTCAAGGAGGGGGCACAGCTTGTTATCTGCACTTTGATGTGTTTAGCAAATTTTTGTTGATGTGTTTTGTAATTTGACAGCGAAAATGTCCGAGGAACTCTTCGGCGGGAATTTCAAGCGCTCGCTTCGCCATTTTCACCGTCTACCGTGCTGTTGTCCATTTTCCCTAGAACAATTTGTCGCCACATGGGGATAGGCTGTTTTATCTTCGGGGCTCACACGGATGCAACACGACCATGAAAAGTGACACGAAGGGGACACAATGAGGATCATTTAACAGTTTTCTGGCTCCTCGGACGCCTTTAAGAGGCTTGGACTCTTGTCAGTATTGTAATTGTTTAACGAACAATTCGGGAAAAGTGTACAGAAGTCGTGGGGAATTCACGCTGATGCGTTTTTCGGGTTGACTCGGTCGGTGACAGGATATCCCCCTCGCCCGGTCTATCGTATTTTTTTTTCGTCTATACACACACACAGCCTCCGCACAACCCCGCAGAAAGGTGTACACAAGTGATGAACCACAAAAGTGATTCGCGAATTCTCGGAATGGATTGGAGAAATCCGGACGAGGATTATGGGGAAATTTAAGCTTAAATCGGGTGGATTGAGGTGAAGAAGGAGTTTAGACGATTGAAACAATGCAGTGCTCTGAGAAATTTTAGGTGAAAGTGGTGGTGTAAAAAAGGATAGGTTTCGTACTATATTGGATTACCAAAAGTGGCAAGACTGGATATTCAGGATTTGAGGGGAGAATTGTCATTTTTTACTTGTAATTAATTTTGTTTGGGGAACGAGGGAGATGGGCGTACATCAACGATGTCCCTCAAGCTTCCGAGAATCATTTAAAATGCAGTAGTTAGTGGCCTTCGTGCATTTCGAGTCCTCGAGCGGATGGAAAATGTCAGTCACATAAAAGTCGCACCGATTTCAAAACACTAGGTGAGTCTAATTAAAGTAATGATTCAGGTGAGAGGTGGGAGACCAGTTGAGAAAATAAAAAATATGACAAGTTGTGTCTTTCATACCGAGATATGACTGCCAATTAAAAAGTTTTTCTCGTGTTTTTTGAAAGTGCTGATAAGGATTATCTGTTGTTCAAATTGTGGATAAGATATATTCTGTAATAGATTGAATATTATTTTACCAGGATTCCAATGAATTAATTTGCATCGGGAATAAACATCTTGTCCCCTGGGTTTTTCCATCAACAACTTTTTATCTCTTGCCATGGTACATCAGCACTGAACGATCATTTAATTTCCTGTGCAACTGCCTCTTGAACTCAGATCAAATAATTGATAATTTGTGATCACTTGTCTTCATCAGCGTCTGTAAACCCCAATTTCAACCCCCAGATTTCCTCATCATCGCAATCGAAAAATGGCGGAGGAAGAGGGCACCGAGTGGCTCCTGGAGCTCCTCCACGACGTTCAGCTCTCGCAATTCTTCACGAGAATCCGCGATGACCTCCAGGTGACTCGTCTCCACCATTTCGACTACGTCCAACCGGAGGACCTCGAGAAAATCGGCCTGGGGAAGCCGGGGATCCGAAGACTCATGGACGCCATGAAGAAGAAGAGAGCCTCCCAGAAGAAGAAGAACCTCATCACGAAAATCCGTCCAGGGGGGAGTGCCAAGAGCACTAAACGTACCTCCCAGCCTCTGGAGGCACCAGTGTCAATTCTCACCTGCTTAATCCAAGACAAAGACGTGACATTATCAATTAAATTGGGGGACGGTAGTTTTGGGGTCGTCAGGAGAGGGGAATGGAACTCCCCAACAGGTAGAACCCTTCCAGTAGCTGTCAAAGTCCTGAAGGCAGACGCCCTGACCCAACCCTCGGTGATAGAGGATTTTGTCTCTGAGGTGCAGGCCATGCACACACTGGACCATCACAACTTGATTCGTCTTTATGGGGTTGTCCTCTCCTCCCCGATGATGATGGTGACAGAGCTGGCACCTCTGGGCGCTCTCCTGGATTACCTGCGAAAGCAGTGTGGCCACATTTCAGTCTTAACTCTCTGCGACTACTCCCTGCAGGTCGCCACAGGGATGGCCTATTTGGAGTCCAAAAGATTCCTCCACAGAGACCTGGCCTGCAGGAACGTCCTCCTGTCGTCAGTCGACAAGATTAAAATTGGGGATTTTGGACTGATGAGGGCACTCCCCCAGCAGGAGGATTGCTACGTAATGACTGAGCACAAGAAGGTCCCTTTTCCCTGGTGTGCCCCAGAGTCTTTGAAATCCAGACAGTTTTCACATGCATCTGACGTGTGGATGTTTGGGGTGACTCTCTGGGAGATGTTGACCTTCGGAGAGGAGCCCTGGGTGGGCCTCAATGGCTCGGAAATCCTCAGGAAAATCGACAGGGAGGGGGAGAGACTTTACGAACCTGAGGCCAGCCCTCCAGCAATGTTCCAGATGATGCTCAAGTGCTGGGCGAAAAACCCAGCTGACAGACCCACATTCGCAGCTTTGAAGGAATCCCTGACGTCGATGGTACCCAGTGTGATGAAGGCATTGAACAAATTCGAAGAGCCTGACAAAATGACCATTGAAAATGGCGATCAGATCGTGATTATCGATGGGAGGCCTGAGAACTACTGGTGGAAGGGGCAGAATCAGAGGACTTTTCAGGTTGGACATTTCCCCAGGTGTCTCGTGGATCCCATGAGGAGAAAGCAGCCTGAAGACATCAGCAAACCTCTGGAGAATTCCTTCATTCACACTGGGCATGGGGCTCCTTTTGGGAAGAGCTGGGGCAGTCCTCAGTTCATCGACGACGTTTACCTCAGGAATCCGATGGAGCCACCCGATGTAGTGGGCGTCACTCCAGCTGACAAGAGAAAATTCCCTGGGCAAAAGTCGAAGAATCAGTTTAACTACAGGAAATTCCAGAACGACTTGAGATCTAGTCCGATTAAAACGAGCAATGTGCAGAATCACGAGGGGAGTCTGATAGATTTATCCCCCGAGGAGATGGCCAATGCTGCCAAGCCCGATGCCACCTGCAAGAGGGTCGTCAACATATTGGACGAGCCGATTGAGGCCTCTGGGGGGAGACCCGAGCAACTTTGGCCAGAGGACGAAGCCAGGACTTACGCCAATTTCCCAGGGAATCAAGCGCAGAGTGATCCTTTCGACACCTCCAGGGTCTTCCTTGGAGGTCCCGTCTCTCGATATTACTCTCACGTACCTCAGGACCACATGAATCATTATCTGAAGACTCAGCAGTCTTACATGAACGTTGAGACTAGTGAGGTCTCTGCAAACGTCCAAGGAAACTCAGATGTCAATAGTACAAATTTGGATGTTAATCAATACTCTTTCGACCTCAACAAGGATATCAGATCGGAGAATACGAATTTGAATGTCAGTGGGAGGGCAGAGGGAAATGGATACTCTGTTCAGCACTACAGTGAGGTTGATAAAGTGTCTCCAGGTGTCGCGAGTCAGATAAGTTGGCCTGAGGATTTGCCAGAGGAGCCCCAGACCTACACCAATGTCACTGCCAGACCCAATTTCCCAGTTGTTCCACCGCCACCACCGCCCATCGGTCCCAACGAGAGTCCGCCCAAACCTAAATCCAATGTGGATATTGCTCAAAGTATGGGGGAACTCACGATCGATGTGAAACCCCAGGGTTCTCCGAAGAAATTGGATCCTGCTTTCCTGGCTGAGTTGGAGAAGCACCTGGGGGCGAAAGAGGTCTGCAAAAATACGAATGAAGCCCCTGGAGGCTACTCCACAGTCAATAAAGCCCAGGAGGGGGCTTCCGGGGGGATTCCCATGCTCAGACCTCCACCCCAGAACTCCAAATCAAGATCTCCTAATGGGGAATTGAGGGGTTCAACAAGTCTGCCCTCCAAAGTTCAAAATTCGTGGCAGAGTAAAAACACGAATGTTCAGCGACCCCAGAGTCAATTAATCCAGTCGAGTTCACAGAGTCAAATGGTGGAGACCAGTACCGACATGATAATCGGGCAAATGTGGCAGCAGGCGCACTCCCCTTTGTCTCACAGCCTCCAGAGTGAGAGGAAACATCAGCCTATTTACGCTCCTTCTTCCGAAATTCAGCATGACATGAGGAATCACCAGAATCTCCCGCCACTTGCTCCTCTCACCGTACCTCAGAACGACCAGGGACATCTCCTCCTCCAAATAGCCCCAAACATGACAACCAATACTGCAAATTCAGGGAATTACAATTATTTCCCACCTCAGCAACCAAACTACAATTTTCCCCCAGCCATTCAGGCTCCAAATCCAGGTCCTGGGGTCAATCACGTGCAGAATGACCTCGTGCCGACTAGAGCCGCCCCTCCAAGGCCAAATGTTTCTGCTGCAGGGACTCTGTCTGAAAAAGTTTACGCAGAACTCCGAGAAAATGTGCCAAATCTCGATCAGTTGAGTCAGAGTGAGTTCAATACTCTCTACAACAAAACAGTTCAACAGAATATCCTCAGGAACAGTCAGGGGATGTCCAACGGCAGACAGGCCCAGACTCTCCCTCGGAATTATGCCCAGGAGCATCCCTTTGACTTTAGCCCCAGCTTGAAACAGCCCCCAGTGTACAATCCTCCACCAGCGTGGAGTCCAATGAAGAGTGGGCAGAATGGTTACTCGCAGAATCAGAATCTCCAGAGGAGCATTAGCTCACCGGGACAGAGCGGAAGTGCCAATCTGATGCATTTCACACCGACGAGACCAGCACCTGGGCCTTCCGGTGGGCACTCGGGTGGGGCTGGCAGATGTTTGCTGCCTCAGATGAATGAGACGGTTATTAATACTCAATTGGGAACGTGTGCCGCTGCTTATCCCGGGGGGATAAGTCCTCCTCTTACGGGAGCTTCACAACAGCTGGTCATGTCGTTGAATGACGAGTTCAGGGCTAGTAAAATTATGAAAGTACAAAAGGATGCGGGGGATGCCTCGCAGCAGGAAATTCTCGCTGCGCTGCAGGCCACTGGCTGGGACACTAGCCAAGCTGCTAGGCAAATTATCAAGGATAGACAGGCCAAAATTGATAGTCTCACCAGGTAAGACAATTTTTATAGATTCACATTTTTATTCTGAAAAATCATTGTGACGAAATCAAATAAATGGAGTGCAAGATGTAAAGAGAAAAATTTAATTAGTAGTTTAATTTCTCATCTCATTGTTTTTTTCCTTTTGACTCGTTGCAGATTGGGACTGGCTAATAGACACCAGTGCGAAGGAGCTCTGAAACAAACCGAGTACGACGTAGAGCTAGCTGCCTCCCTCCTCCTCGACAGGGCAAGATAAGAACAAATAACTAAATATTGACTATTATGATTCAAGAATATCATAGGCCAATTAATGATAGACTACGAATAATCAAACTGATCATGACGATTGGAAACTGTTAATTTAAATCAGATACACTGTGATATGTGCTACTAAAGGCTCTAGATTTTACGTGTCCAGGATTACTAGTTTTAGAGGATTCGGTGGAACTTCCGGTTTGCGGTCAGTCGTTCATAAGTCGTATTCTGAGAGATTAGATGATGGAAATGAAACAAAAATTATAAAAGTGATTCAAATATTTTTATAAAGAGGTGTTGCGGATTAGTTGAACAAATGCTCTTTCTGTGGATCAAAAACTCTTTTTGATTTTTTTTTTACAACAAAGCTGAGATTCTCTTGGGCAAATTAAATTGTTCCCCTCAATCGTCAGAACAACGAATTGTTAATTCGTGTTCCCTCGAGTAATACTAACTGTTCGCTTAAGCGTTATTTTTTCTCCTAGCTTAATAGCCCGTTTTATATATTTATTTTTACGTTTATTTGGCAGGCGTTAAATACAAGAGAAAAATGCACAGGTAACGTAACAAGATCTTTTTGATTTATTTTCTCATGTATTCTAAAAGTATTTTCATATTGTTTCATTTACTTTTGTGACCAAAAAATCGTGCATAATAACTCCAACACTCGTCTCCAATAATTTTTAAATTTCAATTATTGGAATTTTTACTTTATAATTTTAAGGTAACGTTAAATGACATTGTGATCTGCATGTTAATGAGTGTTGCGGCATGGAAATAGATATTACGGAAGTAAAACTGATTGGTGCTTCCAAAATACTCATTTTCTCATTTTAATTAACCCAACTCACATGTTATTATCACATTATTGCGTATCCGTAAAAATTGGATTCAGAATATTTTTCTATATTGCTCCCTTTTGATTTCTATTTTTGGAGTTTTCCAGCAGATGAGTTATCAATTGAAAAATGAATCCCACAAGACTCCACATGTAAGAACAAATTCGTTCCCTTCATTTCGCCAAAGTAACTGCAATTAAGTTTTCTTAATTATCAAAAGTGTTAGTTCAATACGTTCCCCAATCATTATAAAACATTAAAGAATTTTTCTCGACCATAAACATCCTCAATTGATAACTCAAATGTGTAGTTTGGAAAGGCAGTGGGGCGTCTCAGCTGAGAAGACTGTGTTTCCACTCACTAGTAGTGTGTGATCAGAGTGCTCGGAGGCATCGAGCTGTTCGCAGGGGAAAGGCATTCGTGCGGGCGCGTCTCTTTTTCACTCGTTCGTTTGAATTATCCAAAGTGTCAGTGAAAATGTTTGTCTTAAAAATTTTCTGAGAGTGTTGACGGCACTTCCGTCGATTCTACGAGTGAAAATACTGTCTGTACAAATATGCCAGCGGCTTCCTCGATTTATTGGGACTCGGTGGACTCTCAGAGGTCTTCGGGGAGTTCTGCAGACGCCGGAAGCAATCGGCAGTACGTGGACCCCTGGGACCTTGAGAATTACGCGTATTTGAGGAGGCACAGTGTCGCCGCACCCCCGCAGAAGCATCAGCCACCCCCGAGGACTTCTTACAGTCGAGTCTCTCATAGGAGGAGTGAAACAGAACCCGAATATTGGTAAATAATGCTGCATAAAAAGAATTATGAATTTTTTGTTTATTTTACGTCTAGGGGTGCACAGAGGAAAAATTTTTTCTCCATCTGTGGATAATCCATCATTTCTCTGAGTGAATGACTCAAAAATTCAGTTATTTTATCCTCGAAAAATAGCGGAATGCCCTAAAAAACTTACACCCATCGTTTTTTTTTGTGTGAAATCGCCGTATCATCAAGAGTTTTCCCAACAATTTTGCACCGTTACGTTCGCGTTTTACATTTTATTTAGTATTTCGCGTTGTAACATAGGTATTCTCCACGAGAGCCCATCAGAGAACCCGGATACCATGCCCCAGCATCAGTAGAGGAACTCTATTTCGGACCACCTCGGCAGACCCAGAGCTCCTACTACCAACCAATTTACGAGGATGAAATCCCTCGGTATACTGCACCAGTTTATGCACCACTCTCCGGTGAGTACTTATCCATCATCAAGCACAGCTATTCCCACGAGTATGTCGGTGGTTTACAAATCTATATAAGTCCCGTGAATCATCTCCAATCGGTGTCATCGTATTGGTAGCACAGTATGAATGAAGAAAAAGGAACAATCAATCGTGGGACGAAGACACTTTGTCCATCCCACACGCAAAAATCCCCAAGAATTTAACTTTTATCGATTTCTTTTCGGTTTACGACCTCACATGATTCGTCACATGATTTGGGGGGTCTTTTACTGAGTGCCCATCTCCCGAGAAATATTTTATAATCTTCATCTGATGAATTTCGAAAATAATTCGTGCAAACTTTCGTGTAATAATGCAAATGAAGAGAAGAATGGATGATTATTAATCGTAGGCAAGCGACACCTTGACCGTCCGTCCCACGGTTTTCGGTCTTTCGACATGTCACGAGAGTGTGTGGCTAATGTTATCGCAATAAACCGTCGGAAATCCCGTCGTTAGAAAACGAACAAGTGATCCTGCCTCGAATCAGGTGAATTCCGCTTGAACTAGTCCACGGCATGTCGATGATGAAAGCCATGTACACGTGGATACATTGTGACTGACATATCAAGTAATTTCATGGGAAATGGCGTTTTTTTTTCTTCGTGTGTCGCACGGAATTGCTGATTTATCCCCAGCAAATGCCTCGGTTTTTCTCATGGCGAATAATTTGCAGAAAATCATTGCAACGGGTAATTAAATTACGAGACGGGATTTTTATTCTAAAAAGAAACACTAAGAGGAAATGAAACGAAGGCAATGCAAAATATGAAGATCGAACCACAATCGTCCTAATTAAATTATAAGACGGGACTGATCTCGCGATGAACTTCAAAATACACTAATTGACGTACGAAAAATAGCGGAAGTGTCGGGACAATAGAGCAAGTAACTCGTCGATAGTGATCGCACATCATGGGAATATGATTTTAAATTGCTATGAATTTTTCATCATTCTTACTCGCTAACGAACGTGTCACGAACTCTGATTGTATTTAAACTCCCGTTTCAATCTGAATTAGATCGAGGGGGTGTGAAGTTCCTCGAGCTGTTGCCTGAGAAATGTTACATCACGAATTACCTCCACTCGATACGCGGAAGTTTCGGCAGACGCAAACCTGAATTTTCGCCTCGCCTTTATCGCCGAATTATTTCAGTTTTATGTGCCTCCTCACAACCTGGCATAATCTCACATTTATCTGTATATTTAAGAAGGCCACTGGCCGGTGCTAAGTGCCAATAAACTTTTCATTCGGGACGATTTCCAGTAGAAAGTTTTTAACGTCCACCTGTTGCGCGATCACGTGTGCATCGCGGATTATCATCGTTTTGAGGCGGGGGCTCTGTATTATTAATATTGTATCGAGCCTAGGTAGTTCTTCGAAGCGTAACCAATAGAAAGATACACTGCGAGGCATTGTACAAGCTTTCACGTCATTTTTATGACGTTCTCTTTCACTTTGAGGATAGCCAAGTGTTTTGGCTATTTTTTTTTCGCTGCAATTGATTGATCCTAGTTCATCGAATATTTTGCGATTGCAATTTTGCATTTTTGTCAAGACGTATTTTGGGGCAAAAGTCATTTTAATAACACCCACCATTTATAAATTTGTTGGAAATTTTCTCACGCGATTAAGTACAAATTAATTATGTTAAACCTCATTGTACCCCAAACATTTCAGATGTTTATCAGTTTTTATGTGTTTCCCACAAAAACCACGTCCTTTCTTACAAACGACCTTCCTAATGAGTTTGAAATTTTGACTGATTTTTTCCGGCGCGCAATTCAAGAAATTCATTAAACCCATTCCCCCAACGAATTCATAATGAACCAGTGAATCACGATTTTGATAACTCATTTAAATTAATAACGAGCGTTTCCACACTTTCCCTCGTCAAATATTTGTTTTGCTTTGGCCTTTCTCAACATACGATCGACCTTCTCGCTACACTCCTCGATTCCTAAAGGTCCTTAAAGGTCTCTCCAATTCACATTGCTCACTGCGATCGCCACCTGAAATCTCGAGTGCCCGACCTTGCCCGCAAATCCATTGTTGTGAGAACAATTTAAAGAATTGATGGGAAAGATTTTTTTCCGTTGCCCCCGCAAGGCCTGAAAAGAAACTGAGATTGCCATTGAAAAAAAAAACGGATTAAGCCGGAAGCTACTTCCTTTTGCGTATCGAGCGCTCATTCATGCTGATCCTCACTGCTTCATCTTCTCTCATGTCCTTGGGGGCGAGGATGAAGTCGCCGGTGAACTTTCACCTCGCCCCGGGCTCCTTAAGGGTCAATAGATGCCGAACATCTTCTTTTTGCAAGCGAACGTGACTCGAAAAATATGTTTCTACGTACTACGAACGCCACGCGATTCTCAAGTGCCCGATGACTTGCCACTGGATTATTTTAAGGTGAGGAGCACACACTGAGCCGTGGGAAGGATTTAATCATTATGAGAAACTTTATTGTCAGTAAAAAACTATTAAATAAAGTGGTAATTGTTTAATAGACTGAAGCCTCGTCCAATCGTGCGGATTTTAATTGCACGAATTTATGACGAAGCTGAATTTAAGATTGTTAACCGGCCGTTCGGACTCTTATATGCTAATTTCTCACGAAAAATTTCATGGTCAGTTCGCATAATAACGAGACAAAAAACATTATTCAGAGGTAAATTTCTCTTGCGCACGTACACCTATGATTTATGGATTTTCCTGCGTCTAAACGAACATTAGAAAGGATGCTAAAAGTAAAGATACGTTGACCCTCTCTGTTCAATAGCAGAGGGAAGAAACTCGGTAATTTCAAGTTCACAGCCTTGACCAGTGGAAAAAAGAAATGAACAAATTTTCTCTATTTTTTACTCGCCCATTTTTTAATTAATGTGTGATAATTCGTACGTACAACGTAACTAGAGCGGGTGAAAGGTGCACTTGGAATCGTGCAATACAATCCAAAAATGGACGGGAAATCAACCCATATTTTATCATTTGGAAAAGTTGAAGAAAAACTTGTGCCGTGAAAATTATTCTTTTTATCTTTCGATGGTGGTTATCCGTTCAGATCATGGGATTGAGTGAAAATATACCGAATCAGGAATAATTAAACAACTTTCGATTGTGAAATGCTCACTGCAAGGCCGTTCTCTTCATCTTTTCGATTCCAATATGATGAATGAAAAATATAAGAAAGTGTATTAAATTATATTTACACTCACTCGCCCCCGGATTTTGCCCGGGAATCAACATCGTAAATTCGATATGTCTGGGAATGTTAGTGAAAACGCTCGGATGAGATTGAAAGTGTAGTAATCTGCATAAATCACGTATTAAATTAATATACTACTTTGCTATTTGCCTCCGGGGGGAATGAGGAAATTGCTGGAGCCATCGAGTTCCCGGTGACTCTGTCAAGTCTCTCGGAAGTCGACCGAACCACCAGAAACTTCCTGCTGTTGCCATCTGGAGCGACAATGTTTTTTCTTATTCTCATGCGCGAATGAAAAACGAATGCCAATGATATAACGAAATAGAGTCGACGCAGTCTTCCAGCATCGAAGAATTGTTAGGAAGAGTATTGAAGTCTGGAGGCAAAAATGACGTCAAGAATTATAGGCCGATCTCGTTGCTCAGTAATTTCTCAAAGTTTTTTCGGAAGTGTTTGTACACCAATATAAATAACCAATTTAAATGTGAGCTTTCTCCTCATCAGCATGGATAAACAACAGCGAGGTCCACCGTGACTAACTTGGCCGGTGTAACGCAATTTTAAAACGATCCTGTTGCGGGGGGAGACCAGGTAGACGTAACTTACGCGCAATCCTCGAAGGCCTCTGATCGTCTCAATTTAAATTAAAGCTCTAGGACAGAATTATCAGATTATTTTGTCATCTCGTGTACTATTCTGCCGCCTTGCGATGGGACAATGTACAATGTACCCTACACGCAATAAAAATATAATAATTTTAAAAAAATTAATTAAAGCACTTGTAGTTTTAAATTTAATGCATTTATCTTAGAACCTATTATTGGCTCAGGCTGTTGGTTCTTTATCCACTATTAAAATAAATAAATCACTTGTGGATTGATCGAAAAATCGTGGGGAATTGCGACGGTTAATTACTCTCTCCTTTGCGGTGCACATGAGGGCCCGACCGTTCACTTTCACGGAGAATCGAATTAACGATATTTCTGCTCCCGGCGAAATTCGTCTCGAGGTTTAATTCAATCTGCCGTAAAGAGACGACTGTAAATAGCCGTTTGATTGAATCATTTGGTCGTTATTTCGTTCGGGAGTTATTGATTCGATTCGCAGAAGCGAGAATGGCACTTTCAATTTCACTTTTTATGGTTTTCATGAATTATGCTAAGGGAGGCTGAATTTTGTCGACTGATTTGTGTATTCAAATCACGATTTCGAATAGATTTGAATTCTACGAGGTCGTTCCACCCTCGTAACTGTACACAAACATTACCATTTTCGTCTGACATAACACTTCGTCCGGAAGTCCATCAATGAAGATACAAATGCATTGAGAACGTGCTTGTAATAATATTTTCGCAATATATTCTGCACCGTGGAGACTGGAACATGTATTTCATAAATTATTTACTGCTCGAGACATTTTGGGTCAACGCAATTTTCCAGGAGTTGGATAAACCCGCAGGCGATACTCCCGCAATTGCCGAGAGAATTTTTTCATCGTTCAAAATGATTTTTCAATAAGGGCGAGTCTCGTTAACTGGTTACTTGTTACTTTTTTTCGAGTGTTTATGACCCATTGAATTGTTAATGAACTGGAATAATTTTCGCTTCAATGGAAAATACTGTTCGTCCCCTTCATGATGGGTCTAGACTGCGCTTGATTGCTCAATTTATTCCGCAGTTCTGGATATCCTATCGTAAAAAGGAGAAAAGAAATCGATCTCGAAATATCTCGAAAATCGCGCGGCCGATCTTGTGTGGAAAAAGGGAAAACTGATATAGTACATTACATGCCCGAGCCTTAGAAAACAGATCACCGTCCCCCACGTGCAAGATTGCCTTCCGAGCCGAAGACAACGATGGCCAAAGTGTCAGATCTTGGATTTTTTCAAGGGGAAAGTCGGTCAAAGGGTCACGAGGGTCAAAGTGTCAGATGTTGGATTTTTCGCCAAAATCGAATTTTTTAGCCGGGTGAACGTTGATTCCAACTATTTAAGCGACGGGCTATTCAGAACTCTCAAAAGTATGTGGAAAAAGTGAAAACTGAAAAAGTTTTTTTTTTCAGATTTTCAAAGGGTCAGATTTTCCGTTTTTCCAGGGGGAAAGTCGACTTTCGCCAAAATCGAATTTTTTAGCCGGGTGAACGTTGATTCCAACTATTTAAGCGACGGGCTATTCAGAACTCTCAAAAGTATGTTGAAACAGTGAAAGCTGAAAAAGTTTTTTTTTTCAGATTTTCAAAGGGTCAGATTTTCCGTTTTCCAATATTTTCGAATGAATCGAAAAATGGGGCTTATTTTCTCTTCTTCGCCTTAATCACCTCTCAATTGTATTGCACCTCGTCTAATCGGACGGGAATTAGACGATAGGATCAGAGACCTTGTGGTGTTAGCGCACCCATCCTGTCACTCTGTGCTAAAGTAACGCGTTTAAGCTCGGGTAGTTCGGTTAACGAGCCTAACGTCGCCTCCACCCACATACCTACTTCTTTAATGTAAATTCTTTCCCCACAAAAAAATAAAAATAAAAATGCTATTTTCTTTTATTCTGAAAATGAAATCCCCCTGAAAAACGAAATTGTAAATACGATATTACTCATTGAAACGGTGAAAGTATCGGCTATCTGGGATGCAGGATAGTTGCGTGCGTGCTATCATAAAGAGTAAAGCCCATAAATTCCACACATGGTAATGTCGCTGGAGCAAACACCATATGAAGAACCCGGCTCTTTAGAATCAAAGAAGACCGGCCTTTCTAGAGCACTACGCACTTATTTTCACTGCCTTTAACTTTCCACTGGGGCCTGCTAATATTTTCTCGCTCATCGCGCAGTGCGTGGCCTTGTGTCACTTGACTTTCTACACGTGCATGCAGATTCACTGATATTTCGGTCGATAGTAATTTGTAATCTAATGGACAGACAGCCTTGAACTCGTTCCATCAAATTTTACTGTTGGAATATTGATGATGAGGTCTTTCCATTTTCATTTCTCCATTTCATTCAATCTTTGACTTCACACAGACTCAACAGCATAAGACCAACTGCAGGATTAAATTCCATCTACATCTAATTCAACAGTTGAATCACAAAACGTCACAAAGAATGCATTCATCATATTCACTAATTTCTTATATGTTAGTAGGCTACTTTTTATTTACTGTTTTGTTGCAGACCTCGATTATGGGAAACACTACGAGGATAGCCGGACGAAGGAGGTGCTCCGCAGGAGGAAGCTCTCGCGTGTAAGAACGCCTGCAAGGTGATTGTTTGATATTTACGTTTGATGTAATTACTGTAGTTGTTTGTTTACGTAAAAATGCGTTGATTAATGCACAGGTTTATTAATCATTTCTATGAATAGCCTTGGGAAAAAATTTCAAACTGAAACAACAGGAATTGTTTTGTAGGGGAGGGTGGGGCAAAGTGGGCACTTTTTTTTGTTTCTTTCGGTGTTCATTATTGTTCATTAACGAAATCATGTTGTCATTTTGCCCGATTCGCCTCTACTTTTGGATTGCTCGTATTGCAGAGGGGATTGCATCCATCACAGCACGTCGAGTGAACTGCGACGAGAGCCTGTCGAGGAAGCGCCCCGCAAGATGACCTCAAGCGAAGAGGAGTGTTACGTAGAAGTAATACCTCCTTCGAAGTTGGGATTAAACACCTATGGCCATCTCAAAATTGACTACAGCAACAGCTGGAATTCCCTGCATCGAAAAATTTCTAAATGACGCGTCTTTTAATTTTGATGATCGAAAGCTTTATTACTTTATAAATTACGTTTTACATAACCGTGGAGATTTTTTTACTCATGTCTAATGAATTAATTTCGGAATTAATGTATTGTACATAGAGAAATACACTTAGTACCTTTTTAGAATTAAATTTCTAATTTGCTAGATCGTGAGATAGTTATCATGTGTTACTTGTAATGATGTCTAATTGTTCAGGGAATGGAATAAATATTCTTTCTGTTAACGATTGAATAAAATGTCGCTGATTATTCCCCGACTGATTTTATTCGATGAGATCAACAACTTCGTTTTCATCAGCGTGAAAGAGTTTCTTCCTCCTCCTCTTGGGTGGGGGCGTTGGATCAGGTGTTTTTTGGACCTTTTCGACTTCCAGGCTGGGCCATCTGAAGTTTCACAAGGGAAAAGACACTGAGTATTGAAGAAATATCGAAGAGTGAGAGTCATTGTGCTTTGAGATGTGCTCTTACTTGAATATCGTGTTGGGCGGCTTCTTCTTAACAGCAGAACGATTCTTGACTTTGGCAGCTTCTTCGTAGAGAGCAGGGTGGACGAATGGCTTCTGGGCAACTGCGTGCTGCGTCAATGTCCCAATCTATCACCAAAGGAACAAAAATAAACGATTTTTTTTATTTCACTCTCCATTCAGACGTACGTGTATGAAAAGTTGATAAGCATTACCTTCTTATTCAATTCCTCGATAACTCTGGACCTGTCAGATATTTGTCGTTCATACTCTGCCTTCAGCTTTTCTATTTCTTCCCGGTGGGCCTGCTGTTCGGCTGCTATACGAGACTCCAATATCTGAACTTCGTCCTCCAGCCTCTCAACTGAACCAATTCGTCATCAGTTTCCATTGAGCAAAAAATAAATAAAACATGAGCTAATGTAATGAAAAGAAAGAAGAAAAAATGGAAACATACGTCGTTCATCTCTGAAACCATTGCCCTCCACAACTAAATCCTGATTAGTCTGCTGTAAAATTTTGCACGTGCTCTCCAATTCCTCAATCCTCTTCGTCAATTGATAATTTTCCCCCTGGTATTTGAGCAAACTCTCTTGATATTTCTTCTTATACTCGTCAAAAAATTTGGCTATCATCTCCACACGTTTGTACGAAGCCTCCATGTTTGTCTTCTGAAGCTCGATTATCTCGTCTCTGGCTCTCAGATTGATTTTGGCTTTGCAATAATCCTGATCGATACAATTAAATTAATTCACAGGGCTAATTGTTGGGAGATGGATTGAATTATTGATTACTTCAGGTGCATTAACTCACCGATTTGATGTTGTGAAACTGTTTTAACACACGTTGGAGGTCTGGTCGCAGCTGACCTTGCTCCATTATCCTTTGAGACGATCGTTTACGCAATTTAATCACCTCTTTGTCCCTGCAGAAATGCATTCATTAGGAAGAAATAATTTCAAATAGCTTCTCAATTCGTCGCAGCTGGCGCTAGTGTCGCTCTCACACTGTTTTTTGTCTAGTACTCCCCACGTTGTTGCTGAATTCGGTTGCAAATGTAGATAAATAAACAGACATCAATTTATAAACTGAATAATTAAAATATAAATGCCCATCATAAGCTTAAACAATAGATAATTAATTGTGATTCCGTTGTCATTAAGAGGTCACGATGTTCTTTGAGTGAAAGCATCTTAACCTCTCCAACAATCACCGGAAAAATCTCCGAATTATCCCAAGAATTACTTGATAACATGTACAGTAGGATTTTTAGAAGGTTTTTAGTGTTGAGTAGACAGTTGCCATGTAAATACGATGCTGGGGTTAAATCACAAGTGGGGGTGTCTTCATTGTTGCTCCAAAATGCTGCTAAAGACCGCAGGAGGAGTGTTTTTGCTGGTGTGAGACATTGTAATACCGATGTGGAACATTGTAATACCGATGTGGGTCTCAAGAAAGATGATGCGGCGCAGAAGAAGCTCGATAAGTGGCTCGAAAATCCTGATAATGAAAAGTTTTGGAGGGTTCTGCAGTTGGAGGTGGATGTTTACAGGCAGAATGGATTTCCTGTGCCTGAGGAGATTAAACCGAGACATTGGTACGAGTTAACTCTATTGGAGAGTCGAAATAAGAGGAGGTACAGTAGGTTTATTATTTCATTCATTAGTGGATGAAGAGAGAATCCTTTCAATTTTTTTAAATATGTAAATAACTCAGTGGAAGCATTTTGATTGATTAATTCGTCAATTTTATCCTTTCCCCACAATTTTACAAATCTGAAGAGCAATAAACTAATATCTTTTAGAAAATATCTGGACTTTTTATTTGGACTCGAGAAGAAAAAAGCGCACAGAGAAGAGAAGAAGCAATTGCAAAGAGAAAGTCGTGAACAATTTCGCGCTACAGAGAAAATGAGAGACACTACAGAGAGTCCAACCTGGTTGGACTATCGTCTGGGAAGAAATTCCCCATTTCTCAGGTTTTACGAGTCAACGATGAATCAACTGGGCAATTGGCGATTACTGAGAGCCATGATCTGGGGACAGAAACTGGTCATGGATTGTGGGTACGAGCAGCAGATGACGAGGTATGAGCGGAGGGTCTGTGCGAGGCAGATGATGCTGGCTTGGGCCGCTAATCGGGACCATCAGGATCCCTTTGACCTCCATTTCTGCAACTTCAATGCTGAAGGGGACGTGCATGCGGATTTTCAGGCATTCATTCCTACCATGTATGACGATGATTTTCCTATGAATATCACTTCGAAACCGTACTTGGATATTTTTGATAAGGATCAGTTGGTTTATTTAACGCCTGACTGTCCTACTGAACTCAAGGAAATTGATCCTGATGCTATTTATATCATTGGAGCAATTGTTGATAAGGCAAATATTTCATTATTATTTTATTTTGCAATGCCAATTTATATCGCATTCTTTTCCACTATTTACATTCATTTCTTCATTTCCAGGTCAGTGGACGACCTCTGTCAATGGCAAAAGCCAAACGAGAATCCTTGAAAATGGCAAAGCTCCCCATCGATCGCTATCTGCACTTTGGTGGAGGTGGACACAAAGCTTTGACATTGAATCAAATGATTTCAATATTACTAGACGTCAACTTCACTAATGACTGGGAGTATGCTTTCAGGCATGTGCCTCAGAGGAAACTATTCCACAATAGGCAGAAAAATATGGAAAGACGAGTGAACAAATTTATGAAAGAGAACGAAGAGCAAGCAGTTCTGTATTCCTCCTCAGAACCTCAGGACTTCTCAATAAAATCCCGGAAAAAGTTTAAAGGAAATTAAATTGAGATGCCTATTACTACGACTTTGTGAATTAATAAAAGATGAAAATGTTTTTTCTGTCTTTTCTGTCTTCTGATTACATATTATCAGTCGATGATTCCAGTTTATTGAACCATTCAATTAATAAATAAACATTATTCACACTGATGTCGACGATACAGCAAGGTATGTACCTAAATATATAAATTATCGACAGGAAAATTCGGTAAAAATCCTAAGCACGAGTATAAAACACAGCATATCAAAGTCCATTTTGTTTCTCCCCAAATTGTGAGGTATTTTTCAGGCGTAGGGACGATCCCTCATGAAGTGGGAACTGCCACCCTGGAAACTTCTTTTGATTGATACATGCGGGTACAGCTGCCTCCACTCTTGAACCTTAGTATCACTAATGGCATCACAGAAGCTCAAATCCATCATCTTCAGTTCCGGACAGCAGAGGAGAAATCTGAGGCAAATGTCCGGTGTGAGTGATCGAGTCCCAAGTAGATCCAATTGTCGTAGTTGACGACAGAGCAGAAGGGGTTCTATGTCTCTGTCTGTGAGACCTCGCAGTGCTGCTAGAAATACTTTCTCAAGTGAAGTACAATATGTTAAGAAGGTTCTGAGGGAATCTCCAGGTGCTCCCATGCCACCACTGTGAATAGACAAAGAAATAACGTTCATTTAAATTCAATTAAATTTGAGTTAACTTTTAACATTTGAAGTAATAACAAATGTTATTACTTCAAATGAAAAAAAATCTTTCTGATGATTTTTCTTCTAAACTTATAATGGTACTTACCACCATCCAAAGTCCACTTCTCTGAGCCTCGTACACCTCGTGAGAGCCCTCACCCCAGTTGGTGTCAGCGTCTGAGACTTCCAGAAGTCAATACTCTCCAAGAAGGGACACGAATTGGCTAGTTCAACAGCAACCTCATCCATGTTCATTCTTTCGTGCATCCCAGCTAGATTCAGGTGCCTCATTCCTCGATTCCTCTTGAGGACCGAACATAGAGCCGATGTTTCAATGGCAGTCCTGTACAGCTCCAGTCGCTCAAGAGCCTGGAGTTTCTCCAGGTGAACGAAACCCTCGGGCGTCACTTGTATGCAATTCCGCAGGCACAACTCCTTCAGGTTTCTGCAGGTCCCGGAGATTTCTGCGATTACTTGATCGATGACGAATCTGCAGCAATTCAAACGCAGGTGAGTCAAGAGCCCTCCAGCTGAGGCCATGAATTCGATGAAATTCTGGGGGGTAATGGTGTTGTAGTTCCCACACCAGGAGAAATCAACTTTCTGGAGGTACTGGCATCTTGGGGCGAGGACATTCAGTGCCCCTGAATCGAGACTGTTCCAGTAGGGTTTTAAGTTGAGACTTGTGTAGAGCAGGGCGTCTCGAGCCACGTTGTTGAAGTGTTTATTCACTCTGCAGCAGCGGCAGAGAGATTTCAAGTCTAAATTCTTCAGAATCTTCAACACCGTTTCATCCTGGAAAATGAAGACAACTCCGTTGATAAATGTTTTTTTTTAATTCACATTTTTTAAACAGAAATTTTGTTTTTAATTTTTATGAATAAATAATGCTTACTGGAAGAACAGAAAAACTGCCACAGGTATTATCAACCCCCTCTTTCGAGCTAGAGACATCGGCATATTGGACGGACACTGTCGTTGAAGACGACAAATTAATCTCCTTAATCAACTTTGGAAAATCTTCCTGCAGAAACTGCTGGAGACTGTTGAAGGCCTCCTCAATCGGTGGTATCAGGTGGCAATGTAATCCTAGTTTCGTCAGTAGTTTCCCCTTGGGAAGTTTGTCTGTCGATTTACTTTCATACAGAACACAGTGTTTATGTAAAGTACTCTTGAGCTTCTGCAGATCACAGTTCGCTTTGGAGTGCTCTGGTGTCAGATTATGCTCGTCGTCGGTATTACAACCACTACCTCCTAGCAGCTGTAATAAGGCACTTATACTCCTATTTTGAAAGCCAAAGTGAGGTAAGATAAGTTCAGTTGTGCCAATGAGTAAGATAGCATCGAGCTCGGTGTAGTAGTCTAAGAGGCTGTGATTGAATTCTATCCTGAGCATTTTAGTTTTGAAGTTGCAAAGGGTGAGGGGAGGTGAGAATATTCGGGGTTTGTGGGGTACTTTCTGGGGGGGACCACTCCACAGCTGGAGCCAATGACCTGAGTTATCCCTGGCCCATATTCGAACGACACTGCCTGGGTTGTAGATCTCGTAAATTGAGACTCTTATTGGATAAACTTCTTCGTGATATTTAACGTCTATATAGTCCTGACTAACAATTGGCTCATTGTTCTGGGGCATAAAGTCGCTCAGCCGAGATGGTGCCTCATTCCACCATGGCCCGTATGTTCTCTGAAGTTGATAAGATAAATGCAAGTTTATTGATTGCAATACAAAGGGGTAAGGGGTTAAAAGACTGGGAGAAGGCTGGGAACAAAACAAAAGCTGCAAGCGATAGTTACCATCACGAAGGCATGAGGAAAATCACCGTAGTCTGGAAATTTACTGGGATTACCAGCAATGTTGTACGCCGTGTAGGAGATGCTGATATTACTCCCATACTGAGAACTAAAATCACCAACTTCCTTGACGTACTGCTCCACAAATGTCACAGACTGATCTTTGAGACCATTCTTGTCTTTTATTATCGGTACAAGCTCGATCCCTTTGTCATTGCACGAAACCATGTCATGTGTCAGTGTTTTCCTGAAACTCTCACAATTATCAGCACGTTATCTTGACACTTGCTTGGGGTGCTTTATGTCCACCAATAACCTCATTACTCGGTCAAAATAATCCGGAAAAACTTGCCGAGTGCTGGCGAAATTACCTCGATTCAATTTTTCGTCTGTCGTTCAGCAATAATGGCCCTGGAGATGGGCTTCATTGATGTCGCTGATTAAAACAAACGACAAGAGACCATTTCAGTGCACTTTGTTACTCAAGATTCTTTTGTTGTTGATACGACAAATGTCACCGAACCCACCGAGTCTCGAGTGAACTTTTGTTAGCTGCCATATTGGTTTTAACAGCTGTGGTGGCTGTTGCAGGCTGTTGGGTGGCCAACATAAGAATTAAACTTTATTTTCCCAGTTTATCATCAGGCGATAAATCAATAGAAGGAATCCTCTTACAACATAAGCTCGAACCCACCCCAAACATTGAAAAATCAGGCGATCAAACAGGTCAATTTCCCGAGTCATTTTGTGTTTTGTGTGCATTCAATCGCAATTATGGCCCTCGCTGAAGTTTGTGGGCTCAACAACTTCGTTAATTTCAATTCATTCAACGAGAATAATCAACTGCAGAATGAAATCGAGAGTTATAGCCGGAATTTTGGTAATAACTTGTCTCTAGCCGTTCCTCCGTACGCAAATGTAAGTGAGGTTATGTGTCCAAGGATTTGGAAGAATTTTTGCAGCATCATTCATGCTGGATCTATGATTTTATGGTATATTTACCGGTGTTAAATGTTCTGCAGCCAGCTGAGGGACTCGCACAACTGGCCAGCACCCCCGATGACAATGGGAAACACTTGAAAATTAAGTTTGATCATGGAACTACTACTCTTGGATTCCGGTATCAGGGGGGTGTCATTCTGGCTGTCGATTCGAGGGCCACTGGGGGCCAGTTCATCGGTAAAAATCACTTTATTCGTCCTCTCGGTATTGAAATGAAACAATTATTCATGAATTATCTTCAGGCTCCCAGAGTATGAAGAAAATTGTTGAAATCAATGACTACTTACTCGGCACCCTGGCTGGTGGGGCTGCTGACTGTGTCTACTGGGATCGAGTTCTTGCCAAACAGTGTCGCATGTATGAATTGAGGAACAGAGAACGCATATCAGTCGCTGCTGCCAGCAAACTCATGTCTAATATGGTTTACAATTACAAGGGGATGGGATTGTCGATGGGTAAGTGGTTTCAGGCATTAATCAAATGGGGATAGAAATCATTCACTTGCACGTCTTGACGTCTCATGATGATTTCTCGTGGATTTTTCTAGGCATGATGATTGCTGGATGGGACAAACGTGGCCCTGGCCTCTACTACGTCGACTCCGAAGGCACCAGGACTCCTGGCAAAGTCTTCAGCGTCGGTTCAGGATCAGTATTTGCATTTGGAGTGTTGGATTCTGGGTATGACTGGAATCTCACTGATGAGGCTGCTTATGATCTGGGGAGAAGAGCTATCTACCATGCTACACACAGAGATGCTTATTCTGGTGGCATTATCAGAGGTAAAAATTAAGTTTAATATCATTTCGTGAATCTTCGCCCTGAGACAATTTAATCAACGTCGTAATTATTTTTTCAATATCCTCTGACCTTTCTCGAATTAATTAATATAATAAAGATGAGAACAAGCATTTGAAATATTTTTTTTGCAGTTTACCACATGAAAGAGACTGGCTGGGTCCACATTTCCGACGAGGACTGCAAGGACCTCCACTACATGTACCAGGAGGAAAAGCAGAAAGCTGCCCAATAATTAATTACAATTGAATCATTCTCTTTAAAAAATATTTTTATTTCCCATTTATTATGTACTTCAACGAATAAAATACTGTGAAAACACTCGATCAATCATTTTTTTCTTCATTACGAGGCTTGAGGGCGTTCAAGAGCTTCATCGTGACGAACATGTTCTTCTTGATATTCTTCATGTTGTCGTTGATGTCAGTGGCCATTTTATGGATCTCTTGAAGGTTCTGAAAATGAAAAACTCATGTCAGTGAATGTCGGAGACTATCATTCAGAAATTAACGCAATGCAATCGTTAAAAAAAAGCAGTTGAATAAAAAAAACGTACCATCTTCACATGTTGGTAAAGCATGTGAGTATTTTCCTCTGAATATTTCATCGAGGGCTCGAAAAACGAGGCTGAAGAGGCTATGGATTCATTCGCCATCTCGTTGTACTCATTAACTGCTGAAAATTGTGATTTTTTAGGCAATTTTCTACTAGAATTGTCGAAAACAATCGTTTTTTACTGGATAAACGTCTTCATTCTGCTGCTGTCATTTGTTTTCTGCCGATCATTTTAAGTTCCACCCGTCACCACCAGCTGCGTATGGCGCCACTCACTTGTCCAGGCTCGTTGTGTCGTAGAGGAGAATCGAGTTTTTCGGAATAGTTGTACACCATCTGTGAACACAAATAGTGGTTTTCTTATTTCACGACTCGTGTTGCTCGCTAGTTCTGAGAACGACTCTGGAAAATTCTAGAATCCCTCGAGTATCGCTACAATCGATAGATTCATTCAGTTATTGCGACACCTTGATACACTCGACAGAGAATTTCCACAGTTTGTCCCTTCGACATCCGAAAAATGTCTCTCTTCGGAGGTATGCTGGGAGATCTCGAGGATGACCCTATTTTTGGGTGAGTAACGTCATATACGTTCAATATATGCAGCTGATAGCTCACTCTTTCTGATTAACATCAGGCATGACTCGTATATTCAATCTTTCATTCGAGATGTAATGCAATTACTGCGATTACAAAAGCCTTTGGTTATATCACGATCTTGGCTCAATTATAAAGCAGATTGATCATAATGTCATTTTATTTTTATTTTGCGGGGGCATCGGTGGAGGAGTTGGCCCTTCACACTTGAATGTCAGTTGTCAGTTGCCACTTTTCATCTATTTATTGATTTCCGTTTCTAAGGGCAATACATAATTCCATAAGTTCAGGATTTTCCATCATGGAGTCTGACATCTTTGATCGAGCCGTTTGATTTTTATTATTTTTATTATTTTCTAAAACCTAAAAATTTTTACGGATACGTAAATTACAAGTGATTTAGTTGGCAACTTTCATTGCATTGAAGGTTTATTTGAATTTAATGTTATCACATTTTAATTTTATTTTAATTTTTTTCCACGTTTATGTTGTTTTTCCCTGTGACTTTAGTTTTTTCATCATCAATAAATCATTATCAGGTCTCACATGCAATCCATGCAACACATGAATAGCATGATGAACTCACTGTTCAGCAACCCATTTGGAATGATGGGGCCAGCTCTGATGGGGCCTGAGCCTCGTGGACGTCATCGCCACAACCAGATGATGCCCTTTGGATTCGGAATGCCAGCATTCAATATGAACGACATGTTCTCTCAATTCGTGAGTAAAAAAAGTTGTGCATAAAATTGAAAACTATTGTAGCTAGTAATTCGAAACAAATTTGAACAGCAGGATAATATGGGTCAGGATCCAAATACTCACGGAATGTCCTCCACTTCAATTATGACTTACACCAGTGGCCCAGATGGGCGTCCTCAGGTGTATCAGGCCTCCAGGTCCACTCGGGCTGTTCCGGGAGGAATAAAAGAGACTCAAGAGACTGTTTATGACTCTCGTTCTGGCACCAAGAAAATGGCTATTGGACATCATATTGGGGAGAGGGCTCACGTCATTGAGAAACAGAAGAATCTGAATAATGGAGATGAAGAGGAACATCATGAGTTCGTTAATCTTGATGAGGGTTTGTATTTTCATGCATTACATTAAATGTCATACGACAACTCTACAAAAAATATTAGACATGTCTTTTTTTATTTTGAAAAATCGTCAAATTACATTCAAAAAATGTGTTGAATATTTTCTACTCAATTTGTATATGCAGAAAAAAAATGGAAACAAAACCCCAATTCTCCATTATTTCATCAAATGTTGTCTTTGTTACGAATGCGCAGAAGAGGCAGACAAATTCAACCGGGAATGGGAACAGCGTGCCCGAGGTTCACGTGGACATCGTAGTGATCGTGCACTTGAGCATGGCTCACATCACAGAAAACGCTCTGAGCCAAGGCGTCTGGCCCTCACTGACGGTACTTCAAGGTTCGTTAAAAAAATGAAAAATAACTTCAATCGAATCTTTCACTCGAAGTAGAATACACCGACTCATTTCACTGCACCCTATGATTTTTCAAGTACTCGGAAAATGACAAAATTCTCTTTAATCTAAAATCAGTAGCGTCTAGTGTTCTTTTAACTGTCTGCACGAATGTCTAGATATTTCAAACATTAATTAATTGGCTCGATTCATTGGTATATGTGTACAGACGTAGGACGAACAGGTCAAGCAATCATTACTAAAGAATTGAAGAACAGGGGATGCAGAAAGGAAGGAAGCTTTCAAGAAGTGAATGCGATATCTGCTTTGTTTCTGCAGTTGTTCCCTTTATTTCATCATTAATTTCTACAATAAAAGTAGCATGACACTGAAAAATCTGTAATTTTATTAACGGATACATAATTATAATTTTTTCGTCACTGGTTCATGAGGATGTTTCGTACTTATTCATGATTTTTGGTTGGTTAATTGGGAAATGCTTTTAGTAGTCATCAAAGTAGTCGTTCAAGGTGGGCACCATCTGCGAGAAGAAGCATAAGACCTAGTTTCAATATTGGTAGCACCTCCAGGTGAGTTGTATTTGTGGCTTTTAATAAATCCAACAGAATCACCATCATCATCATATTTGGAGATGTCCAGCTGTCGTTCTCTCAATAATGTTTCCACGTTGATGTATCTGCTTGAATCAGTGAAATTTTCGCATGCAATGTTGTACATTCGTGTAGTTATGCATGAGTATTTTCTTCAATTGATGATGCAAAAAAAAACAACATGAACAATTTTCAAGGAGAAGTTTTACTCCAAGTTATTTCACTTAAAATATTATTGCAAAGTACATAAAAATATTGGTATGGAATATTGTGGTTTTATTCGTTGCAGGTACTCCCCAAAGTATTAATTAGAAAAAATGAATTTTATGAAGAAAGTGGTGACGTTTGTGAGCAACGTAAGTACGTTGTGAGATTTTTTGTTTATTTATTTTAAAAAAATACGAGAATAATTTTCGCGGTGATTTTTAATAACTGCTGGAGAAATTCCGAGAGAGGGGGAACGGCATGTGTTTTTCTCATCAGACTCATCAGATTTGTTATTTATTTTCCTCATTCATGAGTTCTTTCATCGTTCCTTTATTTACCGAATCATTAACAGTGCTCCATCATTAAGCATTTCGTTATGCCAATGTTTTATGTACTTTTGAGCTAGCCATTACCATTTAGTATAATGCGATTGAACCCAATTACCATGTTTGGGAGAATTGAACAACTTGAATTGCCTATTTTCACTGGACTCATCTTTTTTAGTACTGCAGATGGAGAGACAAGACCAAAAACGCCAGAGGCATCAAGCAGTCGTAAACGCGAACACGATGTTGAGACTGAGACAACTCATAAGCGCCACATGTCTAATAGTCATGATTAGTAACATCAGTTGACGTTAATGAAGTCTCCAACATTAATTCAATGGCTCGAACTAAAATAAATGTGAAAGCTTTACAATATTACAATCGCCACTTGGCGTTATTTATATTCTCCAGTACAAGTATTTCCATAAATATCAAATGTAGTTATTGTCGATGGACATAGCACACTCTCGCATCTTCAGCGTCCGTCGATGTGTTTAAGCAGAAGCAGATTAATTATGTTTCTGTCGAATATTAATGAGTAATTGAAGGGAAAAATGACATAAAATAGAAATCTCATAAGTTAGCATATATTTTTGACAGAGGCTCCGTTACATCTCGATGAAGCTGAAGTATTAGATAAATTAATGTTCGAATGGAGACTATTGAAAAAGGGAGATACACATAGGATTTTACTTTCGTCCCACTTGTAAACATTCAATTTTCATATTTTAAGAAAATATAATTCATGACAAATAACTCGTGTCTAGTCTTTTTTATTTCATGATCCTTTCTCTCTTCCACGAAATCCTGAGGCATTTAAATTGATGTCGACACCTCTCGGTGAACTCTACAGACTGTCAACAATAACAAAGTCGTGTGTGTTGTGTGTTTTCTCTGTTGACCTTCAGAGTGAACTCGTCGATAATCATTGGATAATGAATCCAAGGGAATTGTCGTGAATATATTATGGAATTGTCCCCACAAAAACGTGCGAAGATATGTAAACGAAAGAGGTTAGCCAAGAATAGACGCCGAAATAAGAGAAAAGTTGAGGTTAGAAGTGCTAATCGTAGGAAGATTACTTCTGGACATGAGATGAATTTTTCCACGATGACTGCTAACACTTTCTGGGAGAACTACAGGGTTGCTCAGGACTGGCAACAAAAGTAGGTGAAAATTAAATCTTAATTAATTACACTCCTTATTATTCATCTTTACATGTTTATTATATTAATTTTTCCGCATTTCAGACACAATATTGCTTGGTGGAGGTCACGTTGCATCGCCCTCGAGCACGAGAATAGAATCCTGAGGAGCAAAGTACGAGAACTGGCTCAACATTCCAATTACAATGAGGCATATCCGACACCTTCGAATTCTCATTACAATGCCCTGAATAATTCATCAGAAGAGGGAAACTTGGAGTTCCATGTTGATGAGGATATGCTCAATTTCCTGGAGCAGAGTATTCGTCATAAAATGGAGTTGAAGAAGAGTCGTGAATCCGAAAAATTTGGTTCTGGGGTAAATGACGAGAATGATTGTCCTCTGGTTTTTCGAGAGATCCAGGACCATGAGAAATTGGAGAATGCTCAAGAATTGTATGGATCCGCTGCCTCTAGGATAATTGCTATGGAGACAGCTCTTCAGGTGACTGTCGATAGGCACAAGGATCGAGCGAAGCCTCGCTACTGGCCGAATATCCCATTGAAACCTTGAGTGGACATTTGGAGTGATATTTTCACTTGTATTTATGTACATACATTTCATTTTAACCCACTCCAGAACAACCCGTGCCCAGTTTCAGAGCAAAAAGTTATGATTTGCTATCAAAATTATTAAACAGTGCATTAAAATTGAGGAAAAGTTCAGCAACGCCACTTATGCGACGCTATAATATAGTCAATCGTATTTTTTTTCTTGGAAGATGATGAATAAATGGATGAGACATTTGTGAATGAAAAAGGTCTTTTTATTTACTCCAAAAGTATTTTTCCAATGTGTTATCGAATCACAATTATGGTCGTTTCTCAAAATTTCTATTCAACTGTTTTCATTTCTTACTAATTGATTGTTCAGCCATACATATATATACATGGTATGAAGGAGGGATGCTTAATGCAATCCTTACAAATATCGGAATTGACGAGGCTGGAATTCGAACCCAGTCGTCGGTGTAGTGTGCGTGGGTTGCCACTCAACGATATGATATGGTAGCACTACTATAAGTTCTATAATTTATTATGAAATTATAAGATACGTTTTATTGTTGGTGAGCCTTGTGGCAGTTCTCCGGTGAGACGCAGCCACCCGAGGACTCCCTCAGATATCCATCGTGGCAACGACAGGATTCGGTGAACTTTGTGCATTGCTACATTGAAAAATATTTTAAAATTCAAATTCTGCTGGATAATTCATCGGATAAAATTGTATGGACTTACGATTCTCGGACAGAATCGGGGATTCGGTTGAGGATTGTCACACGTCGGCTCGCACATCCTTCCACATATATAGGATCCTTCATTCTCCCCGCATACGTTACCCTCGGTATCTGTTAGGAAAAATTATTCATCGGTTGATTCACTTTATCAAGAATTTTTCAGAGGTTGGTATTCACAAGACGACGTGAGGGATTCTCCTTTTTTAATTGATAACTCAATTATTTATGCGAGAGGTCAGAGGTTGAGTGTAAAGACCTCAGCCGCTTTTTGAGGCTTGAGTAGTCAAGAAGAATATTTTCAGGGACGTACTACCTTCGAAATTACTCAGGTTGAGCGTAAAATCGGTTTGGAGACAACAAATGACTTGAAACGACTGAATGATCAAGTGTAGCAATACAAATGTCCTCAACGATACCCGGAATTACTTGGCTTGCAGGTGAAATCTGTCTGTCGATGGCTAACGACTCAATTTCCCTCAATTGCTATTACCTGCAGTCACCAGCGCAACGCTCCCGATCAGTAGTAATATCTGCAGTAGAAATGTCATTGTGCGGGCCTTCTCCAATGAATGTGCACTGCAAAATCAACGAAACGGGAGAGCTTCCTTACTCATATATATTGTTTAGACTCGATAACACACACTCATGAATTTCTACACGCAATAATCATCAATACTGGCATTTTCCCACTTATTAACATATCGCCGCCGTTATGTATGCTATGTGTACCACTTTCGCACTCTACACCAAATGGAATGGCATTTGCAGCCAGAATGCGCGATGGATTTCCTCAATTATTCATAATCGCTGCGTTTATTTATACTTCGTCGAACTCCGAGGCTTACTTTCCTCGTTTGTTTGTCACACCGATATTATCTAGCAGAAGCAGCATTACTCATTCACACTTGTAGCGTTACGAAACAAGAGACGCTAACAGTGCGTGTTAATTTCGAGTCGAAGAAATATAAACGGACGATTTCGTCATCAATTCTCTATCATAAATTTTTATTTTGGACATTCTTTTGGTTCAACACATGCTCCTGTATTTTCATTCCTCAAATAAGGCCGTTGACATCGGCATTCCAGTTTACATCCCTGAAAAATGCATTTTCTGAGTGAAAAATAATTCCATAGAGTACGTTAATAATGAGCATTAATAATGAGCAAAGTAGAATAAAATTTAATATGTACCTCCGGGTTTATTTTGCACAAACGGATATTGGGATTACTGCATTTAGCTTCGCAGAGACTTCCACACGGCTCTAATTTTGCGTGGGGCTCGCAATCGTTTGCTCCATTGACTGCGAAATAAAGATACAATTAATATGAATAAATTTTATTCAACTATGAGAGGTAAATTGGATTTGCGACTGGGAAAGAGTACGCACCGCTATTGAACAAGGCAATAGCCAAACACACTATGCTGAGACCGGTCATGCCTACAAGCAGTTGCATGTGCAATTGATGATGTCTAAGAGCGCAATCTCATATATGTAGTGCTGGGAATTCAACCTTGCTGCGTGTTATCTCAACATTATTCCAGTATGCGTAACAGTAAGAAAATGAAATGAGGAAAAGCTTCATTTTATGGTAAACAAATCAATTATTCTACATCTACGTTTGAAATAACAAGAATATATTGAACAATTATTCATGTTTTCATTTTCTTCATTTTTCCTATTAATTTTTTGTGTTGCCGCATTCAATCATTTGGCTCCTAATAAACTGTAATGTGTCAATAAACATGATTTTTCGTAATACTTTATGGTGGTAAGGATGAAAAATAGGGGGATGAATTGTCTCGCTGCCCATTTATCCACAGCCACAGCTATGAAAGTAAGCACGTACATTGCTCAGGCCTATTGGTTTAATCTTAAAGATGATATACGCGTCTGGGCTTGAATCTCAGAAAGTCGGTCGCACGAAGAGAATTGAAAGGTATACGCAAAATAAAAACAAATATAGTGGAAAGAAAAAGAAGGCGAGTTGAAAAAGTGACGACGAACGCCGTAGCACGAGGCATTCGGATGGAAACAAGATGGGATGTTGGTAAAAGACGTTGGAGAATCGAAAAGGAAAAAAAATGGAAAAAGAAGAAAGGCACCCTGCATGATTTGTTTGGAACAAGACGTCAGAGGAAAACCTTTGGAGAAAGAAAGGGGATGAAGGTTAGAACGAAACAATTTTTCAAACAGTTAGGGGGTGTGAGTGAGGTGTGCGGTTTGCCCCGAGCATGAATAGACTATAAAACGGTGGTAAGACAAGGGCCATTATACCGGCACGTAAAGTCGAGTCAGCCGAAACTCAAGTGTTCGTCTCAACCCCGTTGTGTTGTCCCCTTTTTTTCCCTCAACTTTGGTATCCACTCCACTTCGTCATTCAATGTGCAAAAGCTCTCCTTCCAATTTTTTCACTCTAGGGTATTGTATTGTTATTTACAAAGCAACTTTTATTTATTTTCAATCTTCTTCGGAATAGTCAAAGGGGGAGGGTGGCCTATTCAGCCGGAAAAGTTTTCTAATTAGGGGTTTTGCGATCTAGCTATTTTCCTCAGCTGTTCCTCAGCCGGTGGAACAATGGAAATTACATTCGTGTTGGGGTATATTTGGCAATGCTTCATTTGCAACAATGAACGAGGATGAAGGAATGATTAAAAGCTTGCTTCTTTTTCGGGTGTTTTTCGTCTTGGTTATTACTTTGTCACGTAGCGAAAAATCTTGAGAAGGCCTTCCTTCTTTTTTTCTTGGAGAATACAAGCTCTCCTCTCATTTTCCTTCTATCATCACTTGACTCGGCACCCATGACACATTTTTCATCCCTCTCGCTCGTTCCTTTCCCCCTTTTCAATGTCTCGGATATCAAATTGAACGTAATTTCGTTTTAATTTGTCATATTCTTCTGCATTGTTTGATGCTCGGGGCTTGAGAGTTGAAAAATTAATAACCGGTTGTTGAAATTGTCAGGAGGGAGCAAACATAATAATGAAAAGCGCCGGAATGAATTGTCGGAAGGAGAATGGCAATCTCAAGTTCTTGAGGCTCATAATTCTGAAGGTGAATTTTTGTCTCATGCATTATTCCGGATTTTACGGAATTCAGGCGAATTCGTGACGCATAAAAACTTCAGATTCATCCGGTTAGAACAACTAGTTGTTGAAATTTTATCAAGACTCTGTCCCATCGTCCGCTGAAACTGCAGTTGAAGTTGAAATGATAAGTGGAGGATGACTGAAATTAAATGGGAATTGAGATAAAGAAATTGCCGGAATTCACCGACACACGCAATAAACCCCAGTTGATTGTATTTTTCTCCAAGTTTCGTGTGTCTCGCTCATTAATCCAGCCAGATAGAACTTGGATCATCTTTCATTGAAGCTCAACTGCACTCAACCCCCATTTACCGGTTTATACTATAACCATGAAGGCACTTTATGATAGCTCGTTAGAAAGTTTGGATCAATTAAATCGTGTGTGACCTATTTTGATGGAGTACATGTTAACTCGTGGCATATCAATTTATCAAATTCTGGATAATTGGATTTTGCGTAATGGAAAAAATCACATCAAGTTGAAATATGAAAAAAAAAAAAAAAGTAAATTGCAATTAATGCAAACAGGGAGAGTAATCAAAACACAGATGCCTTATTTTTCAATTTGGGTTGTATAAATGTAGACGCAAATTAATTCGGGAAAATCGTTTTGAAAGTCCTCCATATGCATAAATGCATTGTCCGTTTCTGAATAAATATGAGAGTGCGATCGTCAAATAGCCTGCTGTTATATCTATATCGACTGCACACTCTGGATTTTCCAGTGACATCAGGCGAATGTAGACTTGATGAAGTGGAAAAGGTGCATTAATAGCCATAGCTAGGCGGCTTTTAGCAAACTGCGGCGGTGGGAATATCGCCGAGTGAACAATGAACCAGAAGCCGGTTCGTATACTCACTCACCCTCTCTCCTCAGTTGGCCACTGTGGCAAATATTTGCCAGTTGCACTGGCAATCCTGCGTGATTGCCCCTGGGCGAGGTAATTAGGAGTTTTCAGGAGTTTGCGTCCCATGGACTATAGTTCTGATAGTGTCTGCACCCGTTGAAAATTGGAATTCAAAGAAAGTAATAACATACAAGGGCTATTCACCATTATATTGCGGTGAAACACTGTGGTAATAAAGGGTTTGTGGAATATTTGGGTCATTTTGGAAATAGAGTGAATGAATAATGATAATTACACCCAGAGGCGAGTGAACGGGTGAAAAAATCCGAGGTGATTTCAAATTATTAACTACGGAAAATGGGTGACCGGTTATTTAATCCTGGTAAAACGGAGCTTTTGGAGGATCTAAGCAAGTATTTTTATTTTTATTGACAATGATTTAATTGTTTCCCTCGAATAATGTTGCGTTTTCTTCAATTCTCTAATTTTTTCTCTCATTTAACTACCTAGGATTACCTTTCCAGGATTAAATGACCCGTAATAATGAAAAAATTATAATCTCCTAACACCGAATATTTCACGAGATGCGAAAACAATTTTGCTTCCCCTCGAGTGAAATGTTGAGGAAGAGAAACATGATTTATAATCTCTCATTTATTTTTAAACTTGCACGAGTGAGATTTCTGAATAGGTATACGATTTATAAACGAAACAGAAAAAAAGTTCCCCATCGTTACGGTGCCGGGGGCTACAGTTTCATCATGAATTAACGGTTCTAGTGATGCTTCGTATAAACGAGGGTGGTAGTATCTACGTCATCCGATGATCCCTTGCTGCCTTGATTTTGCTGGTGTAAATTCTGCACAGACTCACTGATTTAATTATTCGGCTCCCGCACACGCCTTCTTGACGACCGACCACGTAACAAGATTTTAGTTACACTGATTTTGCCGATTTCTAAGGCGACGTCGGGCACTGCGGGAGAGGGTTTAGTCACTGGTATGGGCGAACATTTGAGAATGGTACGGAATTGTCAATTGAGGGTGTGCGGACTTTACATTCAAGATTACGAGAAAATATGGCCAGAAATATGGAGTTGGAAAATTCATAATAGATCAGGAGAACTGTTCATTAGTTAATTCACATCATCAAATAAATTTTTGTATTTCAATAGAAATTAACAAACTTCAATAATTTATTTTTGTAATTTTATTTAAAAAATATTACTAAAGTAATAAATAATTCCGATCACGAGATTAACGAGATAAACCAATGAGTGGAATTATGCAAAATTCTAAAACTCCGCGTCATTATAATTAATCCAATGTCGGAATCACGCACATTGAATGGATAAAAGAAAACCATTACGTGGAAATCGTTGCTCTAGTTTCAATCATCCAGGTGTTTGCGCTAGACGATATATCTTCTTACCTGTCCTCGGGCAGCTCTCTGAAGACCGAGAGGGCATCCCCTGTGTATTCTCCAGGGATTGAGTCTCCTCTTACTGTGAAAGGCGTAGGGTAATCGAATCGATTTATAGGGCAAGGCACACGACGAGTCCTTCTCTCGCTCTTCTCCGTCTCATGAATACATCGATAACAAGTGTTTGCGGACGGGGTAGAGGGCCAATGCACAGCTCCCGAAAAACAAGGGATAAGAAAAAGTGGGTGAAAAAGTTGCATAAAAAATCTAGAAACTTAATAACTGTCGTGGGGCGAATTGAATTTAGAAAGAAAAAATATTGGGGTTGTCGTGTTTCGCCGATGATTGGATTGAATTACGTGAGAATTCGGTGGCTTGTTTCATTGAATTTCTATATTTTTTCGTTACACTAGGGAAGTGACTTTTTTTTGCTCATCCTTGTCTTGACGATGTCCATATAACCCAGACAACCCATACATACGACCTTATCCCCATGTCACATCGTCAAAAGTCGATGAGAAATTGGATGATACAGGAAGATTTCATTTTCTAAGAGCTGTTGCATGAAGATAATTAATATAATGATAATAGTGATAATTATTATGTGAGAATTCGTTGACTTGTTTCATTAAATTTTTGTTTTTTAAGGCAGACACTCCACATCGCCGAAAGACAATTAGAAATTTCGTAATGCAGCACGAGATTTTATTTTGCAAAAGCAGTTGCATGGAGAAAACAATTATAATTTAGAAACTTTGTATGTTCAAAATTCATTAAAATTCGCCGGAGAATTAATTAAAAGACGCGGAGAATAATAAGTTACCAAAATTAAGCTGTCAAAAGCTTTTGTTACAGTAATTTAATCCTGCTTCCAACTTTGGTTATAGGTACACGTGGGAAACCTTTTACGGCTTTTCCAGCACTCTATAACCGCTGTCAAACTACTTCTGGGCTTGCGTATTTACCTCTGTATCCAAGTTAGATTATATTATGCAGAGGAGTATCTGCAGTTAGTAAGGACGAAGGAAAATGTACAAGCCAGATTGTGAAATAGATATTCGTTGTGATAATGTAAAATCATGTAAGCGTCTGCGTACTGCGTTCTAACGTTTTGGGGTATGCCAGGCGGGAGAACCACTCTCGGGAGCTTTCGTGTGTTAGGCAGAGTGTGGAGAGCTTTCGGAGCGTTTCAATAGTACGCGTACCGCTAGCACACGGCGCGGATCCGTCTGCGCGAATTTTAATTCCATTAAATGCAATGATCATTTTTTTCAAATAGTCGAGAGAATGGACAGACGAAACTCTGATCAGATGCAATAAATTTTATTTACTCACAAAGAAATAAGAAAAAGCACGTTAATTATTTATCCAATAAAAAATACAATTTTTTGTAATTATTGAACCGATCTAATTGCTTTCTGCTGAATCTGAAAAGTGAAAAAGTTTTTTCCATGGAGCATTGTTGTTTCAAGTTTTCAACGGCTGAGTGGGTGAAAAAAAAATGAATGCGATTGTTCGACCGGTAATTGATGGTATTATGTAGGTCGGGGATTCTCAAGTGCTGAGCTAATACCTCCGAATCACTCGGTCGGTCAATCACGTGGTGATTTTAATTACCATTCACTACTGTTTCTCTTTGCAAAAAAAAACGGTTACTCCGATTTGAAAGTTTTCTGTTATAACAGAGAAAAAAAATCACAGTGGTAATTTGTGCGGAGAAATGCTATAAATTATCTCGATTTTCATATCCTCAATCTAGGGTTCGGCGCGACCCATTGAAGAATCATGATGTCCCGTCAGAACAGCTCGTCCGTCACCCCTTTTGTGTATGAAGGAGCCATTGAATTGACCCTTAGTGTCTACGAGTCACAGCCAATGGTCAGGGCGACCCACTGCAGTTCCTTGGATGCGTAACGAGGTAATGAGGAAATTTAATTCAACCCGACTCGGTTTAAACAAATGAGAGGGCCGTGGTGCAGAAGTAAACTCGTTTTATTTGGTATCCATCAGGAATCGTTAAAATTTAAGATGGAATTTTAAGAGCGCCACGACTCGGAAATTGATGCTCTCCAATCAACTTCCGTGAAGTAAGTTCGATTGAATGGAGGGATCATGACGAAAGTTTCTGTCAGTATGAATGGAAAGGACTGGATTACTTCGTCGATCTTCTTTTGTTTGATTGCCGCCGCAGGAGGGCCGTATTTCAGTCCATTTCGCGGGGATTTCTACATGAACTCCCCCCATAAAATCAAGATTTAAAGAATGCGCGTATGAAAAAATTTTGTAAAAAAAAATTTGCGAATTGGACGATTTTAGTGGAAAAATCCACAGCTTATCTGCGCATTTTTTAAAAATAGAATTGTTCGATGCAAGATATTTTGCAAAAAAATCAATAGAATTTGGGTTATTTACAAAATAGTTTTCTATAAAATAGTAAAGCTGCGGAATTCTTGTTAACAATTGTTCACCTCTTTTGCTTTACGATAAAGCCACGCAATTTTTTTACACCTATCTCGGAAATAACCTGTTAATGGATGGTTAATTCTCTCTCTCGAAGGCGCGATGGTGAGAGTGTTTTATGCGGTAGTGTGTCAGAGTAATTACTCCTTAAGGATTTCATCAAAGGAGAAATGCACGGTTGTCGTGTGAGATATGTGAAAGGCACGATGAACAGTCAAACGAAAGAGAATGTTGGCGAATCTTCGCGCCTCGAGTCTTGTGAGCTAGATATATTTTGACACAACAAAAACTCAAAATATCCCCTGAGGTACTTTACTGACAATTATAATAGTAAAAAGTCTATCGAGAAATAAAAAGCAAATCCTCTGGGAAACCTAGGGATTACAATTGAATGAATGAAGGAAGGACTTTGTCTTTTATTTAAAAAAAAAATTGATTCAATGAAAAGAATGTCACGAATGGGATAGCGATTCATCTCCCATTAGACAATAAATCCACAAAGTCCATTGTCATGTGATTAATCAGTAGATGCGAGAGTGAGGTATAAATAATGACTGACCAACGGACAATCAAATGCAGCGGACAAAGAGCTGTTATATTTCATAATTACATGCATAGAAATGATAATCTGCATGCATAGACCACACAACGCGGATGCGGAAATTCGAGTTGATGTTATCAATGATTCACCGAGTTTTGTATGTTGAAAGTCGATCGTGGATAGGTGTCAAATCGATATGGAATGAAAATTTAATGCCACCCAAACTTTCCACCCCCTTTCGAATGCCAGTCTCATGTGTATCTGAGACCCCTGAGGGCTTGAAGGCACCGTATATTTGCAGAATGGTGTGCATGAAACCCACTCATTTATTTTCACGCTGCGATGACATGAAACCGATGTAACCCATATATATTTATATTTTACCTCCATTTCTCACATATTCTCAGTTTTTGTTTTACTATAGATATATTTCGAGTTATTTATCGTGGTAGGGTAGCACGTTTTGACGCTTTTATCGTCAACGAAACGGGGAAAACATTCTCCGTGAACGTGCTCGGGGTTCTGGATCAGTTGAAAACTCATACTTTTATAGATTTAATTTTTCACAATTTTATTGAATTGTGGGGAGATATCGAGAGCGCTTAGTTCCGCATTTTTGGGGGGAGAAATTATCATCGTGGAAAAATCACAAAGAGCCACAAAAATTAAAGTACAAATATTCACATGTTAATTTTCAATTGAATGTTCAATGTACTCATGACGTATTGATAATATATTAATTGATGTACTTTCTATATGTATCGTGTAAATATTTGTGAGGTAATTTAATTCATGATATTCATCATGTGATATTTTATCGATGATAATTTGTCGTAGCTGGGAATCATTATAGCGAATATGTTGAGATGAAGAAAAATGTGTACACGCAATGATAAGGCAGAAAAAGCGAACAGAATAGATGAAGATACATTATGCCCTGGGCCCTTGAGAATGAATTGCCCTGATATAAAACATCTTGAGATTTGGTGATTTATCGGGTGAAATGCGTGGGGCATGTGCCCATGTCTATTCGGCGGCATCCGTCTCCTCCCCGGAAATTAAGTAGCTTGATGCCGTTAGGATCCTTCATCATCTTGGGATGCAGGGCTCGCTATATCAAGCGAGGATGAGAGGTATAACTCTCCTGCTCATCCTTTTCCTTCTAGTTGGTATGCGCTGTCGGCTTGATGTAAAGGTCAATGAGCATTCTCATCCGTTTCACCATCATTCCTGGGACGATTGTGCATTGGAAAAATTTGGACAATTAAAAAAATAAGAAATATTTCGCATCCCCCTGTCCCTCATTGATAGGGCTACTGTCCAGCTCTCCCCGGAATTGTAGTGAATAAAAGTCCAGTAGAATTTTCTGTGGAATTCACTAGGTGACTGTCCATCTTTAGCGGTTTGTCGGGAGGCCATGGCAATAGATATCTGAATAAATCCTAGCACCCTCACAGCATTTTCTGTTGGAAACAAGTGTTGTTTTATTCACATTGAGATTCACTGCTCTCTGTCAAATTTATCCGAGTCGAGGGTAAAACCCGATAGTTACGATTTCTAGGGAATCTCTTGCTACTTGGAAGTCTGACTGCACTGAACTTTTACTACTTTACTGAGAATTATATTGTCCCCATGGAACAAGGCGGAGTGTAACAGATCGAGTGCAAAAAATGATCCTCCATTCGTGAACAAAGTTTAACGTTCTTTTTCCTACACCTGTCACCATCAATCTGTCATATCCGGAGCAGATGAGGCCGAAATAAAAAGGAAATCCTGATTTTTCCCCATTTCACGTGATACTTTTTTTCTATTCTAATATGACAAACGCCAGGTTTTATCGAGTGCGAAAAATTGAAAAATAAAGTGAAATAAATTAAAAACTAAGTGAATTTGCAGGTGCTAAGACGGTGATTGAAATTTTCCAGATGTACGAGGTGCGGTCTGATGTTGGCTGACTGAGTCGTCGAACATCCGACGACTGAGTATGTCGTCGGGTCACACCGGATACCGCCTTGCTAGTTTCCTCCTGTCATTTCCCACTGTGGCCCTACGTTTTCTCTCTGCGTCACACTGTCTCCTAACTCTGATTGTCGTACTCGAATTGGGGCTCATCTGCGCTAATGATTATTCGATCAAGCCAAAGCTCACGCGTGAAAATGGAACGGCGAGTGTGGTCACAGTCAAGTGGAGGAGAACGAGTAGAAGAGCCTCCTCTTCACTCCTCGGGACGAGGGACGGAGAGAATATCACGGAGAGAGTTACTGAGTCCTACTGCGATTCGAACGATTGCATAGAGAAGAATGAAATCAAATACTTGAATCAGACAATTGGACTTTTGTTGGAAAATAATGAGAATGTGTCGATGACAAGCTCGTCAGTTTCAACTGCACCTGATGATCCAGCCGAGGGTTCAAGCGGTGATGTGTTTCACCGGAAGTCACAGCACGGGGGGATGGGTAAAGGACAAGAGTTTGCAACAGCTGATGGAGAACTAGAGGCGGTTGAGGATCTTGTTAGTTTGAGTTCTAGCACGGTGACACCGAAAACGTGGGATAAGGTGGACGTGACGATTCTGGGGCTCTTCGAGTTGACACAGGGCACTGAGGCTAGACCCGAGGGACCCAGCGAGCTACAGGCTGCCAAGTTTGCCATCGATCGGATCAACGAGATGGACATTCTACCGAGATTTAGGGTGAAATTGTTACGTAATGATACCAGGGTGAGTCGTTATTTTTTCTATCGGTTTATGATCAAAAGATCCTGGAGGAAGAATTATTTCCACTTTCGTGAATCCATTCATGATCATTTTTCTTGTCACAATGTACGGGAATAAAAAATGCCAGCCATTGCGGGGCGTAAAAAATGACACTTTGAGCTGTGACGTTTGTTCTCGCGTCGACTTGTGCCCCCTCTGTAACTTTAAGCATTCACAAATATTCATATTTATTCATAGCAGATCGTTATTTATTATCACGATACCGAGACAAGACGAGAAAGACGGAGGGGAAAAGTTGGTGTGTGAGAAAGAGTTAATTCAACAAGTTGAGTATCTTTTTTTCCCCTCCATCAGACCCTTTTTCCACTTTTTCTTTTCTCCTCTATTTTTTCTTTCAACTTGCTCACGCGGTCTATTTCCCTCTTCCTTCTCTCTTTCTTTTCCCTTTTTCTCTCCTTTTTTCGTGCCTCATTAAATGCCAGCCTCGGGCGACCACGTGGACTTTTATTCGTGTTTTCGACCCTTCGTCCGAGAAACCTATAGGTAGGCTTCAAAAGATAACTTTAATTTGACCAATTTCCCCACCGCCTCTGAACAAACAGTTCTGTGTCACGTAGTATTTTTATCAGAAAAAGCAAAGTTTTATTTCAAATATCTGATTTCATCTAGAGTTTTGGTAACAATTCGTCCGAGAGCATACGCAACACAATTACTGGAATTTAGAGGCAAATTTTAATAGAAATTTGTCCCCATGTGGATAATTGCATATAAAAGCAGGCAATCAGCCGCGTTCGAATGCATATGTATTGCACTCGACTCTTAGTATTATTGCACAACCCCTCGTACTGTAAAACTCAATAACGTTTGCATAATCAATGCCATTCGATTGAACCTCGATGTACCGAAATATTCCTAAGACTCGTGGTGTTGTCAGGACAGAACGGACGTTTCGCGCTTGAAAAATAGTTTCGCCTTAATTGGCAAGGGAAGCGGGGTGGAGGGGGGAACTATCCTCGTTTGACTCGCAGAATAAAAAAAAACACAATTTAGTCAGCGTCGAGTTTTATTGTGTTTGCACAATCATCCAATTTCACCCCCAAAGACGTTAAGGCTTCTACAACACGTCTGCAGAAATGGATTAACAAGAGAATAGAATGAGTAATGAATGGAGATGTAACCCCGAGGTCCAGTAATCTCCCCTTCCCCTTTCCCCCTTCAACTTCACTCGTGCGATTGCCTTAGAATTTGAAAACTATCTTCTGTAGACTAGTTATACTGAGCTCTTCGACGATTAATTAAATTCGCAAGTTTGATTGCTAAATTCTTTCGAGTAATTAATTCAGGGAACACTGAAAAATCACGGCGAGAATTCAGAGTCATAAAAATTTATAATAAAAAAATACTGACACGGAGAAAGGTAAAGTTACGCAATGTTCAATAGAAATAAACCCTCAGAAGGGTTTTTTTTTCCTAATCAAGGGTTCATTTGTTCTTATCGTTTTTTCGCGTGAATCATGTGATTCGTGAAACAAATATAAATATATCAGGAAGACGAGATAAAAGAGGAGTAGTCGGAAACCGACATTGATAGAGATGTGCCTTTGATCTTATTCGAGAGGGAAAAACGCCCTTCACCACGCCTCAACCTCCCCACCAGTCAGCCCATCAAAAAGGATACAAGAAAGGTGAAGAATGAGAGAAAAAAAAATGATTCTCAATAGGTTGAGACCGCTGTGTTCTATGCACAAGTATGGTGAACAACATTTGCGTCCGTACGTGTGTACATTGTTCCCTGTAGTTTGAGTGGTCCTCGCAATGGGACGAAAGGGGTTGGGCATTAACGATGGAAACAACTGGGGTTGTGTGTACTCACGTTCACAGGCACCAAGCTGTGGTTAGCCGTGGCTTATGCTAAGCCTGTCCTATCCTCACGACCAAGATAGGGGAAAGCACCAATTTCAACCACCAATAGCCGAAGATCTTCCACATCTAAATACAAATCGACTGCAATTCCGAGAATTTATTCATTCCCATTTTATCCTGAATTGAGGCTATTTTGTTATGAATAATAACTCCATTATTGAAATTTTTATTGAAACACGTTTTTTTCCGTTATTACTCTAATATATGTTCCACTTTTTGTGGGGGGGAATGAATGAATAGGGAAAATTATCAAATGGGAGAGACTTTTTGAATCATCTTCCACTGAAATTGACTGGGTAATTCAGACGTGGGTTCCAAGGACGCGAAAATTGGAAGGTGTTCACACCTTCACATGTTCATTTTTGAAGCTCTCATACTCATACATATGTAAAAAAGAATGGGATGTTGATTAAATTCTCGGTCTTGATGCGATCCCATCAAGAGAATTGCAAGACTCCAGCGATATTTTTTCTGTTGAATCGGCAACTCTGATTTGATATTGAGTTTACGAGGGAGAAAATCAGTGATACCATTAAATAGGATTGAAAAAATTCCCCTTAGTCTCTGACAAATCTATTGAATATCTCGAGAGAAGAGAGAATTGGGGCTTCGACATGACCCTCTCTCTCTCTCTCTCAGCCACTTTATGTGTCTCGGAGAGTCAAGTCGCTGATATCATCATAAAATATAATACGAGATGGCCAAGTTATTAAATCCAAGATGTCTCGTAAAACCAAAGCCCTGGAGTTATCCAATTTTCAGCAAAATGAGAAAAACTGTCAGCATCTTCTGACAAAGAAAATTTATATCTCTAACGATTTTCTCCATTCACCGTCGTGCGTTATCTATACTAATATTGTTTATTAATCGTTCACAGCGGAATCATAGCCACTGAGTCTATCGGTGAAAATTACACGATATTGGTAACGATCGATCCCTTTGGTAGTACAATCTCTACGACTCACTATCGGCTTTAGTCTCACACAAAGAGGCCGGGACAGTGTTGAGATTGTGTAAGAGAAAAGAGAGAGAGAGAGAGAGAGAGAGTCCAGTTTTCCTCGGCTCTCGAGAAAGGAGAGTCGAGATAGCTTTTATGCGGAAAATCGACGTATCAAGTAGTTGCAAGGTGCTGATAAGGCTGAAGAGGGTCTCCATGACATATATATATTTCCGGTGGTGGGCCATTCGTGCAGAGACTTCATGTACATGGCTAAATACATGTATAATTTTCCATAGGTATCGTCAATTTTGTTACGCACTCATTCTCTAATTAACGTGGTTAAATTCTATTTTCTGTCACATGTCCTACTTCACAATCTATTCGCTCATTCAGGAATTCGCCTTTCTCATCAAAGCTCTCCATTTGGTACATAAATGCCACCATTTGTCGAGGGGAAACATTTTCTCTCTCTTGAAATCGACTCGTTCGGTATATATTTTGAAAGCAAGGAAATTTGTATGTGCACGGGGGAGTGAAAAAAAAGCAGTCGATTGGAAGCAATATCTCGGCAAATCGCTCGATCAGCCGAGTTTACAAAGAAAAAATACAAATCAGAATTTTGCAAGCACGAGGCAAGAAATGATTGCATTTCATAATGAAAAATACATTTTCGATAAAGACAGATGTATTTCTGTATTTCTCTCTCATTCCTATTAATCTGCTTCTTTCAACGCCTGGGGCGTCATTGAAATTCACCGTAGCAATGAAATGAAATGAATTAGGTCGACAAATTGTCAGACCAATCGATTCTGCATCCAAAAGTTGTATACAACGCATTCAGTGCAGGAGATAGTATCGGGATGTGAGAATGAATACGCCGGAAAAAACGCGAGACCACTGAAAAGCTCAACAGAAGGAATTCCCTCTGGTATTCCATTTATACCTGACAAATTTTAGAATCGAGGTGAAATCCTAGTGACGCCATTGACGAGAACCCGATTATTTTTTCCCCCTTGCTCTATTTTCTAATCGAAAGATGGAAGATTATCCCTGAAAACATATATTAGTTGACTCTCTGGACTTGAATTACACGGAGTAATCTCGTCTTTCAGTCACTGCATTCACATGAGAATATCAGATTAAATTTTTTACTCATCCTTTACCTTTCTCCCAAGAAAGCGACCAGTTACTAATTCCCTTTCTTTCTTTCTTTCTTTTGCCTTGACAAAATTGAACATGAAGGTGGAGAAAAGTATTATAATATCAGTATGAAAGGGATGAAACAGAATATGCGAATCAATTGCATGAAATTAAAGTACATTGCGGAGTTTAATATTCCTGTATTCTCAAAAATGCATGAAAATGGGCGGAAAATCATTTTCAACTGAGTAAACAGGAGCCCTGTATTTTATTCCGTCAACGATATTGAAATGAACGGAATGAAAAATCATCTCCAAATCCCCAAGGCCTATTGTAATTTATGCATGGCCTCGTCAGCTCCTCTCGAGTCAGAAAATCTCGTCAAAACCCATCTAAAGCCTGCGTTTATCCTCCGATCTCCGCAATGGACAAATTTGAAATGAGGTATTTAAAAAATGCAATGACTGTTCTCACTTTCCGAAAGACAGTTTAATGTGGTAAAAAATGTACTGTACTTAAAAAAATTTTTGTTGTTCAGAGCCAAGAGAGAAAACCAAGACCAAGAGAGAGAAAAAAAAGAAAGGCATATAAATTAAACCAGAAATGAGGACTGACCAAAGTGAGAACAAATTGTGTCCGGAAATGATGCGGAATTCGCGAACAGAACGAAATTAATGGGAAATTCCCGGATCAGAGGGAACCATAAATTCAAATACATTGAGATCTGCAGAAGTAAATGTGACAGCGGCGAAAACGTTTGTGTGATACGTTTGTGAAATGCTGTGGTACGATCATTTCATATCCCGTGCTTTGGAAAAGCATCTCTCAGTTGGCATTTTTCATTCGTCACTCTCTCCGTGTCATCCTTGAATTGTATGTCCCAACTCCGTGTGCCGGCGGAGGATATCTCCGGTACGAGTTTCAGATATAATCCCACTTAAATATTAATGCTTTATTGTATACAAGAAGAATCGCAGTTGAACTTAAAAATTTCCTGCTACTTTTAATAACTGCATGTATGCAGTAATGCAACAATCGTGCTATGGGATATACCAATTTTCATTTTTTCCAGGGGGAGATGGAAAAAATATGTGAGCAACACTCGAGTGACACGTCATAATTTAGCTTTTTCTCGTCTCCTCTCACATGTGAGATTTTTAATCTCATCCTTTATACGAATTTTCCTGCATGCAGCAGAATCGGAGGGTAAATGCAAGTTAATGTGCTCAAAGGAAACAAAAGCGATAAAAAAAAAGAGAACCAACAAATGAGAGGATATTTTGAAATTAGAGTTTTTAGGAGAATATGAAAAATTCAACAGTAAAGAATTATAAAAAGTGGTGAAAAGTATTCCACCACTTCCATGCTCAATGTTGCAGCTGGATTCACTATTGAATTTCTGCATAATTCGGTGGCTCGCAATCAGCGGAAAATGGCCTTTACATATTTTTTCATTTTATTTTCCGAATAATCTGATCATCTCTAATTGTCTGAGCGACAAGGTAAATTCTGTTTCTCTCCTGCTTTTCGATTCAGCGACTTTACGGCTCGTCTCTCAATTTAACCCAGAGGCAATTTAGAATCGATCGAAACATTGTGGTGTACGTTAATTGCGCAATCTTCGTATGAATTGACAAAGGCAGTGGCCAATTATCAATGGGTGCAAAGTCAAGTGGATAAATTGTGTGTGGAAAGCATGTGGGAAGGGAAAATTTCAGTTTCGGAAGTGTGAGTTTTTTTAGTATCATTTTGTGGGGGGAAAAAGTTTAGAGAATCAAATTAATGAGGCATGAGACACGTTTTTTAGTGTTAAATTTATTGTCACAAGATCATTGAGGCGTGGTGGGTAGCAGTTGAACTCCTGTAAAGTAAACAATTACTTGGAAAGTTTACAATGCTCCCCTGTATTTTCGAGTTAAAAAGTTCAATGTGTGGAAGCGCTGTTAAACTAGGGAGCTTTCGCTATTTCAAGACCACCTTATGTTTTCCTTCTTATAATTACTTTAGTTTTTTGGAAAGGTATGTATGGGAAGGTCTCATTCTCCTCTTGTTTTTAGTCACCGCGTTGAAAACACGGAGCAGCAAAATTATAACTATGTTTCACTGAGTTGATGAAAGGAGTGGTGTCATGATTACAATCGTCAAGTGTCGGGGAAAACTTGTCGCCACTGGTTCTTGTACTCTTTACCCATTCACGCCACTGACTAATGATCAATTATGGAGGATTCTACGTTCATCTACCGAATACTTGAGCAAGTTTCCTCCTTCATTCTCATCTAACTCTGTTCAATGATGTTGGACTACTCTTTACAACATCTCAGGTGTGACGTTGCAATTTTATTTAATGAATGCCACGATAATAATCAACTTTTTCATTTATTGGGAGGAGGTCATTAAACACATGGACATGGTCTTCCACTCTTGGTTTAAATAACAAGTTCAAGAGTGGTGCAAGTCCCGATTTAGAATTTCTCAATTAAAGAAAATTTGCAATTAAACACGGGACAGTGTGGACAAGCGTACCAAAACTTTCATTAAACACTTCAACTTTTTCCCTACCTTTGTAATTGTAGCACTTTACGCCCTTATACCGTCCGACCAACGAAGCGAATATTGTTTCAACGTTGAGTACAGAGAGAAGGCAAACTTTCGATAATCCTTTCGCTAAGTTTCATCCTTTCCTCCTTGAAAGTAATGGATGAAAAGCAATGAGTGAGCAAGGGAAAAAAGTAGCTAGTGCCACTGTGGTTGGGAACTTGATGCAATTCTCAAGTGGCTTTCCCAACTCTTAAGACCGGGCGATATTAAAAGTGCCCCAAAGACTACAATTGGGTGACTTGAGCCTGAGAAAAACTGAAAATCTCGAGCGTAAGCGTTCAGAGGAGAACTGAAAACTGTGAAAGAAGTTTCACTTCGAAAAATGCATTATTTTGGTTTTCAGTGTGACCCAGGTGTGGGTGTGGATCGTTTCTTCCACGCTCTGTACACAGCCAAGCCACGGACAATAATGCCATTCTTACTCGGCACCGCGTGTTCTGAAGTCAGTGAAACCCTAGCGAAAATCGTGCCCTATTGGAATATCGTGCAGGTGTCATTTGGCTCAACAGCTCCTGCCTTATCCGATCAATCCGAGTTTCCGCTCTTCATAAGAACAGTTGCACCGGATTCGAGTCACAATCCAGCGCGAATTGCTCTCATAAAGCATTTCGGATGGGATACTGTGACGACCCTCTCACAAAATGGTGACATGTATTCCCTGGTAAGTCAACTAACATCAAAACTGTAATTTAGAGGATGAAAACGAGTTATATTGGAGTTTACGGTGGAGTCTCCTCGAGGCCTAGAGCATTGTCAGGAAGTTATGAGGTAGTTTATGCACAAAACTCGGTGATCAGTGTCCCTAGATGGTCTCTCGGATGGGCATACTTGTTGCTTGGGGCTCCAGAGGAGAGTTCTAACTCTTGAAACAATTTGACTACTCCGTGAAAATTATTTCTCCCCTTCCATAACTCATTTCAGAGTCATCAAATGACACATGCACGAAAAAAATTCATAGAAAAATATAGCGAATTCGATGGAGAATTCTATTGGACTTCCTTTGAAAATTCTATCAGTTTTTTCCACTTTACTTTCCTCCTCTTTTCATTAAAAACAAATGAAAAAAAAATAGAAAATTCTGCGGAATATTTTTCGTCCGATTCTTTTCTTTCGCAGGCTGTTAACGATCTCGTAACTGAATTAGAACGGGCCAATATCACCTGTACGGCAACCATAACATTTAGTGAGAATGACTATAGGGAACAGCTGGCAACTCTCAAGGTAAGGATTACGGATATTATCGTTAAAATCTGTGACCCGTAACGTGTGATCCAACATGACAGTTTGGTAACTCGCAATCTTGAATTCTCTCACGGTAAGAAGTTCTTGGTGAGGGAAGAATTTTATAAAAGTATTATCACGTATCTGGTGGCTTGGAATATTTTCACGAGTTGCGAGTGTTTGCAAAGGCAATTGCCAGGCAACAATACCCCATCCAGATTCGTGAAGCTTTGCGTTGTGATTTAAGATTGATTTCAAGTGAATTAAGTCTGACGAAATATTTATGCCCGCAGGATCTTGACACTCGCATCATCATAGGAAGTTTCTCGCCAAAATTAGCACCTAGAGTGTTTTGCGAAGTAAGTTGAGACATGGATAAACTTGACTATTTTTCCTCTTTATCTATTATTGCCATTTTTTCCAATTTTAAATATAATTATAGATAAATTATAAAATGTAATTTTGTTTTCACCCTATAATTTTTTAATTCAATAGCAATCGGCGATTAATTGATCAAAATTAACAAAACACCCCTATTTTCATTCCGTAATTTAAATGCATACGTCACAGTCTTTACTGCGACTGGTGTATGAGAATGAAACTCTTGTGTAAATTATCCGGACTGTTATTGTAGTCGAGTATATTCGGAAAAACGTAAAATTTAGGTTGAATTGAACACCATTCGAGTGTGCAAAGCAAAGGAGAAACTCGAAACTGGGAAAAAAACGAATTGAATGAGAAAATAAAGAAGTTGAGAGTCGAGAACCAATATCGACGTCTCCTCTAGCATCAACATATCACTCCGGGCTTACAGCCTCCCCTGAAGCGTTCGGAAACATTTCGGTTGAGTGTACACACGTTACTCTCCAATTAGATCTTCTTCAGGGGTTTCCGTTGAGTAAGACCGTGAAACCCATTTTCGAATGCTCGAATTTACTCGTACGCCTTGTGTTCCGCTGGCAGTATATACATTTCGTCCTTTTTAGTTTGTTCACATTTGTCTGCGCTTCCTTCTATTTTTCCACAATTTCTTTTTTTTTTTAAGAGGGAGAGCCGGAATCCTAATTATCACAAGAATTTTATCCGATTTTTTTGAGTGGAGCCGTCAGTTTGATTTTTCTCTCTGAAAACATGTATTGACGATTTTTTTTCCTCTGAACACTCCAATATATTCCATTCCATCAAGTCTCTCTTTTCATTTTGATATCGGGCCACTTTTATGGCCGCCCAATGATTTTATTCTTTTTATTTCCGGCGAATGCACTCATATTAGAAACATGATGCTAGAAGTGCGTCCTCCGTTTGCTCATTGATTGTACCAATTGGCGTGTAAATTTTTCAGTAAATTTTTCCTCACGGAATAATGAACACGAACGAAGTGATGCACCATCTGCCGTATCCTCTAGTGAATAACATGAAATCAGGGCAATTGTATTTGAAGTCTCCATCGTAGCCACTGGCAATTGGAAACTTCGCGTCGGGTTGGAAAAAATGGTGGGAAAAAAAAAAATCTCCATAGGTTTTTTATTGTGATAACGAGGAAGTGTCGACGACTGGGTAATTAGCCCTGGCACCAAAAGGTGGGCGTAACGATGTTACGATGAACTAGGTAGAATAACAAGTGCTGGAAATAATAAGGACAACAATTTCTTTATTTTTAGAATCACTAAAATGTAAAGACACATTCCGAGAAGCGCAAGTTAATTCATGTATTTCAATTTAATAAGCTTGCACAATTAAAATTACAGTTATTCCATTTGAAAGAGGAATTTATTATGAAGACAGCAATTTCTAGTCACTAATAAATTCCATGATTCAAGCAACTTCTAACTCAAGAATTTTCATTTTCGGTTGTAAACATGAATTCGCTATCCGAGGAATTTTGCAGCTTCAGAAAGGAGGGCGTGGAAATTATACTGGCACCAGCTTCTCTGTTTTCCCCCTTGAACTTTGATTAGAGGAACAAATAAAAACTTTTATTCCTCCACTGGCGTAGGCTTGGAAACTTGGTATGCACGGTGGAGATTATGCCTGGATCCTTCCGGGTGAGACCATCGACCTTTCCGGCATGACTGGCGATTGGTGGCACACACAGGGAGGAAACGATTGTTCATCAGCTCAACTCACCCAGACTCTGGATGGCGTTATCATTGTCAAGAGTCATGGAACTGTTCTTCCCGAGGAAACTAGCTCGTCTGGCTTGGTAAACATAATTTTCATGTGATGTTTTTTCATATATTGAGGGTAAAAGAAAGTTTTCCATGCAGTACGTGATGTACGATTTTTGCGTGGAAAGTTCCGAAACGAGGGAATCGAAGGGATTTCATTAGGCACTTTATGCGCGTAAAGTGCCACTCAACAAGCATGGAATTGACGATGTTAATTCCATATTTAATCCCCGATAGTGCAATATCAATGGCCCGAGTGAAAACTCCATCGGTGGCAAGTTGTCATCGAAATTGTGAAAAATCCGGGGAAAATTATGCCGTGATAAATAGAATAGACCGAACCTCAAGTCGTTCATAATAGATGCACGACTGGCAAGAACAATGGGAGAAAAAGCTAAAGTGAAATGTGAGAGAACAATTCCCGAGCGGTGGCGGCTTTTAGTGAACAGTTCGGATGATTCCTCGCGATATTCCGAACACAGGGAGTTTGAAAACTGAAAGATTAGCCGATTCGACCGGATATCGGGGCAGAAACAAGAGAAAAATCCTTGTTTTTAGAGTGATATGGATGTATTGTTACGAGCCCGAGCTTTTTCGTTGTATTGCTTCCGTTTTAAAGATGAATATGTCCATTTTTAACTGGAGAATGGAGTCGTGCCGATTAAAACGACCGTAAGGTAGCACTGGCACCCACGGCTACGGCATTTTTTTTCGGATTCACATATTTTCTCGTTCTTTCCTCTTGCCTTTTCATATTCTTTTATTAGCCTGCAAAAAAATGATGTGGCCCATTAACGCTTGTACTTTTTAACATTTTTTTTTCTCCGCCATCGTAAAACTCGGTTTAACACCGTCGCTAGATATTCTGCGCTGGAAAATTACAGGGAATTGTTACGGGTCAACTCGGTGCTTTGTTCATTTTCTAAAAAAATAAGTTTACAGACTTATGGAATGGATTGTCCATATCACGAGACTGCAATTTATCAAACGAAGTGACGGTCGTTCAATTTTTTTCCTACATGACAACTTTATGTAGGTGTGGTTCCTCAACATGATGTTTTCATGCCACATGAGAGGAAACAGACGAGGAAGCACTGCCAAGTGCTTTCGTGACGCATTCGGGGAGTAAAGTAATAGAAGGAGAGTGCTTCAACATTAGTAATACATCGACGTAAATGTCCCAAAGTATACTGTTTCAGAGCATGAAATTATTAAAACTACACATCGGAAATGTAAGGGGATTTCACGGAAATGATTCGTCCCTTTAACTTGCGTAAACAAAATAATAATGAACTTTAATAATAAAAATCAAATCAAAGGACTACTATTCTCAGAAAGCTCTCGCTACAAAAATATATTGGAAAATTGTAAATGTAACGAGAAAATTGTCAGTATTAAGTGACAACTGGATGAATAAATATATTTGCTTTCAGACGAGCATTGAATTCGCCTCGGAGCTCGCAAAAAGGGGTGTAACACTTTCACGATTTGCCGCCCAAACGTACGATGCAGTTTGGGCGATGGGGATGGCATTGTCAACAGTCGAGACACTTTTAAATCAACGTAACACGAGTATCGCTGAGTATACACATTCGAGACGTGACATAGCGTATGACCTCCATGCCGAGCTGAAGAATTTGAATTTCCTCGGTGTTTCGGTGAGTCAATCCCCATCCCCCATTGCACGTGCAACAGATAAATCCTTTTTGGAATTCATCCAAGGACGGGGTTTAGCACTTTGGTTGGGGTTTTTAAATCGATAGGAATAAGTAATGCCATTTAATCGTCAGGGTCCTGTGTCGTTCGATGGAGCTGATCGAGTGGGAATAACCGCCTTCTATCAGATGCACGGTAAGTACACCACTTGTGCCATTTAGACGAATTATTTGTCATTTCATTGTTATTTTACAAGAGTTGAGGTGAAATGAATTACGTGGCACCCGCAACATGTTCATCCTTTAATTGCAGTTGTAATTGAAATAAACACTCATCAATATTCAGATCAATTTCGCTGAATAAACAATTGTCCGATAAAAGGTCAAACTTTGGTCTCATTTACTTACTGAAGTAAGAGACCAGCAAGTGGCCTCGGTAATATATTGGAACCCCGATTCAGTGGACTATATATTCGTTTGAGGATATTCAGAGGCATTCCACCGTAAAACTGATCACTCAGACTCACATCTATCCTGCACTGGCTACCCTCATTCGAGCCTCGTCAATTACATAAATTGATCAGCGAGTCCTGTGAGTTTCCCCCTACCTTCCACGAGTTTATTCAATCACGGCTCAAATTCCGTTACTTCCGACACTGAATACTATTGACAGATTGAGAGGGATCTAAATCCGTTTAAAAGTGATAAAGCCGACGGTTTTTACTGTCCTGAGATATCAGAGAATTTATATCCCTCAATTTTATGGAAATGACATGAGGATTAGAATATCCTCGGAACCTTGGGGATTACAACGAGGGGGCCACTGTGTGGTGAATTGGAGACAATGGGTCAAGTGTGGAATATAACTCACTCGCTTTACCGAGAAGAATACGAGAAGTACACGTTAATTCTGTAATCCAATACGGCTGAAAGAGTCTTCGCCATTTAGTGTAATACAAGCAATATTTCAGTGGTTCACGCTGAGAATCCCATGCGCCCGGAACCGTCTGACGCTTTGACATTCCCCTCATACTTAAAAGTTGTTCACGAAAATATCGATTGAACTATAACCGACCCTCAGACTCCATTGACGTTATTGCATTTGCCGGAAACCACGTCAAGTGTCGAGCCATCGCCCACCCAATTCTCCCCAATTGACCCATTCCATTTCGAAACACCTCGTAGTGCCAGGTAGCGGTTCTTGGTCCCAGGAACTCTATTATAGATGCCAATCATTCGGGGCGAAACAGGCGCTAGTTGGTTTTAGCATTGAAATTTGAATGTATAGAAAAAAATAACAAAAAAGGGAGCATAGCATATGTGGGCGAATGTCGAATTTAAATAATGCCCCTAGGCTCTCGTTTGCCAGGCTCGCTCTTCTCTGGGAGTAGCACGAGTGTTTCACATTGGGAATTTTCATTCCACCAATTACATTTGCGCGTCAACATTAAAGAGACTAAAATCATAAATAATTTCACTGTCGAAGATAAAAACTGAAATTAATGCTGCAATATTTTGAAAAACCTTGTTACCCTGTTTTTATTATTATGCCACTGTAAACATGCGTATTCATAGGTCATGCAGTTAGAAGAATTGCTATTTACACACCGGAAGATGGTATATTGACGCTTGATTGTCCTGGATGCGCGAATGTCAGATGGCCAGGGGGTCATCCACCAGTGGCACGACGGGTTTTCAGGTTCGACATTATATTTTAATTATGAAATTCTCAACATTTCAACATATTTTATAATTTTAAGCTGAATAAAAGACAAATAAAGGGAACAAATGGCATTGCAATACTCACCAATTGATTAAAAACACTGGCTGTGATTCTCAAATTGGCTGTTTTCATTTATGAAAAATTTAGAATCCGAATGGTAACAATCGATCCAGCGGCATTTCTAGCAGTGGCGTGCCTCGCCAGTATAGGAATGACCCTAGCCCTCTCATTCCTCGCATTCAATCTTCATTTCCGTCGGCACAAGTAAGCGAAAGCAAAAATGATTCTCAACTGTCGACTTTTAGACAACGAATATATGAACTGATTATTCACAGGAGTATAAAACTCTCGAGTCCTCGGCTGAATAATATGGCAGCAGTCGGCTGCGCTCTGGTTTATGGGGCCGTAATCCTTCTCGGGCTGGATCATGCGACCCTACCAAACAACTATTTTCCAACGATATGCACAGTAAAAAATTTATAATAATTCCAGTGCCTAGTAAATCAATTTTCAAACTCGTAATTCGACGTTTATATTTTCTTAGGCGCGTGTCTATCTACTCTCGGCGGGATTTTCTCTCGCCTTTGGATCCATGTTCACCAAGACTTACCGAGTTCATCGGATTTTTACTAGAAGTCGAAGTGGTGTCGTTAAAAATAAGGTATTGGATCCTTGTGACCTTTGAAGAATTAACGAGGGAGTAAAATTCTCGAGTGAATTACACATTGTTTCCGATTTCTTTCGCATCAAACTAACTCTTCAAAATCGTTGTAGTTACTTCAGGATACTCAACTCATTAGTTTGATTTTCGTTCTTCTACTAATTGATGGGCTAATAGTGACCCTGTGGGTGACACTGGATCCGATGGAGCGATACTTGCGGAATCTCACGTTGGAAATAAATCCACAGGATCGTGGGGTCGTCTATCAACCCCAGGTATCCATGTAATCCAATTATTGAATGGGGGATTTGGAATTCAACTGAACTCAAGGTTGTTTGTGTTGATAGGTTGAAGTGTGTCGATCTCAACACACCAATGGCTGGCTGGCATCCCTTTACGCTTACAAAGGTTTGCTATTGGTTGTGGGGGTGTACATGGCCTGGGAAACGAGGTAATATATTCATTGAGATGAGCGATCTATTGTCGTCGGACGTATAAGTCCAAGAAAATGTCTATTTTCGAGACTTTTCCTTCTCTATTTCTTCATTATCGATTGCTATTAATTTTTATTTCGTCAATTTATTCATTTATCTCTCAATGAAATTTCCCAATTTTAGACACGTGAAAATCCCAGCGCTCAATGACTCTCAATACATCGGCATGAGCGTCTACTCTGTAGTTATAACATCTGGAATAGTCGTTGTATTAGCTAATTTAATGTCTGATCGTGCGACCCTCGCTTTCGTGACAATCACAGCCCTCATACTGGCGTCTACAACAGCGACACTGGCACTCCTCTTTCTCCCCCAACTGGCGCATATACTCGGGGGTGAACGGGCCGATCCGGTTGTTCAGAGTCTAGGACTCAAGATCGAGTGCAATACCAGGAGATTCGTCCAGGACGATCGCAGGTATTCCTTAGAAATTTATTGCCCAAAATGTAACAGTGCCGCTATCCATTTATATCCCTTATGCTTGAAATAGAGAACTCCAGTACAGAGTTGAAGTACAGAATCGTGTTTACCGTCGTGAGATGGCACAGTTAGAGTTCGAATTAGCAAGGCTGGAGAAACAATTGGGCCAAGAGCCAATTGATCCTTCGCATGCATCATCCAGCGCATCGATTCCCCAGCGAAATCCAAGTATCGGTGGTGGATTACCGCTATTGTTGTTGAGTGTTTTACCACCTGTTATTCCACGGGCTAGCTGGCCATCCGCCAATTCTTCTGGTAAGATCAAACAACTTCCCTCACTGGCATTACTTTTTTTTGCCCAAAAAAAAAAAACATATCTCGAAGAAAATGAAGAGAAAAAAAATGAAATTTCCCATTCGTGAAAATATCAATTGCTTTTGGATTATTGTTCTTTCAATTGTGTCTTTTTTTTTTTTTAATAGTCAAGTAGAATGAGAAGATATTTACTTCTTATTCTGCTGAAGCCTAGAATTTATAAAAATAAAATAACACTATATATTATCGCTTCGTCCTTCTCCCATCATTCAGGTATTACAGAAAGGTGACTCAATTCCGTTTATTTGCACGCATTTGCCTGCAAGCATTATTTCCACACGTTATATTAATTTCAATAATAATTTGATCAATTGGTTTGCTTGTTCAACCGTCAAAAACTAGGCAAATGATAAACTAGGGAGATGAGAATAACAGTGATAATGCAATGTCATTAAATTTAGTGTAGGAATTGAAGTTGAAAAGGCCATTCATAAAAGTTCCGTAGTCATCTCAGTACTTGTGTTGAGAATAAAACAAACTTTCAACTCGAGTATTTAAAGTCTGAGAATTATTGTTTTTTTTTTATTATTTTTTAGTTTTAATAGCAAGTTGTTCACGAATACTTGTAGCATTATAAAATTCTTCTTTTGTAAAAATAAAGAGTGAAATAAACGTAGCGTAGTTGTGAGTTCGGGGGTACAACATTTCTATTCAAGTACTTTGTTTCTTCACCAGAAATCATCATTTGCCCCACTAATTCCATTCAAACTGTGGAAAGGAGACAATAATGAATAGGAAAAATTACAAGTGCTTAAAACCCCAGATATTATTTCGTTGAAATATTCCGTAGAAGGTGCAATAATGTTTCAACGAAAATAATCATTCCGTGATATCAGGCATGCGTCGAGGAACTGTAGCGTTTAGCAGTCAGCCAGATCTAGAGCCAAACGGTGCTCGTAGCAGTCTGGCTGACATCTACAAACTTCAGTGGAGACGAGAGACCGAGGGACCGAATCGCTTGGGGGTCTTCCAGCGTCTTTTCAGCCTCTTCGGGAGTCGTCCCAGCAGTCGGAAAACTTCCACGGCTTCCATCACTGGTTCGTATTTCCTTTATTCTCCTCAATATTGAACTTGTAGCACTAATTTTTCCCTTCCATTCTCCTTTCAATTCCTGCAATTAATTTTATTTATAAAGAAAAAAAAAAGACACCAACGAAAATTGAATATCGAATAATCTTTCATTTCTTCGTAAATAAAATCTATTGCTGTTGAAATTTGAGTCATGGATTTGTAATTGCAGGTGTTGCTTCAGCTCTCAAGGTTCACATGGGATACATAGCTGGGCTGGTGCCAGGCACCAAGGCTTCTTCCACTTGCCAAATGAATGTACCCCAGGGAATGCGCCCGCCACATCCAAGATGCGGTTCCGGCCCTATCATCAATATAACTAGTGACGAGGATAGGAGACTGAGTCTTGGATTGAGGAGAAAAGAGAGCAGTGAGCCACGGGTCAACTTTAGTCTACCAATGAGTGAGACAGAGAAAAATACTTTTTTTTTTTCGACATGCACAAAAAAATTCACAGAAAAACTTAGCAAATGCCATTTTTGCTTCAATAAAACAAGTTGAACCGCAATAATTTCACAGAAAAAAATGTGTAGAATTTCATCATTCGCTAGGTTTTCTATAAAATATGGTGGAGATGCGCGTAATGGAGAGTTGAACGCTTCACTGTTTTTACAATTCAAAATGTCCTTAAAAATTCCAGAAACGAGCTCTGAAAATTCATCTCGCGAGAGGATAAAAGGTTCACCCCGCTTTCCACATCGCATAATGCCAGCAAATAGCTTAGGAACGATTCCACTTGGCACAGATGGATCTATGGAACACCGTTGGCATTCAATGGACGATTCATCACGCTCTAAAGTTACAAATGCACCGCTTCGGAATACCACTGGCCCTTGCGCACCAAATTACGACGTATGGGCAACACACGAAGTTGGAATTCCCTTGAGTGAATTAGCAAACAGTATTCGCGGTAAACGCCAGCCGGAAACACGACAATCACTGGTCATTCCAGCTGATTCCAACGTCAGTCCTGATGACATTTTACTTGGCAATGATCTCAGGAAACTCTTCAGGGAGGCTGGATCATCCTTGACACTAACTGACGATAATAATGCCGATGTGGAATTGCAGATTATTGAATCGATAAACTTGCCATTGAGAGAAATCAAGAGGAGTGAGTCAACGCATTTTGTTATTGAAGGGGGCGAAGTGTTTCAACAACTTTTTGTTGACGGTTCGACAACTAATAGTGAACAGACAGAATCTTCACGTAATATTAATGATAAGGAGCTTCTGAAGGCAGAAGATTCTGCTGAGTTGTGTGAAGGCGAGGGCGTCAGCGATATTACGTAAAAGTATTGACGCTGTCAGTTTTTGTGCCAAAAATTGAAGAAGAAAAATCAAAATGAAAGAGAAAAAGAAATGGAAAAGGCTTCACAATGCTTTGGGACTCTCCTGGGACCAAATATTTTCCCCAAGATGTGAATGTGGAAGGAGTGGTTTCGAGTGGGAATAGAATTGACATTCATAGCTCACAAATGGCTACTTTATGATAATCTAGTTACGTTGAATGCCCCGAATCCTTAGTACCTGCTGAACAACTAAATCATCAAACTATTAGTAATGTTTCGATGGTATATTGAGGGGGAGAATAGAACAGAGAATTTCTATGAGTCATTCCAATCAATATATCATTTTGTTTTTTTCATTTTCTTTTTCTTCATATGAGGTAAAATGTGTAGACAAAATACAATTAAATAGAATTGATGAGATACAAATATTTTTTCGTGTTATGAAAGATTGTACCACCAATGTTCTTTCGTAATAAGACACGTCCTTCGGTGTGTACAAATAGATGTTGAAAAACAAATGAATAATGACATTCAAATATTCAACAATAATCAAGCCGTATCAGTGCTATGGAAGCAACAAATATATATTGATAAACATTGTTTGAGAAGGATGTACGATGGAGATTTATGTAATCCATGTTCTCATTACCGTTTATGTTATTTCAAAGGAAAAATATGAATAATGCTCATTTGTTATGATGTATTTTTATTTATGAATAATCCGTTCTCTGTATAATCATATCTTCTTTATATGACAGTATCATATCACTATAAAAATCTTTCACGATATTTACACTGCTCACGTTTCTACAATGGAAAGATATATGATTTCAATTTGATACCTTTCATTTAGATATTTTTAGTGCTGACTATGTACAGCGGAATCTTTGGGTTTGTATAGTAATTTAGATTCACCTTCAATTAGAAATGGAAATAAAAGAAAAAATGAAAAATGTGAAATTCAACTCCTAATCTTTGTGACTTAATGATCTATGTCCTTCTGCAAGCATGTGGGATATAAAAAGCATTTTGTTGGATATCCGGTCCTTAACTTTATTTTTTTTCTTATGAATGAGCTGATTGTACAAAATGGAAGGAAATAAGGAGTTATAAAGTGTCAGGATTTCCCCCTGGAGTTTTGGAGTTGATAATACTCGTTAGATTTATAACAACAGCAGTCCGAAGCGATCGAGGACTAGACGGATTGGAAACTAAATAAAATTTGATCTCGAAGAAACTTGTCACCCCGATTCCAACCAAATCGTTAATTTTCCCAGAGGAAAACTGAGAAAAATAAAAAACTAAAAAACAATAATAAATGAATAGGACGTAATACTTTAAAACTATCATGAAAGTAACATGGACAGCCTTGAAACAATATTTCCACTGAAGGTCTGCTTATCACCATTGTGTTCTTCGCTTTTCTGTTTCACCTCTTGCATGCTGCCCTCTGCACTCTTCTTTTCATCGATCTTCTGTGCATTCCTCGCCTCAGCTTTCGTGTGATTGAGAAAGGCCATTCCATGAACTCTCAGATGCTTGTCAACAGCAGACTTGTCCTCAAATACTGCCATGCAGACGTAGCACTGATTGGGCTCGCTCGTTCTAGCGTCGTAAAAGCCTCCAATATCAGGTGCATAGAGCGAATTCTGGGCGAGATAGGATACAGGATCGAGAATTCCATGATATGCTTTGAGATGCATCTGAAGACTGTTGGCAACGACAAAGTTTGCTCCGCACTCGAGGCAGACCAAGAAATGTTCCTTTATCCTGTGTTTGTTTGCAAAGTGTTCTCTCAGTAACTTTACATCTGCGAATAGCTCCTCGCACTTTTTACATTGGAAGTTACCATCTACTTGTTCGAGCTTCTCTTGCGTAACACAAATTCCAGATCGTGAATTGTCTTCAGTTTTCGTCAAAATACCTCTCCTTTTTCTTCTCGATGCTCCCCGAGGGGAGCTAGGCTCCAATTTCCTCTTCTTACATTCCACCTTGACTTCTTCTTCTTCGGCGGATGGAGGGATCTTCTCAAGTCGGGGAGTCACCTCACACAATTTGAATTCTCGGTAGTGTTTGGTAGCAAAATGATGTTTCAGTACTTCCCACGAAGTTGTTATATTCTCGTAACACAGATGACACTTGAAGTTGAGGGGCTGCGAGTTGGCATCCTCTACGCCATCTAGTGCCATTCTCCACGCTTTTTTAGGTCTTCCTTTTCGTCTCAATGCCTCTGCCGATTTCCTCATCAATTTGGCATGATCTACTAGTTGTATCTCTCTATTCTCAACTGGAATTTCGATAATTTCTTCGATATCAAATTTATCTGCAGTATCACTCAACTTGTCCATTTCGTCTGTTCCAATGACAGCATTTGCTTGACTTGTATCATCTACTGATCGTTCGAGGACAGCTGTTGAATTGAAATTATCAGGATTTTCAGTGGGTGAGGATGGCCTACGCGGTGCAGTCAAAACAGAATTGACAGAAATAGTGGAGATTGGAGTTGTTGAATTGGATGTGCGAGCCAGAATTTTCTTATTGTCCAGCTGATTACTGTTCTTATCGAATAAATTCATCCTCATCATAATTGGGCGTTGGTGAATGACTTTACCCGGAAGATAGCTCTTAGAAAAGAATTTCGGAGATTGGAATGCCTGCAGAGTTAATGGTGTCAATTTTGGACTGCTGATGACATTGATAGGTTTAGTAACGCCTGGAGTTGTGCTCTGGTTGCTGATGACATTTATAATTTTATTAGTCCCTGAATTCAGGCCCTGACTGCCGATGATATTGACAGGTTTATTAGCAACTGAAGTGATGCTCTGATTACTGATGAAATTAATTGTCCCATTAGCACTTGGCTTTATACTCTGGACTTTGACAATCTTGGGAATGGTCACTCCAGTTGGGACTTTTGAAGCTAGACTCTCGGGAAGTGCATTCAGCCTTATGAACTTGGGAGCTGGTGGGGATCGAATTTTGGGCTCATCGTGCGATTCAAATGCAGTTTTCGCTATGGAGCAAGAATTGACAATCTTGGGGAGTAACATTTCCTCCTTTTTCACCTGTAATTGTTTTGTGATCGGTCTTTCCACCTTCAGATTGAAGTAGGATGCAAAAAAGTTGAGGGTCTCGGGAGTTATAACTTCACACAATCTCTCTCGATGATTTCCAAAGACATGATCCTGAATGATATTCTCATTTCCTTTAACGTTTTTTATGAAAAATGCACAGAAAGGACATGTGTAATATTGAATTTTACCGATCTCACGGTGGCTCTCTAGATGAACTTTGAAATTCTCCGGTGATACCAAGCATCCACCAAAATCACAGATGATCAGAGTCTCGGGGTTTGAGGCTGCGCTAGAGTGATCTTTGGAACAATGGACGATGTGGTCAAAGTAAGAGGTTGAGGCAACGGGACAACGATCACAAACCAGTACAGACGTCGTATGAGTCTCGTAGTAGTGTTTACTTAGCGCCTCCATCGTCAAAAATCCCTCCATTTCACAGACTCGACAGGCATAAATCTCCTGCGTGTTCAAATGGAAACACTTGGTCCATATGTGAATTTCCAAATTCTGCATGTTGGGAAAAACAGTGAAGCACTCGGGACACGTGTAAGGTGCTTGATTCTTGTGGAATTTCAAATGCTCTTTGTAACGATTTTCACTTCCCTGCTTGGCCTTGCACAGATGACAGATAAAATTGGAGCATTGGCAATACTGATCCTCTTGAGTCGAAGGCTTGGATATACCTGGCAAATACTTTTTGGGCTTGATCTTCTTTTTACACTCTGGGCATATGAGGTAACAATTTTTCTGATACTCCCACGACGTCATTTTACTCTTGAAATCGTTATTGATCTTTTGATCCATATTTTGATTTTTTACTGGATCGTTTGATGCTGTCTCCAAGTATCCTGTCAATGATTTCAATGTGGCCAGATTCTTCCTCGACATGGATTCTAAATCCACACAACCTGACTTGCTGAAATCCCTGCAGAATTCTGAAAAAGTATTGATTATCGTCTGAATTTTTTGCTTCGAGTAGGTCAGCAATTTTTTTCTCATCTCGAGCTGATACTTCTTCAGGAGAATCTCTATTCCCTTGGGCCCATTCTCCAAGCAATGTAAATTGGCATTGTTCTGAAAATCAGAGCCCAGGCAGCTTCTTGGCAGATGAATCTGCCTGTTCTTCAGAGCAGGGGACAACAATTGTGGTATTTGAGCCGTTCGAATATTATTAGTCACTGAATTTTGAGCCTCTTTAGGTGTTGTCAAGTTGGAACATGGAATTTGTATGAGTTTAATCTTGGTACCACCTGGTATCACAAGCTTGCCACTAGTATCAGATAGTGGTGGTATTTTTGATAAATTATTTGAAGAATTGGAGACATTTGAGAGGACTGCAGAGGGACTACTGGTTGTCACAGTAGTTGTAGCCCTTTCCGATTTACCTGCAATCATAGTCGAACTCGTTTCGATCAGAGGTGGGGGGAGTCGCTGGACTCCTCGCTCTGGAGCCGTTGTAATTTCATTTTTCCTCAAGACCGATATTACATTACTCTTGATCATTTGTGGAGGTGGTTTCGATACGACGTTGGTGGATTTACTTTTGTCATTAATTTTCTCCGAGCGTTTTTCACTGACATTTACATTGAGACCACTTGAACTTTTTTTGAGGGCTTCGAGGGATGGTATATCAGAGAATTTTGGAGGTGTTTTCTTGAGGACAGACACCCTTGCTGCTGCCTGTGGGCTAACTTTTCCCTTGGGTGGCACGAAGATTGAAGCCGTTGGACCACAGTCAACAAAGGCTATATCTGCAGAGATGGGTAAATCCTCGATGGGGATTGGGGCGGCAACATCTCCAACGGGGTCGATAAAATTTTCACTCACTTCATCATCAGAATCAATGAGATATTTCTTCAATAATTCACCAACAAGTGACGAGTCAGATGGCTCTGACATCCACCATTTTCCAGTGTGATTCTCAGTTCTCAAAATGTCCACTACGTGCTTCTGCTTCACAAAGGCATACTCCATGAGGGCCTTGCACGCATCGTGGAGGTGTGACCACTCGGAATTTTCAACTTCCGAGGGCATTGGCATCATCATGAGATACGTCATTTCGACTGAGTACACACTGTGTGATTTTAGGTGGGCGAAAAATTGACACTGATTGTAGAATATCTTGACAGAGCCCATTTTCTGGCCACGTCTGACACCTCGTCTGCTCAGACGCGCACGATTCTTGTTCTGAATGTTCTGGCAGTCTCGACACATCGATCCGTCCTCCTGGATGTGAGTGCAACTAACGGTGAAACAGTGGGCACACCAGTAACCGAGAACAAAACTCTTTCGATTCTCATGATCATCCAGACTCCTTTTGAAACGAAACCTAGATGATGATGCAATATTTTCGTTAGTGAGAGCATGGAAGAACACGAGTGTCATTGTGGCTATTGTAAATGATACATTAGTGCTTGGAAAAATAAACTCAAATAAAAATACTTACGAGTCATTGCAATGTTTGCACGTGTAAAATGGCTGCATTTCTTCATTTTTTAATCTCAATTCCTCTGGAATCTCTGCAGGTACAAAGGGGTTTGGATCGACAGCAAAAACAGAAGCTTTCAGTGCGTTAAAATATTCTTCACCCCACCTGAGCTCGTTTCTTCGATTTTTTCGAAGCTTTGGAATTTCATTTCTTTCATTTATGTTTTTGGATATTGCCTTTCCTCGACTGCTACCTCCTGGCAACGATTTATCACACGCGTACATTTTGTTGACGTTTGTATCTAGGTTTCACCAAGATGGATCCATGAGATGTTATTAAAAAGAACCTGGAGGGTATTTTTCATTCCTCTAGATTAAATCTTTATAAAAATAATGAAAAGTCAATTAGTGCTGTTGAAATGAATTGTCTCTTGTGTTTGGGAATTGTGGGAGAACAATTACTTTTTTTACATGTCAATTGTTTAGTGGTAGTTGTTGGTCTGTCTTCAGAGGTGATAATCATAATCCATTATTGTCTTGAGGGTTATACGTATTTTATTATTCTCACGGATAAACAGCGATGGAGAATTAACTTCAATAGGTGAATGACTCCTTTTGTCCTTCAGCATTTGATGGAATACAAGATCTCTTGGTGTTGCTCACGACATGTATACAAATCGAACAATTATTGTATGGCAATTTTCTATGTAAGCGAGGCAGCGCGCAAGCTGATATTCGCCCTCTATCATTGTAAATATGGCGACTTGGCGCGGCGAGTTCGGTTTTCAGTTTGCGCTGTCGATAAGAGAAGAGAGCGATCAAGCAGGTGTCGCCATCTTCAAGGGAGGAAGTGGAAGCATCAGTTGCGTAGCGGTAATTTTGAATTTTTCGAAATGTCAATCCCCTTTCAAATTAAAAGAAGTAAAAATGAAAAAGCTCTCGAAAAATTATTGCATTTTTATTCAAGTGTCGGGAAATATACCCGACGAAGCCCTTTGCCTAGACAAAATGATATTAATGAGATCGAAATGATGGAGGAATCCATGGATTGATAGGAGAGCGCAAGCTCGGAGCCTCGACCAGCAGCGGAGCTTTCGAATCAATACGGCAATGGCCGACTGATCAAAACCAGTCAGGATTCGTCCACCGTGAAGCTCACATCATTTCACTTACACGGCAAATTAATTCAAACACAAACCCTTGGAAATAGGCGGTAATTCATCTGGCTGAGACATGAATTCATCGATCTGAAGTCATAAGAATAGAATTGAGGATATTTTTCGGTTTAAATTGACCAGTTGAAGCACTCGCAATTTATTTCACGAAATAGAGTCTCCATAAGGAGCTCATTGAGGTAACTGACCGTGCGCAACGGTGCTTTTAAGGTCGTTGCTGCCGCCAGGATTGCATTCTCGAGTGGACCTATCCAAGACCTCAATTTTCCCATTAAGAAATCACTCGTCTATGGTCATTACTAATTGCGAGCTTAAAAAGTGACTGTGGCGACTCAATTTAGTTTTCTCAAATAATAGGATCTCTTGTTGAAGTGGTGTTGATCGCTCGAAGGGACCTTGAATAAAAATAACACCGAGATACCCTAATTGCATACTGAAGTAGTGATAATTGGAGATTAAATTGATTGCCCCGTGAACCGCTGGGAATCACTATCAATAAAATCTTCAGACTCTGCAAATTAAACATTTATTTTTTGGAATATTTCACGAAAGTAGGGGCAATCCAACGATTGGGTCAATTAATACATCCCGTGCCCTCCGGCATCTCCGTAAACATCTAGTGGGTAGTGATTGGTCGTTTCGTACTTTTTTTCCGAAACATCCCCAAAACGGCAACCCGTCGTCGTTGTTTACGTGCTGCGAGAGGTCGCAAGAGAATAGAGAGAAAAAATTTAACGTCAACGGTGACATGGAAGAAAAGTCATCGGCAAGATTTTCTGAGTATCTATTTGCTAAAATGGGAGGACACGATGTTTCAGCCTCACAGGGTCCTAGGAAGGTGACGGCAGATACTAGGAAATGGATGCGTGAAAATATGCTGCTCTTGGTTACACTGAGCGGAGTTTTACTCGGCGTTGTATTGGGTAAATTATTTTTTCAACTCTATTTTGCAATGTCAAATTGCCATTGATTTATTTTCATTATTTTTTATTGTAATTAAAAGATAGACAAAGGATCTATTTTATTTTAAAGTTTTTTGCTGAGAATTTTCATAAATTCAGGATAGTTCTCCAGACCCCTCAAAAGCCCATAAAAAATTGATATGAAACACTTCCCATTCATAATATGATGGATAATTGTTTGAATATAGGAGACTGCTTCTTTCTACTGTTGGGCTCAAACCAGTTTACATAAGAAGCTTCCATCAATCAATGACACATTCATATGTTCTCATACTTTTATCCTATTATTACGTGAACTTCACATTGAAGAAAGGGATAGAGTCATGCACGATCGATATCTAGCATGAAGTAAACATTTTGATCCGGTCTCTTATCGTCACAGATATACCTATCGAGTGGCATGACATTTCCGTGAATTTCCATATCTAAATCCATCGATATCTCATCAATTATAGGACTTGATGTCAATTCTAGAGTGCAAAGGGTTTTCATGCTTTGGGGAAATCTTTTAGTCATTGTGACCTTGTTGCATGCACCTTTCAACCTTTCAATTCCGAGTGGGTTTCCAGTGTATTGTTACAGCTGTGAGAACACTTGTTAGAGAAACTACCAGTATATCGCTGCGGGTTGACAAGTTTCCATTGATGCGGAGAAAGTTATTCCCAATAGCTCTAATTAGAGGGAGACAGATTAAACAGTTAATAACAGTTATTCCCGACATTTCCCCGTAATCCTTGACTTTATGAGTTAATGTGATATTGATAATGACATTTTAAATGCCATTACAAGTCGAATTAGAATTCCAGTGGATATTAAATACTCTCTTTCTATTAAAAGATGTTTTTTTTTTCCCCCAAAATTTATTATAAATTAACGGAGAGCAATACAGAGAATGTTGACAGAATAAGTAGTAAAAGAAAAGCCAATTCAGTGAGCGTAGATACCCGCGTCATGTTTAAAGACTACCCAATTTAGTTAGCAAAGGTCAAAGAAGGTGAATTGTTTGGGGAGGGTCTTGGTACCAGTCAACACCTATCACGCGGCTATGATTCACGCGATGAATGACGAGTATCTGCCAATGATTCAACTCTCAACCCCCGACTGACCCACTTTTTAAGAATCAGTTATGTAATATCATCTCGTTATAGAGAGGTGTCATTGTCGACGTGAGGCTTCAGAATTATTGAATTTATGGGGATGGTTTCTCCCCTCTGTTTCATTTTTCATGATGAAACATGAATTGTTTACCTATTTCAGGGTTTGGTTTGCGACCTCTGGGACTCGGTGGTGATGCTGTTATGTTGATAAGCTATCCTGGGGAGCTGTTCATGAGACTATTGAAATTGATGATTCTACCGCTTGTAATTGCCAGTTTAATTTCCGGTAACTAATGAGATATCACAATAATTTTATCATCCACGAGGGAATTGAGTATTGTTCAATAAATCTGGGTTTTCTCCAGGATCTGCAAGTTTGAATGCAAAAATGAATGGAAAAATTGCCGTTCGAACTCTAGTTTATTTCATTCTGACTTCACTATTCAACGCCATTCTTGGGGTTGCCCTCGCCCTGTTGATTCACCCTGGCAATTCCGGAATAAGGGAGGCAACTGCATCCTCCACCCACACCCGTGCGGTTAACATCCTTGACAGTCTCCTAGACCTTGGAAGGTAATGAATAATTATAGAGATCCGTATAAATCTCCCTAATCTTCGGTCATCGTTGATGTTCAAACCTTATGAAGAAATATTTATATAGAGGCAAAAATAGATTGCTACTATCGATTAGTTGTACGTATACCTCGGCTGTTTTATTCACACTGGCAAATACACTCAAGTGCATCACACTGCGCCAAACGTTATAGTCAAAATGAGCCAATTCGAAGGAACAAAGGGGGTTTATTCGCTGAACAAACCGCCTGACACTGATTGAGCACCCTTAATATCGCGAGTGTGCCAAAGCCCCAAGGTTAAAACTTAATAGAGTCGTGTAAATACTTGGACGAAAAAAAAGAAACACATTTATTCCCCTTTTCAATTATATAGATTGGTTTCAAGTGAAAAATCCTCGAGAAATCCAGTTCTGATTGATCGTTTTGTGCATGATTCCAGGAATATGTTCCCAGACAATTTATTCCAGGCAGCCTTCCAACAAGCACACACAGTGTACGTGCCTAAACAACCGAAACTTCAGAATGAAAGTGACAAGCTCCTGGATTCCAAGGATCTGCCTGAAGAGGAATTGATAAGAGTTATTCAGTACAGAAGTGGCACCAACACACTGGGAATTGTATTTTTTTGTCTTGTCTTTGGGACATTCTTGGGTACCCTTGGGGAGAAGAAGGGCCAAATTGTTATTGAATTTTTTAAAGCTGTTTTTGAAGTCATCATGAGGATGGTTTCTACTGTCATGTGGTAGCTAACATTATTCACCTCAATTGACATTCCTTCCGGTATTTTAAGATATATAAATTGATTGGTTCATTACATTGCAGGATGACTCCAATTGGAATAACATCGGTGATAGCTGGCAAAATACTTGGAGTAAATGATCTGGCTCTAGTCATGTCTCAGCTGGCTTGGTTCATTGTCACAGTGGTTGTCGGTGTATTCTTTTATCAGCTCGTCATAATGCAACTTATTTACCTGGCGATCGTCAGAAAGAATCCATTTAAATTCTACGCTGGTCTGGCACAGGGAACCCTCACCGCCTTCGCCATGGCATCAACGTGAGTCAACGACCTTCGAATTCGGGTTCCCCTTACCAACAATTCGAAACTACATCCACCTCGCCTGCCTTACAGGGCCTCAGTTTTTTTTTCTTTACTATGATTTTTTGCGTCTTTTCTTGCCTTCTCCGCTTCTTTAGTGTTCAATCTATTTTTTTTTCTTTTATGCTTTTCATCATTATCTTCCCTTTTATTGTTCACAGTCTCCTCGGCCTTTTCCATGATTCCTCTGTTGTTAACAGCAAATTCCGTTGAAAACCCCGTTTCCGGCCCGATTTTCCATCGTTTTAAGTCAAAGATATAATAGACAAGCAATTGATGATAGAGTATGTTTCAGCCAGCCAAGTGGAGGCTTTGCGAGGCCGTGGCGGTCCCCTTGAATCTTTACCCATTCAATTCCTCCGGGTCTTGCACAGCGTTGAGATAATTTTGAATTTTTTTAATGGAAGAACAGCCTCAATGCCCCCTATCGATTTTATGCCATTGAATTTTCCATAGTAAACGATTTTTCTTGACTCCCTGTAGACTTTGAGTAGATTTTGCTTTCAATCTCTCCCTCATCTCTCATCGTACATTATTTAAATAATAGTTGTACTAGAAAAAACTCTGATAGTTGAAAGGAAAACGCTGTGAAAGGCTCGCAATGTCCTAGCCCTTCCCGGAAGGCCCAATTGAATTTTCCAGAATTAAGAAAAAACAAAAAACAAAACAAAAATCATTGAAATTGAGAAAAAGAAAGAGCGATTGAGAGGTATGCAGCCCCAGGTGGCACTTAGGATGCCGATACTTCCGGTTCTGCAATCGCCCCTGACGGGTGAAATGATTGACCACAGATAATTGATAGGAGTGGAGTTTTTGTTCATTCTTCTTGGGAACCGGAAGTCAGCTGACTCCGTGTCACTTGGACTGGATTAACGAGCGTGGAAGCTGATTCGGTCACTCTGCATACATCTCTGCATTTGACTGATTTCTTCTCGCTTTTGAAATTCAACTTTGAGAGATTTAAAATTTGTAATCAATTAGTTTTCCATTTTATCATGGAAGTTGTAGCGAGAAACCGAGTCAAAGAAAGATGAAGATGGAGAGACAAAGGCGCGGTTTCCACGCCTCAGCTGAACAAAAAAAAACCAACTGCTTCAGAAACCTATTTTAATATTGATATTTCTGGGTAGTGAGGAGTAATTAAAGAAACTGGGAAAATATTGTTGTTTGCGTTGATCCAAAATTCTGTAATTGCAGGGGGTGAACGGTGTGATCGATGACTGGCGAGCGGCTAAGCAGCGTCACCCACTAATTTGTTTCATTAACTTTCTCATTTGTTTAATTTTCTTACTATCGGCTAGGATAGCGTTAAGCAACGATCATTTTCCCAGTTTAATTAAAAGTAATTGTCGACGAGTTTTCTAGAAACTCATGGCCTTGAAATTTTATTGGTTTCTTTATTTTTGTCTTAATTTTTCATTGGAATACTCAACTATGACGAGGGTGAATTCATGAATCTCATTGATGAAGTGAATCCGCGTCTTTCCTCCTATTTATTCTCTAGAGAGGGGACACCTTTTTCAAATGAAGAGAAAATTTTCTGTGGTCAAGTGGAGAAGAGAGATCATTTCCAAACTATTTATTATATAGTTACTAAGGGAGAACATCTTCATTCGCTTCTTCCACAGAATTTCTCAACTTGCAAGAAACTCCAAATCAACATGAAAAAGAAATGATAGAATTGTTACAGACTCTAATAACCGAAGATACTTTGTGTGTGGATTAAATTTTTACAGAGACACATCAGAATGAATAAACTGTGACTGAGTGAGTTACAGTACTACTATATGAATATCAATGATGATGTATTAGATCAAACGACATGCGGCCTATTTGCAGGTGGTTTTCTATTCATAGAAAACAGTTCTGAATGAACGAGCAATAAACTCAGTGTCAGGGGTGTGTTGGTAAGTAATGATGGCCGCAGATAAAGGTACAATACAACGTTTGTTCCAGGATGTATCCAGTGACATCATCCTCATCGAAATACATCTGTTGAATGGAGGAAAAAAAAAAAAAAAGAAAAACAACAACGACACTTTCTTTTCAGATATTACCTCTGACATTTATTTTTCAGTTTTTGCCTATAATAATGGTCATTCTGGTCAATCGCACTTGTTTCTTACAGAGTTATCAATGAATAATGGTTAAATTACTAATTATTAACGAATAATTCATCAACTAATAAAATCGAAAGATAATTTCAATTATTTTTAAATTTATATTTCATAATTTTTAGCATTTTTTTTTATGTTTTCGAATTGTTTTCCTAGTTTTGAAGAGTGTATGGAGATGGACTGTAGCAGTATGAAGTGTTGTATTATTGAATGAAAGAGTGAGCGTGCCAGAATGACCTCCCAATAATCCCGAAAGGAAGCGGCTATCCTTGGAGTTCATCAGGCTGATAATGTCGTGGAAAATTAATTGATAAAAATTAGGCGATATAATTGTCTTGGGATTTCCTAACAAAGCTTTGCGCAGGGCGGCGGCACTTCCTGTTACTTTTCGACTGATGACGGAGAAGCTAAGTGTCGACCCGAGGGTCACCAGATTTGTACTACCCATTGGATGCAACATTAATATGGATGGAACAGCACTTTTTGTCTCAACTGCCAGTGTTTTTATCGCACAGATGAATGGAATTTTTCTGGGTTTCGGGGAAATTGTTACCGTCATGTAAGAATATTTCTTCTTCTACATTTTACTCGACGTACGATACATTCGTTAGGATTATTCATCGATTTTTAGATTGACATCGACTGCAGCTAGTGTATCATCAGCGTCAGTTCCTAGTGCAGCCCTGGTACTTCTTCTCGTTGTCTTGAGTGCCATCGACGCTCCAGTACAAGATGTTTCTCTTTTATTTGCCATAGATTGGTTTGTGTAAGTATAATTCTCTGTATTAAGTTTTTTTTTTTTTTTTTTTTTTTTTTTTTTTTTTTTTTTTTTTTT